GTATCCTAGATACCTACAGTTTTGTTCATGATGGCGCGAGGATTCATTTATGGTAGATGGTCATGAAGAAGTCTAGATTTTACTATCCGGCTTCTGTAACTGTCATTTCAAAAACACTTTTCTCTGAAGAAGACTGTAGTAACTATACGTGACCTTCTCAATCACTATGTAGCCCAGTTATCTCATGCTGCACTGACCCCGTGAAAGGATTTGCACCCGCATTTGATAAATTCACGAGGCCGACAGTGCCTGGTTATCTAAGCGCAAAGTTAGAGTATGCTAATCATTAGCAGAATAGTTGAGAGCAGCAGTCGATTTCCTGTCTACAACAAGCAAATTCAATGGACCAACTTTATACCCTTTCGTTCCGAGAAGTCTCCACGTTGAACATGATACTTTTCACTGGATTCGTAAATAACTAGGGAACTAATCTGAAAAATGCCACTCAGGCAGATTAAGAGTAGTATGTGGTTTATCCGTTAAGGTATATTTACAATTATTAACACAGTAAACATATGCATAATTTATTTACAAGTGTGGAAACGCCTGGAGTAATCCAACACTGACAGTTATGGACATACAACTTACTCATCACTATACGTATTCTACATAAGTAAAGTTCTGTTAAATAGATATCACAGTTCCATTATCTCCTTCCATGAATTCTCCACTGCTCTTTCACAGTGCGAAGTACATTGTGATTAGGGTTCTGAGAGAGCCGTCTGCGACATGGGCGGGGTAATTTGTCAACTTAAAGGGGTTATCGAGAGATTCTTGGGTGTAATTTATCTGTAAACTGCGGAATCTAAGTGTACGGTGGAATACCATATTCCGCGAACTGGCATTCTAACTACTGTGAAATAAAACCTAAGCTTACAAGGCAGGCTAGTAATGAGTACACTTACCTTACGGGTGTAACTAGTTTAAAGGTTGAGAGATATTAAAGGTTTGACGTGATATCTCGCTCAACAACTTCTAATTAATTTATTCTCGCGTACCAAAGACAAAGCAAAAGCCAATAATTGGTCGTCCAAACGAAGAAATGTATTTAGGAACCAAAACCAGCCGATAGACGAACGCTTAGCTAGCTAGTGATCGTGCACGTTACACGACGGGGTACCAAATGGCGGGGATGCTTGACCGGAAGCCTTCAGCTAAACAAGTCGACTTAAACAGTGGTGGTCAGCATCCAATGAGTGATTGCTGTGGTCAATAATTTTGGGGAATTATTTACCGCTACAGCTCACTCCCCCCTAGTGGGGTCGTGAGGACCCTAAGACAGAACCAGCCGGAAGTAAAAAAAACTCGATGGTTCCCTTTCGGGTGAAAAAAATCTTCCGAGCGGCTTGGTCTTATGCCTACTGGTTTGTCTGCCTATGCTAATGGGGTGTTTGTACATAGCTTCCTGGTGTTGTTCGTTGGATTCCGTGCTTCGTTTGTTTCCCGTCCAGTGCCCGTCGCACCTGGAAAAGAAAACAAGAACGCTAAGAACCATGTCGAGGAAAATGTACGAAATGACCTTTTTGGTTAAAAAAAATTATGTGCATTTACTATACAGTAAAATAATGCTAAGTTCAGAACATCGAAAAAAAATACATCTAATTAATTTTTTTGTGTATGTTACATGAACTGTTGAAAAAAAATTTTTTGTGTTCGGTGGTACTGTATATAAAAAAAATTTATACGTCAAAAAAAATAGTTAGTACCACGAACGAGTGAGTTGCGTGAATCACACGACTTCGTTAAGTCAAATAAGTGTGCAGATATTCTGGGAACCTTACGGTGCGTCCAGAACGGTTTTTCTTAGGAGGCTCAACCTTAGTAGCCAGTGGGCGAATGCCCTTGCAGTCAATAGTGTGACCCAGGAAGTCGAGTGAGTCAACACCGATTTGACACTTTTGAATATTGATGGTAACACCATGTTGGCGTAACCTGTCAAATGCCAAGTCCAAGTGCCTAAGGTGAGTTTCCTTGTCTGGACTGGCAATGAGGCAGTCGTCTAAGTATGCGTATACAAAGTCGAGACCGCGAAATACTTCGTCAATGAAGCGTTGGAATGTTTGGGCTGCATTCCGAAGACCGAATGGCATACGTAGAAATTCAAAAAGTCCGAAAGGCGTAATGATAGCCGTTTTCGGGATGTCTTCTGTTGCCATCGGGATTTGGTTATACGCTTTAACCAAGTCGATTTTGGAGAATATAGTCGCGCCGGATAAGGTTGCCGTCAAGTCGTGTATATGAGGCAACGGGTAGCAATCAGGGGTTGTTTTGGCATTCACTCGCCGGTAATCACCGGTGGGTCGCCAATCGTTGCTATCCTTTTTCGGAACCATATGAAGTGGGGATGCCCATGGGCTATTCGAAGGTCGAATGATGCCAAGGCTAAGCATATGGTCAAATTCATTCCTGGCGATTCTCAGTTTGTCAGGAGCTAATCGTCGTGCTTTAGATGTCACAGGTTGTCCTGTGGTAATGATGTGGTGCATAACATTGCTGGTTATGCACGGTAGGTCGTTCGACGGGCAGTTAAGTTCCGGATACTTGTCAACGATAGGTTGAAAAGTTGGATCAAGAATTGCCTTTATCTTAACGGGTGACAAGCTAGGGCCTATGTAGCTGATGCCTTTGATAGACAGACTAGTAGTATTGTCAATCAGTCGTTTTCGGCGGACGTCTACGAGTAAATCATGATGATTAAGTAGGTCCGTGCCAATGATGGGCATTGTAACGTCAGCGAGAAGGAAAATCCACCGAATAGGTTTGCGTAAACCTACGTTCAGATAGACGTATTTCCTACCAAAGGTTGCGATTGGTTTTCCATTTGCAGCCTGTAAGTTGAAGGTAGGTTCCTTCTGTCGATCTGCTGCTGTAGCAGGAAGGACGCTGACTTCGGCGCCTGTGTCGACTAAGTATCGAGTCTGGCTTATCACATCATGGATGTAAAGTAGGCGGCTAGTGCCACCGGCGACGGTTGCCGCTAACGCGTGCCGGCGGGATAGTTTCCCGCAGACTTTGAGACATTTCCGAAGTTACAAGGCTTACGGCAACACTTCGCTTCTTGGCCATAGGTGTTGTGGTACCAGCACCAGTCAGGGTTTTTCAGTGAACGTGGTTTGGACTTAGATCGACCACGCGAGTTCCTGCGTTGAGGAGATTTAGGACGACGGTTGGAGGATTTAGAATGCGTGTTTGACCTAAACATCTGCTGAAGGGAGTTGCATAACTCTGTCATTGCAGGATCCTCACTCGAAGTCTGCTTAGTCATCGAGCATATTTCGGGGACAGACCGTTTAGTTATTTCTAGGATCTTATCTGCAGTAATAGCTAAGTTCTCTATTACAGTACCCTCAAGTGTCACAAGTACGGTCTGTACAGATTGTGGCAACTTGGTTAAGAAGAGTTCTCTAAACAGTCCTTCGTCGAACTGACATTGGCCGACGACTTGTTTCATTCTTGTCAGCATGCTCACGGCTGACTGATCTCCTAACTCGATGTTGCGAAATAATTCATCTAGACGTTGTCTGTCCGTGAGAGCGTTTCTCCTGAGGAGGGATGCTTTCAGCAACTCGTACGAGTTACTTACCTCGGGACTCAACATCTGTGATGTTACGTACTTGCTGAATTCCCGCGGTAGGGCGTGAATAACTGCAAGTAACTGTGAACGTTGATCAGTTATCCCATGCTCACAAAAATCTGCTTCAGCTAGCAGAAACCACGTTTCAGCATTATCTGGCCAGTATGGTACGAGCTGAATGGTTTTAGGAGTTGAGCGGATACGGATGACCTTGGGACTAAGATCACTCATGACGAAAATTATATCGAATAATATATGGTACAAGAACAAATACAAAATGGAACGAACTCACCGGGATTATCTGAGTAATTGTCGTAGATGAAGTTCGCGGTTGGGCTCACCAGTTTAAAGGTGGGCGGATATTAAAGGTTTGACGTGATATCTCGTTCAACAACTTCTAATTAATTTATTCTCGCGTACCAAAGACAAAGCAAAAGCCAATAATTGGTCGTCCAAACGAAGAAATGTATTTAGGAACCAAAACCAGCCGATAGACGAACGCTTAGCTAGCTAGTGATCGTGCACGTTACACGACGGGGTACCAAATGGCGGGGATGCTTGACCGGAAGCCTTCAGCTAAACAAGTCGACTTAAACAGTGGTGGTCAGCATCCAATGAGTGATTGCTGTGGTCAATAATTTTGGGGAATTATTTACCGCTACACTAGTATCTGAGGGAAGTGGGCTTTAGACGTTTATTTCAACTTGTCTTATAATTGAATGCCTGGCAAACCGGGAATACTCTACAGACGATTTTAGCATGTCTATGGGTATTATGAAAGGTGGATACCCCGCCATCTGTTGAAACCGTGGTTAGTTTCTGCTGCAACAGATGCGACCGGCCTAATTTTCTTAAATTGCTCTGGTGATCTCTCAACGCAAATGTACTGGTATCCATAACGCATATTTTTGTAGCCACAGAATGAAGTAGGGAATACTTGCATATTCGCATATCTTCTTCTGGGTCTATTCACATTTACAACCTTGAAGAGTCTAGCCTTGAAGATTGGCGCCCAGGTCGAACTTTTTTGTGGTGCAGTTATTTGTGGATTCTTTGCCACGATAGTTATTTTGCTCTAGCATTAATAATGAGGTGGATTCCTTATGAAGAAAGCAAGAAGTGGGGAGTGGGTACGATATGCTTTTTCAGCACTTCTATTTAACCACGTAGTTATTAACACGTTTCGAAGTGATAGTTGTGAAAAACTGGATATTTCTATTGGTGACGATGTCTTCATTCTGCGCCACTGTGATGGTAAAGTTAATATACTTATTTTATGTAGATTTAAGAGTGGTTTTACGGATTCAAGATGAACGTCTCCTCAAAGTTTGGCGTATTTCCTAAGGCATGTGTTACGTTTAAACGAGAAGAGCTCTCGAATGGAATCAGTGCTGAGTTACGGATGATGGCAGAGAAACTAATTTCGATGTTTGTGGTAAGATGATTTAGTTTTCACACAAAATAGTCTGGAAAATATGGGAGAATGAGCAAACATTCTATGGCACTTTCAGGTGTAGTTGACCTTAAATACGCGCTGTCTGGAAAAGTTAGTAGGGTATGTATGGCATATAACCATAATCTTTCACAGTTTGACATTATTTCTAGTTTAAAGAAGCTTCATATGCATATGTCAATGGTGCAGAGGTAACTGATATTCATTTATAATATTATTCAGTAAACTCTTTTTGCCGTTCATTATCCGCGATGAAAATTTTGAGTACATCAATCCATTCTCCATATCTCCTATTGATCTTCATTGGAAACACAAGAGGCTTATCAAAAACCTGGGTGATTCAGAGGTTTGTTTATGTCCCTTTATGTAAATAAATGTTCTGCATATATAACCAGTAAATCTGATGTTCACTTACTCAAGGCAAATTTCTGATGAGCTAACCTTTTAGTTGCCCATTTTGAGACCTGATAATATATCTGAATTGCCTAATAGAAGTAGACGGAGTGACTGGCTAAATGTTAAGTGCTGAAGTCATTGAGCCCCATCTTCGCAGTAAATGATAATTGTAAATAAAGGTGACTATTGTTTATTACGTGTGTCGGTGGCTTGTCGGTAGAACGCCCATCAACCTCACACGTGTTCAGGGTTCTGATCTTAGGTCACAGCATTCCTAAACCTCGCCAAACCGGTGGCAAGGCCAGTAAAGAAGGAGCGTCAGGTAGGATACTAACAACCTCACCCCGTAAAAACAAAACCACAGCTACCGACAATTCAAAGCTCCTGCTGGAAGCCTTAAGTTCCACTGGGAACGTAAAGTAATAAAATAAAGTGGCCTATTATGCACATAATCATTAGCGTAACTACCGGTTAATTGGGCACTTATAAAACAAGAAGTGGAATATTTTTAACTCAAAGGGTGTTCTCTTTAAATGTTTACTTGAGATAACAGCGAAGACCTCTTAAAATCACTGCATCTAGACTGAGTTTCGCACATAATTCGTTTTTGCTCCTACAGTTATCTTATTTTATAAGTCTGATGCCACAGATTATGAATGTACAAATAAGTTTCGTCTTTGTTTCCTCCTGAATTATCATATTCTTGTTTATAAGTGAACGTTTTTGTACTTTTGAATTGTTATTTTGTATGTCGCATTAGTGATACTAACTTACGTTAGTGAAAAACATTTTAGTTAGGAATAAGGTTCGTTATTTTCCTGATTTCTAAATAAAACTAAGGATCTTTTCCCAAATTGGCTTCTTAAATAGGTGGACATTTGTGACTTACTATTTGGGTTTTCACTTTGCCATATGTCCGTCGACTATCAAAGTATGCATTGGTCCATCGTTAACTGTATATGTCTTAGTGGTTGTTTTGAGGCTCATAAAGTGGGCATACGGATTACTTTCCATGCTAAAGTTAACTTCTTACTTTAGAGTTACTTCAATGACTTTACAAGGTACTAATTACTAAGTGACTAATGTCGTCGTGACCTTCCATAACACCCTCAGTTGCAAAAAGTGAGAACTTGAGGTTGAGAAGTTTGATACAGTTTGTGCATTAAAAAATACATTATTTTAAATTTTATAATCTTTTCAGCTGAGTGTGGAAGAGGTGATAGTCTTTGGGCAGTCGTAATACCAGCTGAAGGAGACTTTAGAGGACAGAACAAAGTGAAAATGTAGTGTCAAAGCCCTATGTCCTACTCAGAACCCAAGTGAATGATACTAAATTCATTCAGCATTTCATTTCTGAAATTAGTTACATAGAGCTTTGTGGTAAAAATCTGTAACAGGAAGAGTCATTTACGCCGTATCTGTTAAGGTGTATTTTTGTACTGCACCTGATGAAATTTAGTACTGATAGATCTTAATCTTTATTTTCGGAAGTCTTGTAGTCTACTAAGAATACTCAACATTTTGGCTCACTTATTCTTTGTACCGTTGAGATGTGTCTAAAAATCAGTTTTCACTAGTTAAAAGAGAATTCCTTACCGAACATTATATTTGCACTCATGGTTTTCTGTCGTGTTGTTTTTTGTCTCCAATTCTGACTAATTCTCTTCAGCTCGTCACGCGACTACTATAAGATTTTACTTGACTGCAGATTGCTTAATTTTAAGTTATTATTAACAAGCAGTCTGAGATTAAACACCGGTAAAACATGGATAACTTGTTTTAAACCTTCATCTGTTTCCTCAACGGCATTATGTACGACACAGTTATCCTCTAAGTGGAAATAGAAAACACAGAGAGCTTCATTAACGAGTAAAATCAAAAGTCTGATGGGTCATATATATACATTTATAAGGGGTGAAGTTTGATTAAGACTGTCCGGGTGGTTATTTGTCGTAATTAACAACTACATCGATCCAAATAAAGATTTTTTAGTAAGGCTGTACACATTTCAGCAAATACATAGAACAATCAGTCTCAACTCTTTGATATTAGAAGGGATGTCATCAATATTCGTCCTTGGTATTAAAAGCCTCTGTTTGTCCTTATATAGTGTTTAACTGAGTACAACTGATGTCTTCTATTTTGATATAATTTATGTATCTCTGTAATTCTGTTCTCTTGTAGTGTTTTATTTAAAGTTCCTGTGCTTTAAAAACAGTTTTATCTAAAAGGTAAATCAGTTTCAGAAGGCAAATAAAGGTCTTCAAAGATTATTCCAATATTTATTCTCTTTTTGCCATTGTATAACAGCTTTCTGCTCAGTGTCCTGCATACCAGCCATTTAATCTACGTATTCGATTTAAAAATTTGCCTAAAGCATCTTTGACAATGTATCTAGTAAGCCAAGTTTTGCAGAGTTCTCACAACCTTGTCAGTTCACCAGCTAATCTTGTTCCAAATGTGGATATGAATTTCTCCAGTACTTCGAATTCTGCTGGTAGTTCATTTACTTGTGGTCAAGATGCACATGATACTCATACTCTTGGAAATGCAAAAAATGTATCTGCTAGCGAATTACAACCGACATCATTACTTATGCGTTTAACAGAAGATGTTATTCTTGATGGGAATGTTAAAGACAGTTATGAAGTTATTTTTACGGTGAGTCGATTGACAGTAAGAATGTTTTTGAATTTAGAAAAAAGATAGTTTTATGTACAGTTACGTATGTATTTCTTCTACTTGAGTATTTTATTTTTAGTTTTGCTTCTAATGCCAGGGTGATGACAGTCTGGATGACAGGTGATTTTCTTGTACTGTTCATTAAATTGGTCGTTTTACAGTCTACTCCGGCACACAACGCTTTAGACGGCACCTAGTAATTCTACATGTAAAGCTTTTACTTTAATCTACATGGCAAAAGCTGGACTTCAAGAAGCTTGGTTTCTAATGAGTAACACTACTAATAGTTCATTTCATTATTTCAAGAGAGAAATAGCTGTTTATTCTTTCGAATGGGTGGATTCCAGTGGTATTCTCGTTAATACCACGCATGGATATTTTAAAGTATCTCAGCAGTGTTGAGTAGCTTGATCTGTACTATAAGGTCTACTAAAAATATTGTATTGGTTATCGTCCATTAGTTTAAGCGAATTCTAATTACACTGAACATATCCTTAAAATACATTCTGCAAGGTAAATTGTCGGTAAAGTTAATAATTTTACTGACGATCTTGGTTAAGTGAAGCTGCTAGTTACCTCATATTTAATTGTGCATAGCTATTTATATGGTTGAGCGGATTATGGTTCACTTTATGATGATTATAAGATTTCAGTTGTTCTGTGTATATTGCACTTACCCATATTCCCTTTATATGTTATCACACGCTCACCTTTCATTTTACCCTACAGAATCTAGATCCATTCAAATATCAAGAAAAACGTATATTATTACTAGTTACACTAACTCGAACTGGACCTATGCATTTAAAACGAGCAAAAACTGGTGGAAAATCTTCGATAGGATCTAGTGGTAGTGATAAGTTACAACAGTCTAACTCTTTGCTCAAACGTCCAATTGGTGTTGCTTGCCTAGATATCACATCTTCAATCATACCGTATTTCAATCGTTCATCATTTGACTGGGAGTTATGCAAACCAGCAAAAGATGATTCTTCTCTACTGGATCATAAACGTATAGTGAATTTTAAACTGTAAGTTGATTCTGGGTTGTTGTTTCGTTGGATTTCTTGTTTATAAGATAACATTTTCATAAGAAATACGGATGTGTACCTTCTGTTACAATTCACTTCTTCCCAGTAGTATGTACTCAAAACGTTTCACCAATTTAAATCTAACATGCTCGCCACCTAGCATGACAATTATTGGTTCTATTCCCAAGGTGATGGTTTATTCCTACTACTTTAAAGTCCAGGAATAAATTAGAGTTAATGTGGAGAAATTTTTAACCTCCAACAATTCTGTTTTTACTTGTAAGCTGATTCACCCAATTTTATGTTGTAAACTTTTAGAACTGGTGAACAATTTCTACCAGAAGCTTTGTTACGTGCAATCAATGATACACAAGTTTTATCATGGAACAGTCCAAACTCGGGTTATCCTGATACAGATTTAACAGCAATTCTAAATATCCCGAGTATTTCATTAGACTCATCAGAAGTTCCAAAGTTAGAGGTGCATGAAATAACAGTTTTAAATCCTACAGAAGCTCAAGTAAGTTCGCTTTTTATAAAATGGACTAAATATGTATTCGAAATTAGTAATGGGATACTAACATCTGTCGACTTGAGGTTAATCAAAAGTTTTTTAAATTCATGGTTAATCTAGTACAAGTTGTATAAAAGGAAATTCCTTAAGGTTTAAAACAAACATTTTTGATTTTTTTTGTACGGGCGGGTTTTGGAAATACACGTCCGAGCATAAGAAGCATTAGATAAATACAGAATCACCTATTTGTTAGCAGTTATTCTAAACAACCACTGATAGTCAAAACCTGTTTGTGATTAAAATACGATATTTATAATGATTTAAGTCAATAACTGTTACCCTCTGTAATAGTTTAGTGCCTGTAGCTATATGATATTATTATTATTATTATTATTATTATTATTATTATTATATGACATTTATCGGTCTACATTGCATGAAAATATAAACAAAACAACTTATCATTATTCACTTGTGACAAAATTGTCTAGAAATAAATCCAATAAATAAAAACATCGGATGAGCAAATTAATTATTGTTTCAATTAAAGTCGATAAACATGATTCATTCAATGAAGAAAATTCACGTATGTGGAGTTAATTATTTCAGATTTTAAAACAACGATTCCTCTGTTCTGTCAGATGAGTGTTTATGTAATAAATGAATAATAACCAGGGTTGAAAGTGGATTCCTAATAAATAGATTTCGGATTCACTATATTAATTTACCATTCTGTTTCTTTTCCCCGTAATTTCTTGACTGTTGAATATCTTTTTTTGATGCTTTCCGAGCTTTGGTATTTCATGAATCAAATACTAAAACTCGAAGGGTGTCAAACGATTTCTACGCTCATGGTGAGCTACTGATTTTCTCCATTGTCTTATGTGTCTTGTAGCTATTACCTGGTGCCAGTGTTTGTGTATTGGGGCAGTTTGAAACGATAATTAAAATGGTCCTGAGTTCGGATCCCGGTGGATGCCTACTGATGAGGAGTCCCATACTAGGACGAAACAGCAGTTCATTACTCCCAGGTTTTCCAATGGTTCTCTAACCAATGTCAGCTCATGATGAAATCCTGTAACCGAAAAACCCATGTGTTGAATTCTTTGTATTAAGAGGGTTTTTCAATAGAAACTGGTTTTTTATAATACGTCACTAACGTTTCCAGAGTATACTATAGCATAGTGAGGTGTTCATATGTTCATCTATCATAAATGTAGAGAATAGTTTTCAAAATACATTTTCATCGGTTAGAAAGCAACTAAAAAGTGAGGGGCATTAGTCATATGTTTCTTCCTGTTGAGCAGTAGAATTCAGGATTGTTATATCTTGTTGAGCTGTCCGTCGTGGGTTCATCAATAGAACGCTCGCGAACTACGCACGTGGTTCGATCACCGGCCGACGCACTTCTAACCCCGCTAACTGGTAGTAAGGCAGATAAAGAGTGAAGATTGACCATGAGGCTAGCAACCCCAACCCGTAAAAATAAAACCGCTGCCACCGAAGCTTCCAAGATCTAGCTTGAAGCCGAATGTTCCACTAGGAACGTAATAGTATAAAAAATATCTTGCCAAGGGTTCTCTGCTATGCAGTCACTAATTTAGAATTCGGTGGTCGGTGTTCTCCAGTACTCGCTAATTTGCCGTATATTGTTACTATTATGGATTTACATTGGTGGGAAGTGGTGAACCGGGACGAAAAGGTTTAGCATTGCAATTTAGTTTTCAGTTTGTGATAAAATTAATCGGTTTTCCATGGACGTTTCAGTTGACGTAGTATATTTGTTTCAGTAAATATTATAAGCTAATAGTATCAAGAGTAAGCTTAGATGATTGAAAATAAATAGTGCACAACAAAACTTAAACGAGTCAAACACTCGTGATGTCTGTCTCTCTGTCTGGATTCAACATAGAACTTGGCACCGAAGTGCACCAGTTCGAGTTGCCACGTTCCAAATAGCACACAAAGATTGACAAGAAGATGAGTGGAGAGAATCAATAGAGTTTGACAGGTATAAGAGCGAAACAGAATGGGTAATGGTAGAAAGGAATATGAAAGATTACAGAGACTGAATACATCTGCCGCCATTGACAACGATTTTGAGCCATGTCACCTATTGTCTCCAGCCATTGATTCCTAGAGTCCCGAGGGCCCCAACCCGGGAGTCTGCATCTCCCTACCTGACTCAGTTTAACTGTCAAGGATTTCATGGATTGATGGAATGTTTTTGTTTGGCCACCACTGGCTCTTTTCCAACCTGAACCTATATCAGCTAGCAATGCCCGTCGGGGGAGGCGGTGGTTAGGCATGCGCAGCACGTGACCTAGCCATCTTAGTCTATGTAACTTTATAGCCTCGTCGATTGATTTTCCCTCTTTGCCCAACACTCTACGCCTAACGTCAACATTACTTACCTTGTGAAACCACCTAACGTGAGACAGAGATCGCAGACATCTATGATCGAAAGCAGTCAACCTTTTCATGTCTTCAACGCGTATTGGCCATGTTTCAGAGCCATAGAGAAGGACGGAGCGAACTGATGAGCAGTACACACGTCCCTTGGTTGATAACCGGATGTCACGCCTACGCCAGAGATGGTGTAAGTCAGCGAAAGCAGCTCGAGCTTTTCGGATCCGTGCTGAGATTTCATCGCCAATCAGTCCGTTGGTGCTAATACAACTTCCCAAGTAGGTGAAGTGGTCAACATGTTCTATCACTTCACTCCCTATCACTAAGTTAGGGGTTGACGTGGTCCAGTCCTGTAGCAGCATCTTACATTTTGCAGGGGCGAATCGCATGCCAAACATACGAAGATTGCTGCTCAAGGTGTTCAGAAGACTCTGCATTTTGTCAGCATCCTCCCCTAACAGGACTATGTCATCTGCATATTCTAAGTCCATAAGATTATTCCCTGGTAACAAGTCGATTCCTAAGTCACTACGTTCAGTTAAGGATACTTCCATTAGCATATCTATGATGAAGTTAAACAGAAATGGGGAAAGTGGACATCCCTGTCGGACACCACTGGTTGTTACCAATTCAGATGACAATTCCCCATAAGCCCTTACACGACTACGTGAGTTTGAATAGAGTGCCTTGATTAGTGCAATGTACTTTCTTGGCACTCCCTTCACAGTCAGACATTGCCATAGTACCTTTCGATCCACGGAGTCGAAGGCCGCCTTCAAGTCAAGAAATATGGCAATTGTTGGACGCCGAAAAGTGTGTCTATGTTCTAGAATCTGTCGAAGAGTGAAGATATGATCTATGCACCCTCTACCTGGTCTAAAGCCTGCTTGATTTTCCCTTGTCTGTTCCTCCCGAGTTCTGCTTAGTCTATGCATGATTACTGAGCCTAGGATTTTAGAGACTATGTTCGTTAGGCTGATCCCCCTATGATTATCACACGAGGACTTGTTTCCCTTCTTGAATATCGGTATAATAAGTGACTTACCCCAGTCTGATGGAACTGTCTCTGATTCCCAGACTTTGCCTAGTACCTCAGTTAATCTACAAACTAGTATGTCACCCCCATATTTAAACACCTCCGGAATAATTCCGTCGGGTCCTGCCGCTTTGCCTCGTTTCAAATTACTGATAGCTTTTGTGACCTCACTTACAGACGGCGGACCAGTGTCTATATCCCATTCGGGTGTGTGCTGGATGTCGGGGAGGTTCAGTGTGGCTGTAGGCAAGTTAAATTGTTCCTCAAAGTGTTCTTTCCAGCGTTCAAGGCGTCTATCCTGAGAGCTAATTAAGGAGCCATTTTTCTCAGAAATAGTCTCACTTATGAATTGCCTTCTCCCGCCCGATTCTGTGATGAGTCTAAAGAGTTGCCTAGTGTTGCCTCGTGATACAATTGATTGGTTCATCTCTATAGTTTCTTCACAGTTTTAAGACTGGATCAGGTTTAACATTAAGGGTATTAGTGAGTTACATTATTGTGTATCCTTATTGACAGGACAAGGTGTGATCTGTTTATGAGAGTCATTTTTACTTAGAAAAGTGAAACCCTTAAGTTGTAATTAAAATTTATTAAAAATTAATTAAAATTAAAAGAGATGAGTGGGATACATAATGATTTGGGCAGGTTATTTTTCGTTTTATGGATAACTTTAAAGGTTGAAGCCGTAGAGATAGGGTGGTCAGTATTGACCACTAGATGTTCAATGGCCGCGCTTCTTATATCTCCTGCCTACTGAAAAACAAGTTAGTATAAATGAAATATGTCTACTATATTCGCATTAATTTGTAGTTATATTATGAAGAATTGCTTAAACCAGCAGTTTCTGATACCTTAGGTATATTTCACTCCTAGCTTGTGAAGGTAGCAATAACTACCATAGTTTAATACGATAAAGTCAATTTATCTTAAATGGAATTTTTTTTACATTGAAGCTTCATTCACAATTTGTGTGTGTGTGTAAGTCTAGTCAATCAATTTATTTTATTTGAAAAAAAAAACTTATTTCACTGTTTTCTGTGTTGTTGTCTCTTTTTTTTCAAATTGATTTGTTAATTTTCTAAAAATGTACACCAATTATCTGCATTATTTAGCCATTTACTCGAGATGTATTCTATGTACGTCGTTATGCTTCACCTTATTTCAATCATACTACGGTGAATGGTGAAACTCAGCCAAGACGTGAACTCTATGTGACTTTAGTATCTGGTAATTTTTCTAAAGGCAATAAAACACGAGAACACAATATTGAAGTTGAAGTCAGTGCGATAGACAGTAATGGTAATTGGGTAAGTTGTTATGTATTATAGTAAAAAAATATATGTATATACTATAGTTATAAATAATAAATTATACTAGAAAACATTATCTGACAAATTATACTGCTTCATAGACATAAAACAAACTTTGAGTAATATTCATACCGTCTTGTATTAACTCATTCTGAAGTTGTGTTGTGATACTAACTCTACAAACATTTGTAGTTTGTGACTTCAGTCTTGAAGAGAATCATATCGTGTGTGTGTGTGTATTATGAAGGACCTTAGAATTACAACTAAATTGTTATCCAGTGAGTGTGTCACTTGGTGAAACTGTGGTGAGACCAGACTGCTAGCCAATTGGTAGACATTAATTTACGTCAATGTCTAGGTCACTAATATTGGCCGTGAGAAAATATGAACAAGGCTGATTCAACAACCAATCACAGCAGACTTAACGTGGGCAAATAAGATTCGCAGATAAATGGCTTGACTATCCGAGAAACCAGAAACAACTATTTAGAAGACTGTGTTTGTCTACTTGAATAAGCTATAGTAATGTACATGAAATATATATATATATATATATATATATATATATACGTGCTGATTTCCGTAATAAAATGATCTGTTGCCGGCCCTTGTCTTCTGTTGTTACAAAACAAGTGAAAACGAAGCACTCCTGATGGATGCAATCTGCTGCATATAACAGCAGCACAAAATCATGAAAATGTAATTTTAATATGTTTCACTTTGAAACTTTGATGCCTAGATATGACTATGAAGAGCAACGTTTACTATGAAAGACTAGCAAGACCTCTAAAGCCGTCCAAATAAATACCTCATAAGAAAATTTCCTGTTCCTAATGTATTGTAAAAATACCTGAATAATACACTACTCATGTCATTAAGTGAATATAGCGTCGTTGTTAGGGTGTTATTATTAAACCCATTTTCACCTCTAATATAGCATAGTTTTCAATAATTGTAACTTAATATAAACTATTCTAATAATCACCTTACATTCTCTATTTATATTCAAACATATATGAAACTTCTAAATGTTCATATGTTGTATTTTTTATGGATTTCTCTCTCTCTCTCTCTCTCTATCCGCACGCACACACACACACGTTGATGTCACCTGGTGTCAGTAATCATGTGATGCTGTGATTAGACTGTATTTATTAATATTACCTTCTTTTTTGTCTTTCTTTTGTTCTAATTCTTCAGTTAAATCTAAACAATTCATCTGAACAACTGTCACCTATTCACAAATCTGTCGTTTACTATCATAAAAATCAACCATATTGGAGTGAGCTATTTAAAATCACTTTACCCTATTCTGAAATTGAATCATCTTGTACTATGACAACACTGGGGAATGTAAATGATAGCGCGGGTGGTGGTGGTGGTGACAATGGAGTCAGTTGTGAGAAATTTGAACACCATCAACAACAAATGTTTACTGCAAATCCAACATATCCTGGTACACTAGCAGGTGTACATCTGCGATTTTTGTGTCGTCATCGTTCAACGGTACCAGGCGGTAAGTTATTTCTTACAGTTTATGCATTTGTCCACTAACTAGTATTTCGGAAATACAAGTGTTGTGATGATTAGTCAAATAGACAAAGGGACTATATACTGTTTCACACACAGAAGAAATCATTTCACTGCATTCTGATGCGTGATGCTGATTATTATTTCGAAGTGTAAGTGAAGGATATCCCACTCATCTGAAAGAGTAATCAACTGTTGGATTAAGCTATTTAAAGCAACTGAACATTTCCTGATCAAAAGAGTACATATGTATTCCTCATAAGTGCATCGGTGGCACAGTGGTTAGGACTCTCGCCGACCATGCACATGGCCCGAGGTTCTATCCCCTTCCGACACACACTTGATATCTATGGTTGGTCTGCAAAATTTGGGCTACCGATATCCATGCTGAAAATTCCATACTTGTACCAAAAATACAGTGTGGAATCAAGCTGTAAATCAAAAAAAAAAATAATAAGTTTAAATATGAAAACAAATTGATTACTGTACAAATAATGTGGACAGTAGGTCTTCCCTTGAGTTGTCCAACCTTTTTCAGTGGAAGATTTGCCTTTTTGTGTTCACTATATTTAACGGCTCCAGTTTGTCCATAAGGAATTCTAACAGGAAGCTAAAGAGGTTTTGGACACTCTCATAAGAATTCCGACTTGGTGTTTGTAGAACATAATCTGTCGTGCTAATCAGTATTATATATTATATTTAGCAATGTGCAAAGAAAGATAACATTTTTTTCAGAAGTGTAAATAAAGCTGTAGTTTCAGCACGCCTGCTTCTCTCCAAGTCCCTGCAAGTATTCCTCATCAGGACGATAAACGTAAAGTATATCTGAAGATAGTACTGACCAATACGAATGGAAAGATGACTTTTATTATATAACCCTTCCATTATATTGACTTAATTGCCGATTGACATGCTGGAATTTAATAGTTTAACATTAAGCGTAAAAATTACCGGGTAATTTCGGGAACTGTTTTCGATGTTATGACCTATTCTGTCAAAAGTTTTTATTCGAGGTTTTGCGTGATTGCAAAATAAGTTGAGCATAGCACTTGTCAGTTACTTTGGGTGGTTGAAACAGGATATTAATATTTTACCAGGTATAAATTAACCGTTTTAGTTATAGCATCATAAGGAGACAGAAGAGGATCATATATTGCCAGAACAAGTAGATTATGCCACGTTGACAACGGTATGAGTTGTTGCCCGCTATACAAAGTCATAGTATAGTTGTGAAACTTGATTGATATTGACTTAACACGATTCATTTTTTTTGTAAAATGGTTGTAGTAGAGCTAAATATTAAAGACTGTAGCACTGCGTCTGATTAATGTTCATCCACCAACCTATGTACATGAATAATGAGTCAGGCGGGGTGTAGGGTTAAATCCACCCATAGATTTTAGTTCTCACTATCAATACTGACAACACAGAGTTTAAGCTTCGCTATAATTAAAACACAAGGCGATTTCACATAAACCTTGTTTCTGAAATGTAAAGAAAATAATACAGTCACACTAAGATAACAATACAAAGGCAACTGTCATTCAAGGAAGGATAAAAAGAAACGTACTGAACAATACTGATGTGTGTAGAACAAAATGGTTAATGAGTTACATTTAAATACATATATTAACATAGAATACTACACTCAAACCAAGTCAACATCACGTGGTGGAAATTTAACATTAAAATAACCAATAATCACATGATAATCACGACAGACAAGGTCTGGTCATATTCATTGGTGGTGGTAGGCTACTGTGAGGTCTGTGTGTCTGTCGTGATGATTAACATAGGGGTACAGTGGTGACCTGAATAGCTTGGTGATGGAGCCTCTGACTTTACAAATAAATAAGGTGAATTAAGATATTGCAGAGGGAGGGAAAGAGAGAGTGATTTTCATATATTTGCGATTAAATAATCGTTTGTGAGCACAACAAGCAATAATTCCTTCTTATATGTGTAACATGAATCTATTTGTCTATACTAGTTTTAGTTGCACACTTGAAATATAAATTCTTTTTAGACGGACAGACAGTTTAAATCGTTTTGTTTGTTAAACTTATCAAACAAAAACTTAGATACCAAATAGGTTTCAGAAGAATTAAAAAGTAGAATTCAATAGGAATTATAGAGATAGATTCGATAGGAGGAAGTGTTGAAGAGTGTCGTTGATGAGAAAAAAAATGTCGCCTTTCAAAAAGTTATCGTGCAGCTGAATTGCCGCAGCTATTCCTGTAATGATGAGTTGTTGTTTTTTTCATCAGAATGGTAGATTAGTCTAGCACCTGCCCGTCGGGATCGCTGTCTTTCTATAAATTCCAAAACGTCGATATCCCTTACGACATACACTTGGCATATTTTGCTATCTGGTCACATAACTCTGCATAGTATGTTAAGTTGGCATATTGAATAGGAAAAGAGTCTGTACAACAGACAATCGTTTAGATTATTTAACACCACATTTCCTATGATAAGTACAAAAACAGTGAAATTCTAAAGACAATAGATTATGAATAAACATATCTTCACTATTGTGATGTAACGGTCGTTCAATCTTGTGCAGTTTAAAGGTATGCAGTTAATTAACGCAGTGAGGTGACAAAGACTCATAGCTTAAGCGTAGTCTTAAAAATTATTTAAATTCAAAACGACTGGATACACTGATTCGTGTCTATCTTTATCTCTGAGAAAGAGAAGAAATATTTTGAAAGAAGCAAATAGTAACTTATTACATAGGTTATTTTAAGAAGTAACAGTTGAAATGTTCAGAACTACTTGTGTGGGAGAGCAAATGATATGTGTCTGTAAATCTGATACCATTAATGCTGCAGATGCATACACTCTTTATCTGGATCTTGAAATTTGGAACCTATTGTCCTTGGTGTATATGCTACTTCTTCTTTTACAATTTGTTTACAGCTACTCCTACTGTATACTCTCTCTGTCTCTCTCGCTTTATACCCTCTTTCGAATTGAAAGTACTTCACGAGGTCTTTCATTGTAGCTTATTTCCTGGTGGGACTGTCAGTTTGGTTATCAACATCTCTCTCCATCTACTAAAGTTTAAATGACTGACTGGTTTCAACATAGAACTTTGCACTGATGTGCAGCAGTTCGAGTCCCCACACTTCAATTAGTACACAAAGCAAGCGAAGAAAGTAAAAAGAAATGCAAAACAAGGATAATAAACTGAAATATGAGGCAAAAGGAATAGTGATATGGAAGAACAATATAGTTTTATTGGATATTATCAATCACAAGGAGTGGATGCATCTGCGCCAGCCTTTGAGAATGATTTTGAGCCATATCACCAATTGTCTCCAGCTGTCATTGGTTTTTACCGTCCCGAGGACCCCACCCAGTCAGCAGTCTACACCTGCCAACGTGGCTTAAACTAAATGTTGTGGATTTCATTAATTGGTGAAGAAATGTTTTCGTTTAACCGCCACTGCCTTTTTTCTAACCTGATCCATCCGATGTTAGCTAACATTGCCTGTCGTCGAAAAAGACGATAGTTAGGCATGCGTAACACATATCCTAACCATCTCACAATCGATGTAACTTCTCGACGTCGTCTATTGATTTCCCCTCCTTACCTAGCACTTGACGACTAACCTCAATAGTGCTCACCTTGTGATGCCTATTCAACAAGGGGAGATAGAACGCAGACACCTATGATCAAAGAAATCCAGCCTATTCTCATCTCCCACTTTCAATGGTCATGTCTCACAGCTATAAAAGAGGAGGACAGAGCGAACTGCTGAGCAGTACACACGCTCTTTGGTGGTCGACAGTTGGGAATCATGTCTACTAAGCCAGAGATGGCGTAAGTTTGTATATGCCAAACGAGCCTTCTGTATCCGTGCTGAGATTTTGTCAGCTATCGACTCATTGGGGCTGACGCAACTCCCCAAAGAAGCGACGTTCATGTTATTACAAAATCTTAGTTAAAAATAAGCGGATAATAGGCTACACAAAAATAATAGAATCACAAAATCATTATATTTGCAGTGACTGGACGCCTAACCTCAATATTACTCACCTAATTATACCACCTAACACGGGAGACAGAACGCAGACACCTATGATCAAAATATACTAACAGGTAATAAATGGTACAACCATAGACAAATCTCATATTAGAGACTAATTGAATTTGCTAGTAAAGCCGATTACGAAGTGATTCACATAGCTGACTTTTATCTGAAGTCCCCGTTTATGATATCTAGGACTGTCACAAAAGTTTCACAATTTTGAACCATATGGCGTAGAGAATATGAAAACCATCATTACTGTTAACTACTGTCACATAAACAATAAATGCATCACACCAATTTTTGCATAGTTATTGAGTTATAATCTAGAAACTAGGCTAAATTACATGGCTAGTGGGAATAACTTCATATTTTTCATTGAGTGACACAAGTTCGGATTTTATAGGTGATATTATTTTCTTCAACATTACGGATATTTTTTTCGCTAACTAGTGTTACTAATCCTATCGAATTTTACCTAAATTAAATTACTCATAATTTGTAAATACTAATTTATGGAGTTTAAATTTCTTTTTTTTCTGCACATTTTTCGTCCCTCCATACTTCATTCATTTTTGCGACGTTAAATGACATAACTATAAATCCCCTTCAGTTCATCTACCATCTTCTTCCTAATGTTGACTGAGTCCATTACTCAGAAGACGTTATCATTCACTGATATTTATCTCACTGCCGTATCGAATCGTATTGGATTTCATAAAAAAGATGACTAGCTCTTGAAATTGCTTCATGGTGTCTTGTTGCTTAGCTTAGTAGTCACACTACAGATTTAATCGGTAAACTTCAAATAATTAAGTAGTCAGTTACCACTCAGTGGAAACTTCAAAAAGGTACATATTCCAAATTCCCTTTTATCTGGATGGATATCCACTGTCACCTGGATAATCTAACTTATTAAAAAATATTGTGTAGTAAAACATTGTGCCACGATGTATAAGTAAATTTAATTCACTAGTGTTTATAATATGTGCTAATAATTTTAACCGATCACATTTTCATTTTGTTTACACTATTCACTGCTAATAGTGGTGGTAGTAATGGTAGCTATATGCAAAAGTGACGTGATTTAAATACTTTTTTTTCCTATATACGGTTTATATAATGATAGTTTTAATAATAATTAGTACTAATAATAGTAGTGATAGTAGTCTATGGCTCTGAAACATTGCCAATACGCGTTGAAGACATGAAAAGGTTGACTGCTTTCGGTCATAGATGTCTGCGATCTCTGTCTCACGTTAGGTGGTTTCACAAGATAAGTAATGTTGACGTTAGGCGTAGAGTGTTGGGCAAAGAGGGAAAATCAATCGACGAGGCTATAAAGTTACATAGACTAAGATGGCTAGGTCACGTGCTGCGCATGCCTAACCACCGCCTCCCCCGACGGGCATTACTAGCTGATATAGGTGCAGGTTGGAAAAGAGTCAGTGGTGGCCAAACAAAAACATGGCCTCATCAATCCATGAAATCCTTGACAGTTAAACTGAGTCGGTCAGGTAGGGAGATGCAGACTCCCGGGTTGGGGCCCTCGGGACTCTAGGAATCAATGGCTGGAGACAATAGGTGACATGGCTCAAAGTGATCGTTGTTAATGGCCAGCGCAGATGTATTCAGTCTCTGTAATCTTTCATATTCCTTTCTACCATTACCCATTCTGTTTCACTCTTATACTTGTCAGACTGTATTGATTCTCTTCACTTATCTTCTTGTCTACCTCTGTGTGCTATTTGGAACGTGGCAACTGGAACTGCTGCACTTCGGTGCCAAGTTCCATGTTGAATCCAGACAAACAGACAGTCATCATTGTAGTTAGTGTTTGTGAATATCCAATCCCAGTGGATTTCATGTTGATTAAGGCTACAGTTAGGGGCTCTATGTTGAGAGAAGAAACAGCAGAATAATAATTGATATAGCATTGGCTTAAAATCTCTTCGACTGTCGTTATAATGTATTTTAATTGTTATTCACTCGACTATTTTCTCACTGTTGTGTCTCGTTGCATTTTTATGGTACTCACAATCACACAGAATATTTGATTGTTAAAGAATATTAGTTACACCTAGAGATAAATTAATGAAGGTTAACTATAAGTCAGTCTGGATTCCACTGCTAGTCACCATCCACCAATTAACTTCTAATTAGATGCCTAGACATCGTTGAAACATCTTTATAAGAAGCCGACATGTCAACCTGAAACCGAGCACTTCAGTCCAATCAATCGACGGGAAAATCTAAAATTGAAATAAATAATTAACTATAAGTCATTTGAAATGTCGCCTTACAACTGCTTTGCTGGTGGAGTGGTCAACTTTGCATCATAATATTGTCTCTAGTTTGTAATCAGGTGCTAAATATGCTCAGTGTGTCTTCTTGGATTGCTCATCTGCCTTTGATCTTATACTCAGGCTTCTTTTGTTGAACAAGCTTGTTGTGACACAGACGGGATGCTGAATTAACAAATGGGGTTGCTTTCTTATTTTTCTGACAGGAAACTGTACATTGTGCAAAGTCTTCCACTGCTTTACCCACTCTATCCGTCATCCCCCATGGCACTTTTCTTGCATGACTTGCCTCATTCTGATGAAGCTAATTTTGTTAAATATGCTAACGATCTGACTGTTTCCATGCCTGTTACTTCTCAGTCAGGCTGTTCTAAGATGAATCACTTTTCATCAGAAATTAGTCGGTGTTCCTTGTCAAATGGTCTTAAGTTAAATCCCTGTAAATGTCAGAATTTAGAAATAAATACGATTTACACAAGCTGGTTTTTTTGTATGATTCTTGTATTTTGGAGAACACTGGTGTTGATATTAAGTCGAATGTTAAATACCTTGGATTACATCTTTCCTCTAATCCCTCCTGGTCTTTTCTCATCATGCTAATTTCTAGAAATACATTTCGTATGCACTTCTGTTTAAGGAAGTTAGTTAATTTGCTATCACAGCCTCTACTTTTACTGTTTGTTGACTATTGTATTTTACCTTTATCTTTCCTGAACTACTTAAGAAAGACCGTTACATTGTGAAGGGCGCTAAAAGCTGTCGGTGGGGCAAGTGGCGTGTTGCTAAGCCAACTCGTTAATAGTGTTGTGAACAAACGTTTGAACACTTTCGAGAAATTGGCGAATGTCATATTGTCGGACTCTGTGCACCGTCTTTATACTCGACTCATCTCATCATATAGAACTAGAAGCAACTATGAGAGACTTTATACTCGGGCGAATAAACATAAGAACTACGAGAACTTATTTGACACGCATTTTATATGATGAGCAGTATTAGGCATAAAATTGATGACTTACTGCGAAACGGCAAATAAAGGGCACTTTTACTTACTTTGTCATTAATATATTGTCCTCTAGATTTATATTTTTACTGACATTATTATTGTTGTGTTATAGCAACTATTTTCCTCCTTGTTACGTAATGTAAGGGAAAATTTAACGAACCCCATAGTGTATGGACTGCTTTTTTGGAACAAGGCCATTGTTACTATTCAACTATGTTGTTATGACATTGAATGATTCTTCCGTTAGGTTCAATCGTCTCCAGAAAGACTGTAGTCCGTGTGATATGTGTAAATAAATCACTTCATTTCATACTACTTATTTTTAATCAGTAATATATCTATTGCACAATCATTTATAAACTGCCGATACTGAGCTACTTAGTGTCCTTTTTTCCATTGTAATTCATATCCCCTTATTCATTCTAATTGTAGATTCTGAAGGCAAAGTTATAGGAGTTGCATATTTACGCTTACAACCGAGTACATCTGTACCTGTGCTGATACCCGATGGAGATTATCACTTGTACATACATAAGGTTTGTGTAAATATTTTGTTGACATTGTTTTCGTTACCTTGAGGATTAACCACTAGCTGACAGTTATGAAAAATGTTTTTATTGGTATTTCGGCTAATTTGTTCTCTAAGTTGGATTTTTCTATTTGTAAATGCTCAGTTGGATACTATCAATAAGACAATTCTTCGGAAAACTGAATTATATTTTGTTGATTAGCACTGGATTACTGATAAATTTGTTCATATATTTGACTGGACTGATAGGGGTTGGAAGAGCTTGGTTGTAATTATTCCTTATTAATTTTATTTATTTCCGACTCGTCATCATATATATGTATGCACATATATATAAATCTGGTGTGCATAGTTATAAAAGGCAAATTATTTCCGGTGATATATACATCGAAATAATAATTATAATATGTAAATCAATCATTTCTACGCCTAATTGTTGTTTTGAATAATATTAACAATATGCTTAGTTCTACTAATCTAGTTGATATGCTCTGGTTAGTAATGAGAGGGAAAAATAAAATAATGACATGCGAATGAGAGGAAATAATTGTAGCTAAATAAAATTAGCAATTGCTTAGAATATGTTAACTTGGGTCAATATATATATATATATATATATATATATATATATATATATATATATATATATATATATATATATATATATATATATATATTAAACTGCTTATTTGACTTTCCCTACAATATGTTGTCGTCTGTTATTGCTGATTACAGTAAGTATTGAATCGTGTTGTCTAGCTTTGTTTATTGGGATGGTTAAGGCACGTGTAACGGTTGCTAGACCATCGCCTTTCTTGTTGAGCAATCTTAATTGACACAAGATTAGACTGGAAAGGAGTTAGGGTTAGTCGGATCGAAACGTGGCATTCATGTATGAAATCTTTGACACTATTGGTTTGAGTCAAGTAGGTAGGTAGATAGGTATGTGCAGACTGCCCGGCTGTGGTCCTCGAGACTCCAAGAATCATTGATGGGAAACTGTTGGTGGTATGACTCAAAAGTGTTCTGTATGGCGGAGTTGCATTCACTATTTGTTACCTCCTAGATCTATTAAATTCTCATTATTCTTTGAGCCTTACATTTCTGTTCATGGTGATTTCTTTGAATTTTTTTTCCCTACTTTGTGGCAACTTGAACCACTGCATTTCTGTGTGAAGTACTTCACCGAAAACTCAGTCAATCAGTTCGTTTCCAAATTGTTTATTCCCTTTTCACAGTGAATTCGAATCCGATAAACTGTCACATTACTTGCTTTCATATCTTCACCATAGCACACTTAAATGATTCAGCGAAGAGACTGTTTTCAGTGAATTTATTATCAAGCTCTACAATCTTAAATTCTATATCTAAAGTAATTAAACCATATGGGGAAATTGAAACAAAGCTGTGAATATATAAAATAATAATAGTATGAAATGTCATTAAAATATTTGTGATTATAGTCACAGTTAAGTGTGAAGTGGCAAAACAAATAATGTCATACATCGAATAGCTCATTATTATTATTATTCCATTGGATTGTGAATGAAACATAAGGCTTCAACAACACATCTCCAATTTGTCCTGTTTTGTGCTATCCTCTTCAGCTGGGTTCATGATTGCCCATAGTGTATCATCTCCTTCCTACACGATCTTCTTCATTTCACCCTCAAACGGAAGACCCAAACGTCGCTTCCCACTGGGATTTCACTCCAGCTATGGCCTGCATTCCATGCGGTCATTTGACGATCTCCTTAATGTTTGCCCTATCCATCTCCATTCAATCCTACATATTTGTTGAGCAATCGGTTCTTGGTTGGTTTGCTCCCAGCTAGAGTGTCTTGTTACTGACCGGTCATTTGGTCTTCGATATGGAGTCAGCAAAGGCAGGTGTTGATAAAAGTCTCTTACTTGTTGAGAATGCTTTTCAAGACGCACACGAGGATGGTAGATCTGAGTGACTGAGAATTATTCCATCTACCTTAATTATATGTTTAATTTGAATAAATATTATGTACGATTGGCTTCTGAACTATTTCGAAAAATTAAATCATCATTTCCTTTGCTACACCAGAAATGCTATGTTTACTTGTTGTATTAATTTTATTATTGTCTCCTTTAGTCCTAAAGGAACATAGGGCTTCAGCCGCACGTCTCCGTTGTTTTCGGTTCTCCACCAACGTTTTCACCTGACTGCACGTCTTCTCACATGCTTTCACCTCCTCTTCACATGACCTCCTCCATATCACTCGCACTGACGACCAACTCATCACTTCCCTTTCGAGTTCCACTCAAGCAATAACCTGGCAGTGATGTCTCTTGATGGTTTTTCCAGAGTATGGCCAATCCACCTGCATTTCTTCCTTCATATTTGTTGCACAATCGGTTCCTGCTGGGTCAGTTCGCTCCCAGAAATCCCTGTGGCTGATCTTTTATGGCTGTCCATCTAGTCTTGAGTAGTATTGAGCGAAGGTGGCTGTTGATGAAAGTCTGTAGTTTCTTCGAAGTGCCTTTCGTGATGCGGTGCCAAGTCTGATCCATGTAGTAGCACTGATTTCACATTGGAGTTGAAAATATGCATTTTATTTCTCATGCTGAGTACTGTTGATCACCACACAGACTTTAGAGAATTGAAAGCGCGCCTTGCTTTCCCGATCCTCGCTTTGATGATATCCTCATCAGTTCCCAGGTAGGTAAGTAAAGGAGGTTACTTCTTTCAGATTCCTCCCATTTATGCTGGCTGATTGTTGTCTGTTGTTGTTGCTGTTGGCTAGGAATCTTCATGACCTCTGTTTTCTCTATGTTCACCCGAAGTCCTATCTTCTCTGGATGCTTCTTCTTCCAACTTGTTGCTTTTCACTTGCATATCTTCCAGTTTGTGGGAAATCAGACATATATTATCGACGAAGTCCAGATCCTCCAAGTTTTTATGTGGGTGCATTTTATGCCTGTCTCCTCGTTTCTCAGCCCACTATCTGTCGCATTATCCAGTCTACCACAATCAGGAAAATCATTGGAGATAGTAGACAAACAGCCAGCCTTGTCCTATTCCCATCTTCACTTCTTCGAAGGATTCGGTGAGTTTTCCGTTGTGGATTGCTTGACATCCAGCATTATCGAATAGCTGTTGGAAGAGGTGTATAATTTTTTGGCGGGTTTACGTGTTTAACTAATTTTTACTATTTTTTTAAAATATACGTTAGTGACCAAACAGAAGTTTACTTGTGCACCCTTTCATGTCTTCTAACATGCATATTTTTTTTCTAACAGATGGATATGGCCCAGGTGAATGCATGTCGTTATCTATGCCAACCATTTTATTGTGAAGATGATGCACCAATTTTGTATGGTTCAAGTAGTGGTTCCGGTTCTGGTTCTATCGGTAGTACAATTAGTTCAGGTTCTTTAAATTCAAGTGGATGGAGTAATATGTTGTCTATACCAAACTTTTCAACATCTTCAACTTCGTCATCACGTAATCGTATGGATACATTACATGTACAAACACTTGTTTGTAGTAATTATCACACTACAGATGGTAAGTGTTTCAGTAATAATAATAATAATAGTACTAGCAACAACAAAAATGCGGGATGTCCTTTCTTTAGGGATTACTACTGTTCTCATTTTTATCGGGTTATTAACGATAATCAATACGTTTTCGTGATTGAATGCTACTGTCATATAGATCCTTGAAAGTTGTCGTAAAACCTTCTGCCGATTGTGCATCTTGGTCAATATTAAGGCAGATATGTATCATCAACATACCACTTGTCAGTTTGCCGAACCTCTCATCTCTAGGTCACATATAAAGTAATAAAACGGAAAATAAAGTAGCGAAAATAATATCGCTTGAAGTCATAAAACACCATGAAAAGAAGGAGGGGATTTTGAGGGAATGGATAAGTTCTTCTTTTCATCTCCATTAATTGGGAGCTGATCACTAATTCACCATGCGTTTACGTCTGTGTTCATGTTAGATGCTGGGATATGTGTTTCACATTTTAAAGTCCTTCATTCATCAACATACAATTTAGAGCAGTTTGATAAAAAGTTAATAATGCCCAAGATATGTTACCATTCCACTAAGTTTGTAATTCTTGATCGTGGACATGTGGTTTAAAAGTTAAAGGTTATTCAAAGATATTTAGCAATTCCATATATATCACACTTTTCACCAGTGTCGTATTCAACGATTATGAAATATTTGTTCTATGTTCCGTGAAATTAGGCTATGAGTCTTGTCCGTTAGTATCTTCACTGTATTGTAGTATAATCAGGGTGAAGTACTGTTTGAGCTAGATAGAAAATTACTAGACTCTATGAGTAATTAGTGGTTGAAGACGTTTGGTTATGTGTTCCTAAATGTTTTAAAGTAGCTCAGGTATGTTTGTAACGGCGGAACACAAGAGTACTTAGCAAAGAAGTTCTTTATTAGCAACCCGACGTAAAGATATAGACAATATACGCATGTCACATACTATGATCACATTTTGCACATGTCCTCCGTATTGTGCTTCTTTATCTTCCTTTCATGTTTCCCATGTTGTTTCACAATCTCATCCTTTATTTCTTCTCTTCACCATCAAATCCACCTCTCCACTATTCGATATATATTATATATATATACTACTTATAAATCTCGTTAGTAGCACACGATACATGGACACTTCTTATCGTCTTGCGGTTTTGAAAAGCTTCGCACTAATCTTTATTTAATTACTGTCTCCCTCACACACATTTTCGTCTACTGCAGTATCATTCCATTCCCTTTCTCCTGTTGTGTGGGCGTGCACGCGCTTTCCGAAATGTGACAACTTGATGAAGTCATGTCTAACATGGAGGTATTAGATCACTCTTCTAATTTTTGATGCGAAACCTCATCTACAATGTCAGTGGCCTCACTTTCATGATTGTGGGTAAAGATACAAACACACACATACACACTTCTATTTTGTTTCTGGCATTCTACAAATCGCATGCGTCATTGTTTGTCTTTTGTGTCTGTGAATGCAATGAGTTCACATTTTGACTACGTGTTTGTCTGGTGCATATTTCTTTTAAATATAACTACGTAGTATTGACCACCAGTTATGTAATATGGAATCGCTTCAAATTACTAATTGATTCATTAAGTTGATTCATCAAGTTAAATCAGCATTATTTTTCTCTTCAACATATTTTGTCTACCTTTACTTAGTGATTCTTAAAAAGTACTAAATATTGGTGAAATGCTTAGTTTAAAAAAGAAATAAACAGGAAATATTGCAACACAGATTTAAGTATTCAAACTCAATTTCAGCCTAAAGACCACCATGTATCTCAAAGGTTTATAATTGATTAACCCTGCCGATAGCTGCTACCTTGTCGTGGTGGTCGGGCTTGAATACCGTAATGACCCAACATGCTAAACTGAGTGGGACTCTGTCCCTGCGGGTCCTACCATGTCAGGAAGGTTTTCTGGATAGTGGTTAAACTAAAAACAGTTATCATAGTGTACATGGAATCCAGTATCCAATCGGATCAAATGGCTTATGAACCCATATGGGTCACCGGAAACCATGGGAATGCAGCTCCTGACACTGCTCCTCTGCCTTACAGATTAGACTCCAAGTCAAAGGCTCGGGGTTGGTCCCTTAATAAAACCACCTGCTTCGGTCTGGGCGCCCGGGTACTATCTCAGCCCTCACACAATGAATTGAATAAAGCAACAAACAATCAATGAAACTTATCGCGTGCTATTACACGTGTTGCAGTTTCCTTACCAATGATAGTTAACGAATACTGTTTGAACTTGTTAAGCATGACTGTTTTCCTTCCAGATGAAGTTTTTTATCCGTTCTCTACTTATATATATTTTTCTCTCTTCTTTCTTTTTTTTTGATCTATGTTGTTTTATTATTATTGTGTGGCGCATCCTTCTTGGTGCCATATTGTACCAAGTTTTTATGCGTTTAAATAAATAAATAAATAATTGATCAATCATTTCTTCATCATCATCAATAACAATAATGTATATTGTTGTACGCTCACCTTGTCTGGCTTGTTCTTCTTGATCATGGTGTGTTTTTTTCCCTTCTAAAAATTTGTTTATCCTCTAGAAAATCTAACCAAAGTTCTGTTATGGCGTAATTACCAGGAGGATATAATTATGTGTCTTCGCCAAGGTATTTATCTGTCAAGGAAAGATAATGAATTAAGAAAGGTGAGTTTCCCTTTCTCTGAGTTAACTAGCGTGTTAAAGTTGACCGATTTTAGTATTTTTATATTTTCAGGTATGTTATTTGTCAACTAGTAACTGTAGTGATCAATACACCAACTGGTTGTGGTCTAAACGCAGAGAGAGTCGTTTGCGTCCCGCTGTGTATCTGCCCGAAACTTCCTTGAGATACAAGGTGCAGTCACAAAACGCTCTAAAGGAAGCAGAAAAGTCTATCGTTTGTGACTGAAATCTACGTGTGGTTCTATTCATCATTAATAACATCAAAATCTCAAAACTACCTCAACAAGTAATGTCTGTCTGTTTTCAACATAGAACTTTGCACCGATATGCAGCAGTTCCAGGTCGCCACACTCCATGTAGCACACAAAGCGAGAGAGGAAAGTAGAAGAAATGCAAAATAGAGACAGTAAATAAGGATATGAGACAAAAAGAATACTAATAAAGAATAACAATATAGTTTCATTGTGTGAGGGCTTACGATGGGTTGTCATCTGTACTGGTGACAACTAGTGGATCCCCACTATCCCTGTTTCTCTTCAATTTCATCGTAGATGTAGTAATGGAATTAACCCTAACTAACTTCAGAGACTCAGGGATTGACTTGCTACTAAGGAATAATCTCGTTGACTTAGAATATTCAGACGATATAGTCCTTCTAGGCGAGGACGCTGACAAAATGCAGGGTCTTCCGAACATCTTCAGCTGCAATCTACGAATGTTTGGCATGCGATTCGCTCTCGCCAAATGTAAGATGATGCTACAGGATTGAACTAACTGACTCCTAGCTTATAGATAGGAAGTGAATTGGTTGGTGGAGCGTTTTGACCACTTCACTTGTTTGGGAAGTTGCATCAGCCAGTGTCCACGGGTTAATCTCTGACGAAATCCCAGTACGGATACAGAAGGCTAGTTTCGCATATACCAGCTTACTCCATCTCTGGTGTAGACGTGATATCCTACTGGCTGTCGATCAAAGGGCGTGTGTACTGCTCAGCAGTTCGCCCCACCCTCCTTTATGGATGTGAGACCTGGCCATTTAGAGTAGAAGACACATGAAGACTAGCCAGCTGTCTTTGATCGTAGATGCCTGCGTTCTATCTCCCGTGTGAAGTGGTATAATAAGGTGAGCAATATTCAGGTTATGCGTCGAGTGCTAGGTAAGGAGGGGAAATCAGTCGACGATACTGTGAAGCCACATCGACTGAGATGGTTAGGACAGGTGTTACGCATGCCCAGCCATCCATTGCCTTCCCCGACGGGCAATGTTAGCGGACACAGGGTTATGCTGGAAGAGGGTTAGTGGCGGTCAAACCAAAACACGGCACCAGTCAGTGAAATCCATAACAGTTAGTTTAAGCCACGTAAGAAGGCGTGGACTTCCTGGTTGGGGTCCTCAGGATGGTAGAAACCAGTGGCTGGAGACAATCGGTGATATGGTTCAAAATCGTCGTCAATGGCTGACGCAGATGTATCCACTCCTTGTGACTTACAGACAGTGTAGGTTTCTAAACACAAAACAAGCACTGTAGAAGAAAATTAGTCAACCTAGATGTCAATTGTAAGAAATGCCTTAGAACCAGGTAGACGAGTCCCAACAAGGTGGGATCAAAACTCTGTCCACAAGAATCACACTGTTTTTTCGAAGCATATTCACGCTGATTATCGGATGATGTAGAACTATGACATACGTTTGAGAATTATTCATACACCAACAGAATTAAATCCGTTCAGTGAAGTATGAAAAAAAATTAAAATGATGAAAAGGAAACATTTATATTAAATATTTCCACTGAAGAAAAACCTCTGCTGGTTTATATTCCTATAAACTACCCTTAAGGATCTAAATATTTTAGAAGCAACTAAAAAACTTTCTGGATTACTTAGATTTAAAAATTTCTTGTAAATCAAAAGAGAGGAGTTCAAGATGGATTACCGTTATTTTTGCGTAATCCAGTTAATCTTTAACAAATATTCATAGCGTCAAGACAGTGAATAACCTTGACGTGTTGACCAATCTGATGTGTAGTTGATGACCACACTCATCTTGGTCAGAAGTACTCGCCCGACCACCTTCTTTGACTTAAACCTCAAGTGGTCATTTTACCTCTATAGTTATCTTTAATTTTAGTGATCAGGTTAAAGTGGATCATTATTCACAAAGATTAACTAGGACTTTTGATTTCAAAAAACAAGACTTCAGATCATCGAAATGTTCCTTCACATCATCATGGCTATTCTCTTCTACATATCCCTGGCATTGACTTCATATTTTCTTTTTTATTTCGTACTACTTTTGTGGATAGTTTGTCAGTGTCTGTCAGTCTAAAATATTTCCTACTTCCAAATAAATGCGATTGAATCAGACTGGTAATAGCTGACGTTTCAATAGCTTCCTTGTTATCTTGTTCATTGTTTATATAAATAAAGGGTGTTAATTCACAGTATTTTGTTTTCATCGTTTGATTAGTGAGTGGTTGTTTTTATCCCTCTTTGATTGATTGTATCCTTACTTATCAGACTAATGATTTCTTTCTATCCCTTTTTCCTCCCGTCTAGTTTACGCGATCATTAATTGACAGTATGTTACAACTCCTGCAAACTACAATGGATGAAGACTTACAGCGTATTACAAATTTAAATTTAGGTTATAGTCTTCTCATGGGATTGGCTCGTTGTTATAAAGACTTGACAATTGATTCATATAGACAACAAGTAATACTTAGATATCTCAATGGCTCTGGATTTATCTACAATAAAGTATACATACCGTATTTACAACTGTTGAATGCAATGTTGTGTGAAATTATCTCTCCGGTTTTATATCAAAATCATCCTTATCCTAATTCCGCCTCTGTTACGGCTGCTTCTGTCCCGTTACATTCTACTGGTAGATCTAAACTGGATCATCAGATGGGAAATAATCGAAATGGTGTTGGTAGTGGTGGAGGTGGTGGTGCTGGTGCTGGGATAGCCAACTATTCTACTCCCCAATTCTTTGATATAAAAGCTGTACAACTTATATTTTCTACAATACACTGGGCATTTTTAATTATTGTTCGATCAAGGGTAAATCATCAATTTATATTCATTATATAAAGTAGTTCATATATATATATGGGCACCATATCCTAGGTTTTTTGAAATATTTTACACTTTATATTATTATAAGTAGATTTTGAAACGGTAGTAAACGAAGACTTGGTAAAGGGGAATGTTTACTTGGATATTGGATATACATGGCATTTATTATTACAGAACATTTTTTTATTCTCCCGTTGAATGAAAAGCAAAACGATGTTTTGTTTTTCCTGACACTTCGCTATTTAGTGCTGATAATTTTAACAAAGTAATATTTAACCAGAATTTACAAAATATCAGTTCACATACACCAATTTAATCATAGTTCTCTATCATAAGGTAACTTTTATATTGTCAACTGACCGGTTTGATAAGGATAACAAACTGTGTGGTGATTGTTAGAGTTAATAAATTTATGGATTTTGAAAGCAGCATGTGTGTTTACATAATGAAATTGTTCATTGTATTTGTGTTGATTTTGTCACTTCATGAGAGTTGGGCAGGTTTGGGTTCAGGTTTAGTCTTAATCTCTCATTCCCATCCAGACAATTAGGATTCTATTTAGTGTGAAGTGATTCTGATATAAGACGTTCTTTATGATTTTTCAAACTATATTGAATAATTTTAATACTATCAAATTATTAAGTATTATTGATTCGTTGGACATAACTGCTTTTTCTGAATTGGCTGTTAGTAAGAACTATCCTTGAAGGGTTTGTTAATGTTCTAGAATCCCTTTACAAAAATATCTCAGCTAGAGTGAGATAACACAACTGCTTTCCACCATTGTCTTCAATCAGCAATGGGTTCACACCAAGTTTTCCCGATCTCACCATTTCTTAACTTGACCATTGAATAAATTTTGAGGGCAGCTGAGTAGAATAGATGTTCTGTCTGAATAACGACATTTCTACCTTGGATATGCTACTGATATTATCTATGCTAAGCTCTTTTCTTCGTTCAAATACAAAGTAATTTTGAAAAAATCGTAAGAAGTTTTACCTGTACTAGGCCTTACAGAAAAATCGTTAAAAGTAGTCGAGAAGTTAACGTATCTAGGTTTTTCGATCCAATGACATATTGAATTTACTGTTTGCGAGCTTTAAATCTGGTTGGATAAAGTAAAGAGGTGATCAGTCCTTGACGTGACACAATGCAATGAAGGGTATTTGAGATGAATTTACAATCTTAGCGCTATAAGAGACATATGAAGAACTGTTATTTCAATCCCGTTTTTAATTAAAATTTTGCATTCTGGAGTGAAGGTTTCTACTAGAGCTAGAAATGTTATATCATGAATACTTAACTGTCCTCAGATTTGTTTTATGCTACATCAGGTGCTTTTCAGTGGACTGCAGTGGTATTTCTCAACTGATTATAGAAGCAATTCATGTTCTTTAACAAATAGTTTCTTGTCTGTGTTTTTTTACTACTAAAGAAAGGAAAAACAACGGTTGGAATAGAATATCATTCCACTATGCTCCAACTGTTGTTTTTGCTGTCTTCTGTATTCATAAAGCTTAATGAATGCATCAAATCGTTGAATACTTTTGTCCAGTCAATTGAAATTCTTCAACTATTTTTTTTCATTTATCTCTTGTTTCCATCTATTCCCTTCCATAGAAACATAATGGTAATGTGCAGTAATAGTATAAATCACTGACTCTCCTGTGTTAACAATTTGAAAATATTCCGCATTTTAATGTATGATTCACTTTTCCTTTCTGTTATTCCATACAGCAATTAGATATTATGCAATTGAATGGTCACTCTCAGAAAGAAGCTGAATTACTGTTTATACGTCAGGTGGAATCTTTTCTCTCTGGTATAATTGATGTCACTTGTCATACTGAAGATGTTCTACTTAGAGTAAGTACTTTTTTCTGCAATTACTGGAATAATTTGACTAAATTGCAAACGATATTGTTTTGATTGGATTTCTTAACTTTTTAATACATGCATATTAAGTTAGTTAAAGGTATAGGAGTCAGAGTTTTTTTGTTATACGATGTAAGCTGTAGACGCTTCAATTGATTTGAAATGAGCGGAGAACAATGTCTTACTCTAACTAGCTACTGATGGCTTTGTTTTCGTACTACTTGAAAGTAGTATACCGCCAATTTCACAAAATCTTTCAGTGTTCTTTTACTTTACTATTCTTGTCATTGTTATACCGTCTGTTCGGTTTGCACTCGGAGGGTGTGGCGTGTAATATCGCTTAACAATCTTGAATAAACACTGTTAATGTCATTTTGCAAGTAATGTGTAGGTTCTAGTTGTGTTTTTTTTTGGTGTTAAGTTCAATCTTCAAAACAGTATATATATATAATACTGATGGTGAATTATTACATTGAAAAATACCCAACAGCTGCCTTTTCACTATTTATATCATACCTGTTATTTTCTTCCTTTATGCTGCATGCAGCTGATCGGTTACTGGTGATCGAATTATGTTGTGCTATGTAGTCTTCAGTGGTAGTCATATCCCATTGGTGAAATATCACAACTGTATTTAAGCACTGTGTAGTGTTTCAAGTGTTGGTTTGCAGGGATTTGATTGTTTTCGGGATTTCATTATGGACTGACATTCGTTAGAGAACCATTGGAAGGCCTGGGAACACCAGATAGCTGTTTCATCCTAGTATAAGACTCTTGGCCGTATGCACCCACCGGGGTTAGGACCCAAGGACCTTCTGGTTACAAGGCGAGATTGTAGGCCATTAAACCACTGGGACCCAGTCAGATGGTCCATGAATTCCAACTTTTGCCAATTCACGATATCGCGCTACGACTAGCGAATGTCATCGGCGTGTATTTTTCCTCATACCCGACCTGCTTGTTCCCCACTGATCACGACTTCCCACTAAAACCCGGGTAGCTACCTACCTGAATAGAGCCAGTCACTAGTTGAGCATTAGGTTGATATTCAAGTGTTGGTTTCAGTGGCTTAATGGTCTACGCGCTCGCCTTGTAACTGGAAAATCCTGGGTTCGAACCCCAGTGGGTGCGCACTGTGGAAGAGTACTAAACAAGGAAGAAACAACTGTCCACTACTCCCAGCTTTCCCAGTGGTTCTCTGATCGATATCGCCTCGTAGCGAAATCCTGAAACTGTGTATTTTTTTGACAGTCAACTGGATCTCTGTGATATTCTTTTCTCCATTTTCATTATTATTATTATTATTATTATTGTTATTTTTCAATAGTTGTTTACACACAATGATATCATTGTGCGGTTTTTCTAATCATTGCAGTCTTCGGACCACGTACAGATAAGGTGCTAGTGTAGGTTCATTTAGTAAAAGAGAGAGAGAGGGCGAGGAGGTATTTTTATTTACAGACGTTCTGGAATCACTTGTGTATGCTATCACAACAGAAATAGAGATATAATCTTGTTAACTAGAAGCTTTAAATTCTTATCAGAAAGTGAGTAAACTGTCCAACATTTGATTGGGTGCTGCTATACCACTGTAAGGATGTTATAAATGCGTATTGTCACCAGGTCATACTGACAATAGATATGCTTTCTTAATGAATGGTGATGATCTATGTATAGCTACACCGCGTTGATGAAACTTTCCAAATTGTTTCTATTTCTTTTCTCGTGCTCTGTATCATTACAGTTCAGCGTAAAAATTCACGACTTAGCTAAAATACCACCACCTTCCGACTTAATTATCACTGTCGTTATTTTCTTTTTGTCTCGTTTTTTTTCAGTTGATTATCTTTAAGCATGTTCCAGAGATTGTTAAATGTTTAACAGAAGTTTATCCCAAGTTAAAACTGTCTCAATTCATTGTCCGGTTGATTACACGTACACTAGAGAGTACTGAACTGCCAAGTCAGAAAATTCTAACTGAAACCATTCATTCAAGTCTATTCACTGATGCTCAATGTCGTCATCTTCTTGTACCAACGATTCAGTCAAGTTTAACGCATGTTTTCACAGAAAAATTGGATAAAGTAATTTTGTCTTTTGTCTTTTCTTAAATTCATCTTTCTATCGCTTTATGACAAATTTATTGGTGTTTGTGTGTGTGTGTGTGTGTGTCTGTGTGCTTTTGTCTCAGTTCGTCAGGCCTTCTGGTGTCTGATGTCTTAAAATGCCTAAGGGATAATTTCTGTCTCGTGAATGATTGATACCAGATGTATATAAAATTAATGGTGTAGTGGTTTATGAGGTCGTGTACACCACTGGAAAGTATGAATTCACTGGTCTGTAAATAATCTCCTAGAAAAAAAAATTGGTTGCAATGTGTTATCACCATATTTCTCTTCCTAGCAGATAGATCTTTACGTTACTGTTAGTTTAAATTATAATGTTTACTATACTTATCGTTGATATAAGAATAGTACTTGTGGACTGTGGTAGAGTATAATTCCATTATGGGTAAAATTTATTTTGATAAAGTTTCATAATGTTATACAGTAACATTTAATGGTGAAGCAAAATAAAAATAATGGGGAAACTAATAATGATAACATAAATAAGAGAGAATATAAGGCATCTACTGTTATACCATATAAGGAGCGGACATCTGAGACCCTATGTAGGATTCTTGGTAAAGCAGGAATTAGAGTGGTATTTAAACCTACAAACTCACTCAGGGATAAGCTCTGCAGGTTAAAGCACCTTATTGACCCAATTAGACAAATTAATATAATTTACAAAATACCTTGCAATAAATGTTAGTTAGGTCAACTACATAGGTCAAACTAGTAGGTCAAGAGTAGCCAGATTGTCGGAACATAAAAATTCAGCTAAAGTAAGAATGGTTGACCCCGAGAAGATGAGTCATTTATCCGTTGACTGATGTTTTAGGTTGTAGCTTGGTGTTTTGAACATCTGACCCTTAGATATTAGACCTTGAATAATATCAATAACCTATTTCTAATGTTTCCGTCTTCTAGAATGTTATTGTTTTTATAATAATAATAATACAGCTTTATTTCAGCGTATTTAGTTCCGAAATATTTTCCCTTCATACAGAATTATATGTAAAACGATAATCCTAAGTAAATCATTTGTCGTAATGATGTTGTATATGAAGAGAAAACCAGTTCTGTAAATTTTTTTTAAAATTCCTTTGAAAATTGCATACTGTATAGTGGGAAACTAATTAAATATGTGCGCAAGTTCATGTATTGGTCATTTGATATAATTGCACGATTAAAACAATAAGAAGTGCAGAAGAGTTTAGGCATTTTGATGGATTTAAATTCTGGTAGCCCAGTGATTTAAGCAGGTCGTCGTAGTATGCGTCATTTATTATTATTATTATTATTATGACTATTACTATAATATTTAGCTTGAAATTGGTTCTTGCACTTTCACAGACACAAATTTAAAAAAGGTATTCAAAAAGGGAGTAGCCAGACGTATTGAGTAGCTTTCAAAGTTTACCTGGAATAATAGTACAGTATTGTTTCAGTACGGAATATAGTCATAGCGACTAAATTACCATCTCTCTAAACTGTTTCCACCTCACTCTTTCATCAGTATCTATTTTCATTGTCCTTCTTAGGTTCTTAATTCTAAAAATAATGAAAATACAGCCATAATGGATGTTTGGTGCGATGTACTGCTTTCCTTTGTGGACAGTTTCACAAAAGCCACTGATACTACCAATGCAAACACATGTGATGTTAGTAGCAATAATCACCGTCCTAAAGAAGAAGAAGATGGAGAAGGAGAAGAGGATGATAATAGTGAAACTGCATCATCTAAAGCCTCATTAACACCGACAAGAAAATCATCATCTACTGTTGTAATCGATTCTACTTCTTTTTATAATGATAAATCATCAGATGAAATTTTTAATCTACTCATTAAACGTGATTTTCTGCGTTGGACTATGCAACAGTTATCAAGGATTTTAATATTTATACATCAACGTAATTCTAGTCTATACTGTCAACCTATGAATTGTGATTCATTTGCTGTTGTTGTTGCTGGTGGTGGTGGTGGTGGGGGCGGTGGCAGTGCTAGTAATAGCAGTAGTTGTTGCAGTAGTGGTGGTACAACATTACCGTCAGTAAATAAATTATCACCTTCAAAACCGCCTATTCATCCATCTTATCATCGATTACAACCAATTATGGTAAGTTTTGTATAAGTATTGCTTGTATATACACTTTAAGTGCTTCAGTGTCTTATGAATTATTAGTAATATATATGTTCTTAATCTTCGATATACCACGAGTGGCTTCCATCATAGCAGGATAGTAGAAAGATGAAAGTTACCAAGTCTAGGGTCTAGCATTACCGCCTAATGAGTCATTATAACTCTCCATAGGTCTACACGTGTCGGGTGAGCTGTCTTGCTCTACGCCTGTGAAACCTGACCTCTCCGAGCTGAGGATGTGCGAGGACTCTGTGTGTTCGATCATCGCTGTCTCCACAAGATTGCTTGCGTTCGATGGCACCATAGCGTGAGCAATTCTGAGGTTCGGCGGCGTGTGTTTGAACACAGTGGAGATCACCATTCATTGAGTGTCGTCATCTGGAAACACCGGCTCCGGTGGCTTGAACATGTTCTGCTAATGTCATCCCAGAGGCTTCCGTACAGGTCCCTGTTCGCTAGCCCTGGGGCGGGATGGAAAAGGCGGAGAGGTGGTCAGTCCATGACGTGGCGTCGTGGGATGAAGGATGTTTGTGCTAGATTAGCATCGGTTGGTGCGTCACGACTCCCTGGTTGGGGTCCGAGAGATAGCTCGAATCGATGTCTCGAAACGTTATCGGATATAGCCAAGAATCGTAATCAATGGCAAATGTGTTGCAATTTCCTTCTTTCTTCCCTTCTTGATGATAGTTAACGAATACTGTTTGAACTTGTTAAACATGACTGTTTTCCTTCCAGATGAAGTTCTTTATCCGTTTTCTACTTATATTTTTACTTTTATTATTATTGTGTGGCGCATCCTTCTTGGTGCCATATTGTACCAAGTTTTTTTTCTGCGTTTAAATAAATTATAAAATACACTTGTCGGTGGCACTCCTTTACCTCGCTTAGCTAGTTATAAGACTAATAAAGAAGGAAAGTTGGACATGAGGCTAGCAACCCCACTTACTGCTACCGAAACTTCAAGACTTTAGCTTGAAGTCCTATGTTCCACTGGGAACGTAAAGGAATGAAAAAGCAGATCTACATAACATACTAGGTATAATAAAATATTTGTCAAAATCAATATATTAGCATTCATGCATTTGTTGATCAGATTATCTATTTTCTAGTTTTATGGTCTGATTTGATGTAATGCGCTTGACGATTGAATTTGTTAGACTCGCATGGATAATCGCAAGATTAGAACGAGTTATCTGTAGATAAACTAGGTGTGTCATAGGTCAAACGATAAATCTCCTGGTGCGTAATTTGAAGAAAACAGATTCAGATCCTACTGTGATCGAGCTTTTTCCTTTAACTTTAGCCATTATCCTACTCTTATCGACAGGTTGATTTGTAAACATTGAGTCTCTTGTTGTCCTTCTCTGTGCTTTCCTCCCCATAATGCTGATAATATATCCTTTCATACTGAAAAAACCTTTCAATATTACATCGGCAAAAGTAAAAGTTGGCCGTTTCCATTTCGATATCTTATTTGTGGTTCACTCTTTTAAAGATAAAGATTGCTTTATCATCTTATAGTGTAAACATTGCGTTTCCATTTCGTATTCATGTCTTCTTGATCCATTATGTCTGACAAGAATTTGGTGCTGTAGGTTTATGAGGTCACTTCCTAATGAGTTGCCTCACATTAATTGCTTTTAAAATTTTTTTCATCGTATTAAGAAATATCTTGTTTGACTAAAATCTAATCTTGGCAACAGTAAACAAGAGGTACCACGTTAGAAAAGTTTGCTTTAAATATCACACAGTGATTCCATATCAACAACTAGATGACGTTTCGAGTATGAATTATTGAATTATATGAATTTAGTCACGTGATTTCACAATTTGTCGCATATTTTCTCGCTCTCTCTCCAACTTCCCATTGTTGTTTGTTGCCACTTTCCATATCTCCGGTGCAGACGTTGCGTGATTCCGGTTGCACATATGCGGTATTGGGATCGATAAACAAAACTACAAACCAACACCTGAATATCAATGGGATGCTCACTAGCGACTTGCCCTATTCAGGTAGGTAGTTATCCGGGGTTCTAATGAGAAGTCGTGATTAGTAGGGTGCAGCAGGTCGGGTGTGAGGACAAATACTCGCCGAAGACATTGGCTGGGGTCGCGCTATGTCGTGAATTGGCAGAAGTTAGAATTCGTGGGCCAGTGGTTCGGGTCCCAGTGGCTTTATCGTATACGAGCTCACCTCGTAGCCAGAAGGCCCTAGGTTCGAATCCCGGCGGTTGCGTACTGCTGAAGAATACCAAACTAGGACGAAACAGCTGTCACGTACCGCCAGGTTCTCCAATGGTTCTCTAACTAATGTCAGCTCATGATGAAAATCCTGTAAATAAAACTTCAGTGAATAACCTATCTCTCCACCTAACTATACTACGTTTTAATACTCATCCTATCCCACCCTACTTTGTGATTACAATGCAAGTGAATGGAATGGAATGGCAGGAATTAGGATGTCCTTTAAACCTATCAACACTCAGAAATCAACTTTGTCAGCTTAAGCGCCTAAAAGATCCAAATAAGAGAAGTACCATAAACCGGCGTCCTGTAGTTAGAATTTAAATTGTTTGAACAAAAATAATATAATTTATCAAATACCATGTAATGACTGAGAGGTAGACTACATAGCTCAAACTAGCAGATCGGAATCAATCAGATAAGTGGAATATGATAATTTCCCTGGACCTAGAATGACTGAATTTAACTGAAGCACAGTCCCCAAGTTCTACTCCCATATCATGTATGCGTATGTGCAAGCAGTGGACTGCAGTGTCAATAGTATTCGAGTGTCGGACAAAAGCCCACGACGTCAGGAGCAGGGTTCGAACCTGCGCGGGGAAACCCCATTGGATTTCAAGTCCAACGCCTTAACCACTCGGCCATCCTGACACGATAACGACGCACACAAACAACACCCACTTTCACACACTACGACAAAACTAAAAAAACACATCCAGATAACAACCAACCATCCAATCAATCAGCCACTCACTCAATCACACCCTCACTCGCTCAGCCAGTCAGTCAATTAGTCAATCATGACACAGAAACGCTCACGCTCGCTCATACATTTATATATGCATGTATTTACATGCATGCACACATACATTCACATACACACACACACCTACATACACTGAATTCACAACACAACTCAACTCAACTCAACTATCGCCACACACACTCACACACACACAACAAATCATTCACCTGCATCCACAATATCTTCACTCAACTCCAATTCCCAAAATCATAGCATAGTCGTCATCGGTTAACATTCGATCTCGCGTGTGCTCTGCACTGATCCACACTCTCTCACAACACTACACATCACACGTGATCATGTCTCTTCACCTGACATCATTACACTCACCGCTCACTGTGATATCCGACAATGGGATGGTCAACACCAGCGTCTAATGTTCAGTCGGCCAATGGGATGTCATGTAATGACAGTGACTCGAATACACATCGAGGTAGGGGGATGTTGTCGAGGTGAGTGGGATGCAATCGTGTGGGATGTGAATGAATGTGGTGTGGCCGAATGTAATCCGAATTCGAGGAGGCCTTTGCATCGGATTACATTTGATTTCAGTGGGTTGAATTGAGTGGAGCCGACTCGGGTGGATTGATTACGGCCAACTGATTGATATCGAAGTGATTGTTCAGAGGTGGACAAGGAGTGTTCACTGGTTTCCGTCCACGATGTGTTGGATGTTTGGATGGTCACGGATTTCGGTTCGTGTGTTTCAGTCTGTGTGCGTGTGTCGGTTGGCTGACTGGCTGTGTTGCTGGCTGTTGGATTTGTCAGTATATTGGGGATTGTTGTAATTGTTGTTGTGGTTGTGGTAAATGTTTTTGTGTGTGTGCATGCATTTGTTGAAATTGGTGCGAGAATTCATGTTCAGTGGTTAACAATTATGTCCGACTCCGGTACAAATATCCTCTGAGAATTTTTCCATCTGGTTTGATTTGTCTGTGAGACAATTAGATCTGATTGGCATTCGATGTGTGTGTGTGTGTGAACAGTTGTCTGAAGATGTGTTTGCTCGTTTGGGTTGGTGTGTGTGTGGATGCGTTTGTACTACGAATGACTGGCTTTTTCGAATGTGGATTTCGTCAAGATTTGTGTGTTGTCAGTGTTGGCTGGAGGATGGGTGCAGTCGACTGGTGCGTCGATTGTTCAGGAAGGTATATGTTTTGCTTGTATATAGGTGTAATATGGGTGTGTATGTTCCATCATGGCTAGATTTTTTAATTTTGATCAACTCTCACTGTGTTATACAGCAATATTTAGTGTTGACGTTTCGAGCACAATTTATTGCTCATAATCATATCGAGTGACACACACTCACACAACCTTCTAACTTCGTTTGTATATTTGCATAACTTTTCATCTCTGGATTTGATTGTTAGTAGTATTTCCCATATCTCTGGTATTGGTGATGAGTACAATAAATTGTTTTGTACATACATTGGTGCACGTGTGTGTTCGCTTAGTTTTACGGATTGCTATCACCTCAGTGTATTTCATTTTGGTCTTTGATGATCTTTAGAGAATAAAATAGCCTTCTAAATGACACCAATAGTCAGATTGTTCCGAATTTTGTATTGTGTTTTTATTCCTTTATGTTCCCGGTGGAAAATGGGACTTCAAACTAGAGGTCTGAAATCTTGGTAGCAGTGGTATTTATTTTTGGATCACCACTAGGACCCATTCTAGCTGACATTTTCCTTGCGAAACTAGAAAATGGGCGTTTGAAGGATGTTCGTAATAAACTCGAGTTTTATTGTCGGTACATGGATGATACTTTTTTGATTATGAAAAATGAGAAGGAAGCAAAGAGCATTCTGGATAAATTTAATGAGGTACATCCTGCAACAAAATTTTACTATTGAGAAAGAAAAAGACTCTAGTATTTCATTTTTAGACGTCTTTATGACCAGAAAAGAGGATGACACAATAAGAAGAAGAGTATTTAGAAAACCTACATCAACGGGTCCGTACACACATTTTCTCAGCTTTGTGCCCTTGAAATACAAACGAAATCTAATAAAGTGCTTGGTTTACAGAGCAAGATTGATTTGCTCGGACGAATATCTTGATGAAGAATTTAATAATATTAAACGGTTGTTAAGTGAAAGTGGTTTTCCTGCAAAGTTTATTGAAAAGAATCTGAATCTGGAACCAGGGCAGCCCAAGTTACCAACAGTTCCAAAAAGGCCTTATTCTTACAGATGCAACTCCTTGGGGACAACACCAGCGAGATACTAACACAGCGCCTTAGAAATGCGGTGAAAAGAGCATTCCCTGCTGCTGAATTACGTTGTATCTTTAAAACCACCCCTCTTCTGCATTCGGGAGTAAAAGAAAAACTGCTAACTTACGCCTCTTCCATGTGTATCTAATAGTTTAACTGCTCCTGTGGAGCCAGTTACATAGGCCGTACAATTAGGCGTGTTTCTCGTCGAATTTCCGAACATCACCTTGCATAGTTAAGCAAAGGACAAACAAAATCTATTCGCAGCGCTATTCTGTCTCATCTTGTGGAGACAACACAAGAGTGACGTTAACCATGCTTTCAGGGTCATTTACCGCATACCTACGAATCTCAATTTTGCCTTAAGATTTCGACTACTAAATATTGCTGAGGCTGTGGGGATCCACATTAACAAGCCTAATTTATGCATCTAAAAGAAGTCAGTTCAGACATTATCACTACCTTGTCCATCTAGGTTTGAATAATCCTGAATTTTTGTGGAGGTTTCCTAATTTTAGTTGATATTCTATTCGCTATTATATCTTTATTATTATTGTTATTATATAATCATCTTTAATGAATTGTAATTGCATTGATCGTACTTAACAAATCGATATTATTTCAAAAACACTTATATTGTTGTTGATTAGTAATCTAGAATATTCTGCGTATATACACATGTATATAATTGTAGAGCCGGAAGAGGAATTTATCGAAAAGAATATCCTTTGCTCGATGATTTTGTACTTATTTTTACTGGGTGGGGTTGCTAGCCTCATGCCCAACCTTCCCTCTTTACCAGTCAGGCTTAGCGAGGTAAAGAAATGCGTCGGCTGGGGATCGAATCCCGAACCATGTGTGGCGTGGTCGGCGAACATTCCCTCTGTTGTGCCACCGACGCACTTTGAATTGTGTAGGGAGTTATAACTGTCAAATATGATAATTTGCATCATCATCTATCATCGTCTCTCTGCTCGTTTAAATGATATCAGGGTAAAAATCATGACTCATCACCCATAAGTCCTATTTAATTAGATAAAATAATTGTTGAATCATAAAATCTAATTAAAACTGTACTTCATTAATTTTCTTTTTTTTTCTTTGTATTTACCAGGGTTGTTTATCCACTGTTCTCTTCTCGTTACTACGACTACTGACAAAATCTAGTTGGATAAAATTTCTCGACTCTGTATATGAAACTGAAGAATCTTGTCGGTGTAGTTATTGCCATAATCTACAACTTGTGGGTATTTATGATTTTCTGCATGAGTTAATCAATCTCTTCTGTTTAATGCATTTATATCCGGCTTATCCATCACCAATGTTTCGGTCAAGATCTGACAGAATCTGGGCAGTCGGTAGGTATTCATGGGAGGATGGTAGTTATGCTGATGATAGACGATCAGAGAATTATGATCAAAAGTTGATATCTTCATCATTATCATCATCTCAACAGAATAATTTATCGAATATCTCGTCTATGAATCAGCATAACAATGCTGAACTATTCTCTCAGTCATGGATTGAAATGTTGGCGTTGATATCAAATTCTGAATTGGATGTTATTGAAGTACTGATTGAACTTGCTATTAAACCATTTTTCCTTGATTCTAAATTGGATAATAAGGTGAGATTATTTTGTACAGTAGATTTTAATATGATCTGTTTGTAATAACCTCAGTAACATTGTGTCATATTATCGACTGTTGATTATCATAGTTCCTTTGGGTTCTGAGTGGAACATAAGGCTTCAACAACACATCTCCACTTTGTTCTATTTTCTGTTGTCCTCTTTATCTCGTCACATGATTGCTCATAATCTCTCATCTCCTCCACGTCACCCTCGGATGACCCAGTCGGCATTTCCCATTCGGATTCCCTTCAAGTGATGGCCTGGCGTGCAATGTCATTCAACGATCTCCTCACTGTGTACCCAATCCATCTCCATTTTCTCCTACTTATCCGCTGAACGATAATAGGTGTTCTTGATTAGTTTGTTCCCATAGTTTCTAGTTGCTAATTCTTTCCACCTGCCATTTGATCTTCAATATTGATAGGATCCTACATATTTTGGTATTGACTGTTAATCTTGCATATATGGTATATTATCATTCCCACACATTTTGTTATTGACTGTTAATCTTGCATATATGGTATATTATCATTCCCACACATTTTGGTATTGACTGTTAATCTTGCATATATGGTATATTATCATTCCCACACATTTTGTTATTGACTGTTAATCTCGCACATATGGTATATTATCATCTCTCACGCACTTTGTTATTGGCTATTAAGATCAATTATTTCAAATGCTGTTAGCTGTCCATATTGTTGTAAAATGTATAAATACCATGGCTTTCTTTGTCGTTGTTGCACTTCAATACACAGTCACAGTCCAGCCTTTGTCTTTTGATATTTGCGTGCTTTACTAAATCGGAAGGTACGACAAGCAGATAGGCAGATTAGTTCAGGCGCAGACAGAACAAGGTGAAAACGTCTTCATTTAATTCCCTACAGTTATAACAAATTGGCGACGGGGTTTACCTTAATTCATTGCAGTTATAGCAAGCAAACGACGACAGTTTTTATTCTGTTCAGCGCAGCTATAGAACATTTTTGACTGTGTTAATTACAACCCAATTACAATGTCTATCTCTCTGGACGATCTCAAATCTATCTTGCAGCAGCAGCAAGTTCAGAATGAAGCAGCTCAACTAAAATTAATCGAAGCTCTCACTCAGAAGCTGTCCATTCAAGTTCCATCAACATCTCATTCTGACAAATATGAAAGCATCTCAAATTCCATCAGTGAGTTCAACTACGACCCAATATCTGGTCTCGTATTTGATGCATGGTTCAATCGTTACGAAGACGTTTTCCGTATTGAATGCTACATGTTTGATGATGCTGCCAAAGTCCGATTGTTACTAAGAAAACTTGGTACTGTTGAGCACAACAGATATGTTAACTTCATTCTGCCCAAGAACCCACGTGAGTTATCATTCGATGAGACAGTCACCGTTTTATCACAAATCTTTGGTGAACAGTCATCCATGTTTAATATTCGGTATCAATGTTTTCAGTTGACAAAAATGCCTTCCGATGATTATGTGACTTACGCTGGCAAAGTGAACAAGGAATGTGAAAGGTTCAAACCACACGAAATGACATCAGATCAGTTCAAGTGTTTGATTTTTATTTGTGGGTTGAAGAACCCAGAAGATACTGACATACGAACTCGACTTCTGTCACTCGTGGAACAAGACCCGAAAATGACTTTACAAATGGTGACAGCAGAATGCCTACGTTTAATCAACTTGAAGCACGATACTGCTATGGTGGAGTGCAAACGACAGTCGTCTGAATTTGGTTCAATTAACACAGTGAAAAGTCCTCCGATCACCGTTAAGCACACAGCACGTCAGTCTCAGAATTCAGCTAAACCTCCTTCAGTGTGCTGGCACTGTGGTTCGTGGCATTTTGTCAAGTTCTGTCCTTTCAAGAAACATAAATGCCGTAATTGTCACCGTTTTGGACATAAGGAGGGTTACTGTCCACCGCAGAAAAATCTTCGGTGAGGAACAGAAGTAGTCGTTTCAAGCCGAAACAATCTCCTCGAGTACAGACCATTTTCACAACTTCCAAAGTCGATTTCGCCAGCAAACGTAAGTACATTACACTAGGTATTAACGGCAAACATATTCGTCTTCAGTTGGATACGGCATCAGATATCACCTTAATTTCCCGAACTACGTGGCGCAAACTTGGGTGCCCACAGATTCTGCCGACCGAGCATGTCGCCAAGAATGTCTCTGGAGATATACTGAAACTCGTGGGTGAGATAAATTGCCAGGTTCAGTTTGGTGAGCATCACTTCAATGGTGTATGTTACGTTACAAACTACCATGATTTGAATTTGCTTGGTCTTGACTGGTTAGACAAGCTCCATATCTTTAATGTACCATTAAATTCAGTATGCTCTAATGTTTCGTCCTCACCACACAACGTTGTTCCCGGAGATGTATCTGATCAATCTCTCTTGCAACGCCTTCGTCAAAAGCACGCTTCTGTCTTCCAGGACAAACTTGGTTGCTGCAAACTGTTTGGCATCCAGCATATTCGTAGCCCCCCGTATCATCCCCAATCGAATGGACAGACTGAACGTTTCGTCGACACCTTTAAGCGTGCTTATGCAAAAGCGAAGGGGGAGGGAACAACAGAAGAAATTTTGGATAGATTCTTGCTGCATTATCGTACGACGCCAAATCCTTCCGCCCCAAATCAGTTATCCCCAGCGGAAATTATATTTGGCCGAAAGATCAGAACTGCCCTCGACTCAATTAAGCCTAGGCAAGTAAAGCAGGGCTGCAGAAATACAAAAATGGAAAACCAATTCAATCGCCATCACGGAGCTAAACGTCGAGTTTTCAAATTGTATCAGCAAGTTTATGTACGAGATTTCCGCTATTCACCTCCGAGATGGATTCGAGGACAAATAGTGGGGCAGAAAGGAAGGGTTTTATACAAAGTGAATGTAGAAGGACAGTTATGTGTCAGACACACGAATCATATACGAGATGCGTCAGATAGACCCGACAATGGGAGACGAGACCTCACGTTAGAAGTATTAGTAGATACATTTAATCTTCCGCAGCCGGAAGCCCGGGACACAGATCACACTCTATCCAGTACCACGCGAAGGTCAACTCGACAAAGAAGAGCTCCGAAACCTTTTCAAATAGATCCAAAAAGCAAGTCCTACACTCTTTACGGGGAGAGGTGATAGGATCCCACATATTTTGGTATTGACTGTTAATCTTGCATATATGGTATATTATCATTCTCACACATTTTGGTATTGACTGTTAATCTTGCATATATGGTATATTATCATTCCCACACATTTTGTTATTGACTGTTAATCTTGCATATATGGTATATTATCATTCTCACACATTTTGGTATTGACTGTTAATCTTGCATATATGGTATATTATCATTCTCACGCATTTTGGTAGTGACTGTTAATCTTGCATATATGGTATATTATCATTCCCACACATTTTGTTATTGACTGTTAATCTCGCACATATGGTATATTATCATCTCTCACGCACTTTGTTATTGGCTATTAAGATCAATTATTTCAAATGCTGTTAGCTGTCCATATTGTTGTAAAATGTATAAATACCATGGCTTTCTTTATCGTTGTTGCACTTCAATACACAGTCACAGTCCAGCCTTTGTCTTTTGATATTTGCGTGCTTTACTAAATCGGAAGGTACGACAAGCAGATAGGCAGATTAGTTCAGGCGCAGACAGAACAAGGTGAAAACGTCTTCATTGAATTCCCTACAGTTATAACAAATATGGAGTCAGAGAAGGCAGCTGTCGAAAGGGATCTGCAACAGGCTATTGGAAAGGCTTTTCGTGATGCTCAGTGCAAGTTTCTGACCCATCTAGAAGAACTGACTGACTTGACATTGATGTTAAACATCCTAATCTTGTTCTTTATGCTGAGTAATTTGTCTGTTTCTTAAAATGCTTAACGTGTAACTTATAATCTCATAGGTTAATTATTTAGAAATAAATAAATCACAAAACTGTTGCTCTGCCAATCTTTGTATAAAGTAAATCAGAATGGAATTATATTTTATTATAATGTGCTAGTTGTACTGTTATCCTCATAATGAAACCTTCCTCAGTTGAGTTGTGCACTACTGCAGATAGACACTTTACGGATTACTGTTTTAAAGTTTTTGAAGATTGGGATATATAAACAAAGTATTTCAGCTCTCTCCAGATTTTGTTGGTATCTGAACTCAAATTTGAGTTGACAACTATTTCACTATTATGTGAGTTCAAATGGAATTCGCACTGTGTGGAGATATCTTCATACATAGATTTCATATTGATTTGTGTGTATATTTCATTAGTTGAATTAAAGTGAAACTACACAAACCAGACATTCCTTTACAGACCGAACATTCAACTGTCCTTTAAAATAGTTCAAACACACTGTAGCACCGTGGTGTTGAAAAGAGTGGAGAAAAAATACCTACTAACCGTCTTCAAAAATAACGGATATCCTCACAATTTCATCAAAAAGTGTCTAAACTCAAGTCATAATATCAACAAGAAACCATCACCAAACACTGCCACAATATATAAAAAAAAATAACAGCTAAAATATTAAGGCCGTTTGAAATAGATATAGCATACAAGCAAGCACAACCGCTTCATTCGATATTGTGCAAACTAAAAGATCCAACAGAAAAAAAGGAAGATAAAATTAATACCATTTCACAAAATAAATTCTATGAACTGCAGTTACATTGGTCAAAGTGGGCGCCCCCTTCGAATCCGAATCCAAGAGCACAGATTGTCTGTAAAAAGATATGATATATATTCTTTCGTATCAATGCATGCAGATAAAAACGGACACGAATTTGATTGGGATAATGTGGAAATTTTAAATAGAGGAAACACCAAAAAATACTGCCAGGGAATTTTTAGAAGCCTTGGTGCTCAAGTGAATTGGCAATTAACAAACACATTACTATAGACCAAATTTATCAGTTAATAAAAAAGTAAACCACATAAGAAGAAAATTCGAATTCCAAGGTATTAAAAATGATCAAAAAAGATATAAATTGACAACTAATCACAACAATGGTTGTGAGAAGATACAATTATATCAGCAGTAATGGAGAATTCAAATAAATTCATTTTATACTAAAACTTGCACTGAAGATGTTGTCTAGAAGGATGACGAAAGCTCATCAATCAAATCGACTACCTCAGTGAACACAACTAATTCAATGAAAAATCCAAGTATCCAAATCACAAGATATTACCTATTTTTGAATCTATCGACTATCATGAAGATTACTGTCTATTCTACTACTCTTATACATAAAAGGAATTAGCTGTTTTCGCCATCAATGTGACTGCAACCTCTTCCAAGTGAAAGCTTATCCACTGTCTTTTTCACTCGTTCCTACTTTTATAGATTACTTTGTTTTTGTTATGTCTATGTATATTTAGTATGGTGATATGAATTAATGATTGTGGAAAGCTTCGTGTATTTATATATCTTCAATGCTGGTTTATTCATGTTCACATTATTAAGGAATTGTTCTCGGGATAAGCTTTGTTTAATAGAGGTATCAGTAGACGGTAGATTCAGTGTTTTTTTCTTCCAGTTTTGTTCATCTCCATTCATTGATAATGTTAGTGTATGTCCACCAGGTAGGTTTGACAGATGAAGAAATGTAAGCCTTATGCACTGACGCTCATAAATTCAAGACGTTCCATGTCGAAAAAAGCTGCACAGAGAATTTCGAACAAATAGTTGTGGATAAATGTGCGTTGGTGGCACAGCGTTAGGAATGCTCGCCAACCACGCATATTGTCCGGGGTTCGATTCTCGGCCAGCGCACTGCCTTACCTCGTCAAGCCGGTAATAAGACTGGTAAAGAGGAAAGGTTGGGAGTGAGGCTAACAACCCCATCCCGTAAAACTAAATACCACTGCTACTGAAACTCCAAAGCTCTAGCTTGAAGCCCCATTTTCCACTGAGGACGTATAGGAATGAGATTTTTAAAAGATTAAGTAGAATTTCTGGACAAGAGAGGGATTTAATGAAATGTAGTAGACGTCCTTAAAATTTGAATCATGGGAACCAAGATACATTGCAGTATATTCATTAAGCTAAGTGATGCAACTCTCCAATGCAATTTATGGAGTTTACCAAATGTAGTTGTGTCAGTTGTCACTCGTAATATCATATATGCATAACATAACAGAAATGCCATCGTCATTGTTTTTCCAAACATTTTCAATTTTTTTTCTTAGTTTTTATTACATTCTACTCAGTCGTCATCATCCTCATCGGCAACAGCAGTCTATCAGGCAGAACAGTGTTTATCCACAGATATTATTGAATTGCTTGCTCAGTGTTTAACTGGATTCGCTGTGGAACAAGCTCATTTATGCGTAGAAGCTCTGCCTCCTGTAACTCGAACTCGTATTGATCAAAGTTTGACTAATCACCATTCAATTGATATGCGACAAAGAGCATGTAATTTACTATTATCTCTATGGCATTCTATCGGTAAGTCTTGATTGCTACTTTGACGCTTTATTTTTTATCTTCATCACATTGTGTACTCTCAATATCGGGAGAAAAAAATGTTTAACTCGGACTAAGAATAAATACTGTTATATTCAACATTGAATGTCTGATCATTTAAGATAAGATAAGATAAGCTTTATTCCAAATCAGTACTTGTGATACAGAATGGAATTCTCAGCATTTTACTTCAATATTGCATCCGGTTAGTACATTAACAATAAATATAGTTCTACATAGATTAAGGTTATCTCAGTCAGTTTTGACAACAACATATTAGCATGTCGGTAGCAAAGCCAAAATTTAAACAGTGTTTGAAGGTGTTAGAAAAGTAGATACTATTAGCATATTTACTGGCGTAAGCAATAGCAAAATGGTCGAGGTATACAGAGTGTGAAAGAACGAACAAGAATGTTTTAAGTAGAGTTTGCAAGGAAAAGAGAAACAAAACAACACATAACAAAAAAAAGGTAGAGAAAAAACGTTGTACCTGTAAATGATGTGACTTGGAAAGACGAGATTCATTTGTTCTACTGACTATTTAATAAGTTAAAGGTTTCACGCCTAATGCTTTCTTTATCTCACAGAACACGAGCTAGGTAGGGTATGGATGAGTTTTTGTACTTGCTAGTGCGGGCATATAGTTTCCTATATAGGCTTCTGGTTTTCCCTGAAGAGATACATGGGAAGAGTTGTGAATGTAGAGGGTGTTGTGAGTCAGATAAAATGTTTTTTGCCCATTTTTCACATGAGTCCATGTGCCTGTCCACCAGAATATTAACGCGCTGGCTAAGTGGCAAACTGCTTACCCTGCTGACAACCTTTAACATCCTACGTAATAAGGTATAGTCTTTCTTCAATAGCCCAGGAAAGACTAAGGGGGAACAATAGAGAATAATGGGCAGAATACGGAAGTTAACAAATTGTAGGAGTAAGGGTTGGATTACACCAGAAAGTCTTAACTTCTTGATGTAGAAGGTAAGATGGAATATTTTCTTGGAAATCGTCAAGATATGAGACGACCAGGAAAGATCAGAAGATAGAGTGACGCTCAGGTATTTAACTTCCGACTTGGTTTCAATTTCAGTGCCATCTATGTTGCACATCTCGTGAGTCCTAACCAGTTTGTTTAGGTCAGATTTGTGCCTAAAGGTGAAATTAACTGTTTGGCATTTGCAGGGGTTTAAGGTGAGACCGTTTTCCTTGGACCATTGGCTGATTTCTGATAAGAAGCCATTTAGTTTAGAGCAGTCACTTTGACATTTGACAGGTAAAGATACAGTTAGGTCATCAGCATATTTGACAAAGTTAATGTCATTTGAAGATGGTAGGTCATGTAGGAAGAATGAAAAGAGAAGTGGGGAGAGTACAGCCCCTTGGGGGACACCAGCTTCAGTAAGCACAGCAGAGGAGGATTCGCCTTTGTATACGGTGTACTGTGTTCTGTTTGAAAAGTAGGAATGCAACCAGTTAGTGACCCAGGACTCGGTTTGTGTCATCGAGAGCTTATTTAGCAAGAGACATCTATGTACAGAGTCGAAAGCAGAAGTGAAGTCAAGAAACGTGCAGCGGACATATTTGGCACCTTTGTCTAATGATGAGACAATACTGTTGTGTAAAACGGCTTCAGCGTCTAAAGTACTCCTACCCTGTCTGTAGGCAAATTGTTTGGGGTCTTCGAAGCTTTTAAGGTAGGGTTCAAGTTTAAGAAGTACTAGTTTTTCCATGAGCTTTAGAAACGGGGCAATGGGTCTGAACTTTACGTTCTTGCTGTTGCCAGATTTAGGGACAGGGGCTATTTTAATGTCTTTCCATGGAACAGGTACAACGTTTTCGGAGAAAGAAGCATTTAGGATATCATTGTCTTAAGTGATGATTAGGGATTTGATTGTTTTTTGTCTCGCCTGTGGTAACCTCTAATTTGATTCACTTCTACAAGTATCTTGTTAGTAATTTTTTTCTAGAATACGCTACTGTTAGAAATTCCGTTGCAACATGATTCACTTACACGATTGCTACTACATTCATCTCACCCACAGTTATCTACATTATTGAGATCTATGCACTGCATTCAATTTATGGGAATTATTCACACTTATTGCTTAGTGTATTTTTATGGAATCAAGTGGTCATAGAGGAGACAGCGGTGATTAAGGATAACCAACCACCACCAAAAACAACAAACACCATTTACACTATTAGTGGAAGAAATGTGAACGAGGTCACTTCTTTCATTTATTTGAGCAGCACCGTTTTAACTACAGGCGACACACATGAGGATGTCAAAGCCAGCTGAGATTGGAAAAGCAAGACAGACATTCATTACTTCAAAATCAGCGGGGAAATCTGATTCAATCAGCATAAAGAACAAGATTCGGGTTTCCGACACTCATATCAAGTCGATCACTTTTTCTGCATGATTCAAAAACTTGGCCCGTCATGAAAAGCATTTCTAACAGACTGCAGACTTTTAACACTAGCTATCTTCACTGGCTCAATAGTGAAGATCAAATGGCCGGTGGAAAGAATTAGCGACAAGGAACTTTTGGGACAAACCAACCAAGAACCTATTACCCAACAAATATTCTGAAGGACATGGAGATAAGTTGGATACACAGCGAGTTGACCGTTGAGTGTTATCATCATGTGTCAAGCTCCCGAATAGGAAACGGCAATTTGGGCGTCCTCGCACGAGAGCTTGTAGGCAATCGTGGAGCCAGATGCAGAGAACTGCAAGGGGCAGGATGAAATGGAGATATTCTTCTGAAATCCAATGTTTCACTCGGAATCCAAGAGAAGAGTAATAATAATATAATACAGTAGACTCATGTACTGTTTTAACAAGTGATAAAATCAATTCAGGAAAATGTTTTTCTCCTCTTCATCAAATATATTAGATCTCATTTGTACTGGATGTTCTACTTTGTTATAATTTTCAGACTGTACGCTAGTGGGAAACATGATATTATTATTATTATTGTATCCTTTAGTTCCTAGAGGAACATAGGGCTTCAGCTGCGCACCTCCATTGACTTCGGTTTTTTGACAACTTTTTCACCCTGCTCCAGGTCTGCCCACATGCTTTCATCTCCTCTTCACATGACCTCCTCCAAGTCACCCTTGGACGACCAACTCGCCGCCTCCCTTTCGGGTTCCACTCGAGGGCTTGTCTAGTGATGTCACTTGTTGGTTTCCTCAGCGTATGGCCAATCCATCTCCATTTCTTTCTGCCTATTTGTTTAACAATCGGTTCCTGATTGGTTCGCTCCCAGAGATCCCTGTTGCTGATCTTTTCTGGCCATCTGATCTTGAGTATTGAGCGAAGACAGCTGTTAATGAAGGTCTGAAGTTTGTTTGAGATGCTCTTTATGACTCGCCAAGTCTCTGATCCGTATAGTAGCACTGACTTCACATTGGAGTTGAAAATCCGGATCTTATTTTTGATGCTGAATGCTGTTGACCTCCACACAGATTTGAGAGTAATGAAAGCTTGTCTTGCTTTTCCGATTCTGGCTTTGATGTCCTCGTCAGTTCCGCCTGTAGTTGAGACGATGCTTCCCAGGTAGGTGAAGGAGGTTGTTTCTTTCAGGTTCTTCCCATTTATGCTTATTGTGGTCTGTTGTTGCTGTTGATGTTGGCAAGGAATCTTCATCATCTCTGTTTTATCTATGTTCACGTGAAGTCCTATCTTTGATGCTTCTTCTGCCAATTTGTTACTTTTCATTTGCATATCTTCCAGTTTATGGGAAATCAGACATATATTAGTATATTTTTTTCATGTGTATGTGTTGTAGCTTGCTTGAAGGCTTTCTGTCTTTTGTGTTACTACAACATTGTAAAGCTGTTTGGCAGTCTTTTGGAACAGAAATGACAGTGTATTCAAAATAAGTTCCCCCATAGTGTTTTCAATCGACATATATTTTTATTGACTGCTCAGTCTCCCTGTTTTTTTGTTCCTCAAAGGTTGGTAACTGTAAAGATAAGTAATTCGTAAAATTTGAAAGGAAAACATGGTCTTTTTTAAGGATACAAATTGGCATTCAGTAGCTTAAGTGTTTAACGCGTCACCATAATATCACGAATTTAGTCTCTCTATCCTTTCAGTGTGAGGAAATTATGATACTACTAGACTGTTCAGATAGAAGTAAACGGATAAAGCTTAAGCTAATGAATCCACCAGTCCTCAATTTACTCTAGTAAATTGTTGTTCATAGCAACTATTGCATCACTTAGTTGGAACGTTATGACATGAGAATGCAAATCGAATAAATAATTGGCATATTTTGAGGAGTAAGTTCACTTTCACAACGTTTTGGGGCACAGATTTCATTCCTACTGCCAACCTGTTGTTTCAGTTTTAACTGAATTCATCAGTTCACTACACAAACATCAATTTGTTAATTAAGAGTTGTATTAGAGGACCTCATTACCAGTGTAATATTCTTCTCTAAATGCCACAATTTTAGTTGATTTCAACATCAAGTGCACTCGTCATGAAGATAATATCTGGCATCTTCTCCAGCCTTATTTTCTTATTCCCAACTCACACGACACCAAAAGCCTAAGCTATTCATTCACATGTTTTCAGTTTTCAATAAACCATCCGATGTGTACTGGTTTTTGAATCTTACTGTGCATTAGTAATCGCTTGCAGTATAGGTAAGTACAATTGCACATATACTGACTTAAGACTGTACCATCTAACTAAGTTTAACTGGAATGTAATTTGTGTATATTACAATTGTCATCGTAATCTCCAACTTTTTTTCCATCTCTATTACTCTGTACAGACGATCGTTCAAAAGCAAATTATATTCAAATTTTCCTTCCAAATGTGATTAATATGGCTACATTACCACTTCCACGTAAGTTGTTATACATAAATAGCACTAGGGCATTATTCCTTTCCCTTTTTGTATTAGTGAATAATTTTGTTCGAATTGCTTTGACTTTTATGACACATAACCACAATATTGTCCAGAGGAGGTAGTAATGTTAATGATATCACCACCACATCTTAGAATTGAGAATAAACATCCTAGAAGCTTAGTATTCCTAGCTTATCCGTAAATATATCTACTAATACCGGACTTATTGGTGATCCTATCGCTAATATATTTATTTGCTTGAATATTTTATCTCAAGGTTTTAAGACTGCAGAATTTAGACATAATTTAATACTAGATGTTATTTCTTCAGCTGATAACCTAGTTCTGTATGAGTTCAGGATCAGTGTTTTAATCGTTCCTAACCTGAATTAACTAGATCATTGGTGTCATATCAGAAAGCATCATTTTATCATCCCTTTCCATTTGAATTTCTTAATTTTTTTCATTTTAAAACAATTAGTCCCTTTGATAACAGAATGTTCCAATGTCGTCGAAAAGAACATGTTCCAAAATGGCTAGTAAATCATATTGAAAATCCTAACGCGATTAATCTTAGTAGAAATCCAGCATCATCCATTGCAAAACACTTATTAATGTCTGGTCACAAAATCAATATTAATGACTGTTTCACAATTATTTCACATAACTCTAATTCAAGGTTATCGAAGGTGATGGAAGCACTTTGGATTAATCACATACAGCCTAAACTGTGTGTACAAAAATCAATAGACTTCAATCTTCGCCTACCCTGGACTGCATGACCTATCTTAATATGATTGGTTATTAGGATGTACTTTTGTTTTGATTTAACTGAGTAATTTTCATGAACTTTATTTTATCATTGTTAACCATGTTATAGTTGTAAAGCGGTTGTAAAGAAACTACGAAATGATATCATCTCGCGAAATTTGTCTTCTTAATGCCTTATTCAATTTTTTTCATTTTATTTGCACTAGTCAGTCTAGAATTAGAATGATGTTTATTTGAACAAATTATTGGCGATGGCCTGCTTAAATTTGGGCTACTGAAAAATCCCATCGATATTTCACAAATATTTTCTCCTGTTCAAGTTTGTTTAAATCTGATGAAATATGACCTTTAATTACATTTTGTACTCTGGCGATTATTTAATGTGCCTTACAACTTGCTGATTCGCAAGTTTCTAGTTATCGTGAGAAAAAACATAATTGTGGGTTGGGGTGTAATGCAATGCAAAAGATAGTTGTTCTTTTGTTGTCTGTTCTTGATTCCCAGAGGGAATTCCTACATATGTAACCAATTTTCATGTTATATATATATGCTATTTTACTTGTTATTATTATTATTATTATAGAAATACGCGAAATGTGCGTAGACTGTATATTGAGTGCATTGACTATCCATTCATCCACTGTGGAGCATGTATTCGTCAGTGAAATTGATCGTGTTGTTCAATGGGCTGGTACAGATTTTGCTGCAGATATTCGTGATCTTTTACAAAGCCGTTTGTTGAACAGTAAAAGTTCACAACAAACACTTCAACGTACCACTCCTCACACTACACCTGATGATGTACACTTAGATCATAGACAACGTGTTGTCAATGATTTCAGTAAACAAATTGACTGTCTTCTGCATTATGGTAAATTTATTAATCATCCATCACAGATGAATGAAATGTTGGCATTCTGTAATCTAAGAGTAAGTTATCTTGTCTCAGTCTGTCTATTATTTTCGTTTCCTAATTCATGAATAATTGGACCTGTTTCTCCTACCCGTCCTGCCGTAGCCTGCATGAATGCTGTGTGATAAACATTATTCATAACACAATCACTCTTCGTTTAAAGTATTCTTATACCTGCATAAGACAGCCGTACTTGGAATCGCGTATTAATATATGGGAAATGTTCTCCTTCCATTCAAGCTTACTGCCATTTACTGAGAATAGTTGGAGATTGCCTACTTATAAGTAGTCCGGTGCATATGGATAGAAAATAACTGCAAAATATCCTCATTTCTTTTCAATACTAATTTGGATATGACGCAAGCATTCAGATTCTATTCAGTCACATATATTAGACTTAATTTTCAGTACAGTGATTCATTCATTACACATTTTTAAATTAAAGATAGCCTGGATGTACCCTCCACTTAACAAAATTAAATCAAGAAAAGACTAGAGTCTGGAGATTTATACATGTAGATGTTTGGTATTTTCATTAGAACAAGCAATCAGAAAATATGAATATAAAAGAATTGAATCTTTTCTTGAGTTTGTACAGAATTTCACAAGAAATCAAAAGCAGTAAGTCGAGTCGCGTTCGCCATGCAATTGAAAAGTGACCTGAGTCATAGCTTCGTTTAAGTGTAAAAACCTAGTCGATTTACGGATTACATGGACTCGAGTAGAAAAGGTAAATGAATTTTTCGAATACCGTACAATCACTTAGGTTCATTCATTCAGTCAGAATCATTTGGATTACCGGGAAGTAAGAATTTAACTAAAATAATTGACCCCCGAAAATTCCCCGCCCCTTTGGTGTGCATTCACTGGTCCATGACTACACTACAGGTTGTTATGAGTTCATACTTCTCGAATTTACTGTATTTTTGATTTGATGAAACACTTGGTTGCTGAATGTTTGTTCAGCGTGTTAACTCCTAACACATGTGGTTCCAGTAAACAATCAGAAATAAATTAATAAATCAAATTTATCATGAGCTCTCCAGATTGTAAAGTTATTGTATCTACACCACTGACGTAGAAATGTTCCATAAAACAGTAGAGTTGTGAATGGTTTCTTTCACCTCGTAAAGGTTAATAACATTAATAACTCTGAGCTGAATATTTCCAATTTCAAAAATGACGTCAACCTTAAGAACTGTATCCTCTGCTGTAGATACTTCCTATTATTACATGCATAGCATTATTGCATCAAATGAATAATTGTATCTTGACCGACAGCTACGCTAACTTTAATAATACCTTAGATAAAAAAGATATACACAAAAGGTGTAGTTGCTCTGTCACTTTTCAATCTAAAATCTTTGCTCGTCTCGTCATTCTGACGTTATTTCCCATCTCGGGGAAACAAAAAGACAGTTTTAGATGAAACTGTGTTTTTGTTTCTCTACAGCCTAGGTTACTGCAGTTTGATTTTTGTACTGTGTATTTCAGAAGTGCCTTTCTGCCATTCATGATTCCACTTAATGCACTAATGCAGTGGGAGCTGCGTATTGATGCATTCCAAAGTCGTTGTTTTGTATTCCCACTGATTTCAATTGGCAATTCAAAAACCAACGTGTTTTTCTCTAAAGTACACCGTGATTTTTTTTCATTCCATGCCTTCCTATTAGAAGCTTTTTTTAAAGTTCCAGCACCGTCACTGTTGTCTTTACGGGGTAGGGTAGCTATTCTCGTTCCCAGCCTTCCCTCTATTTTGGGCTTACTATCAGCTAGGCAGTTTTTAGGAGTTACAATTAGTTGTGTTCTCTGAGCTGGTTGGTTTAATTGCGGAGCTTTCGTCGTTCTTCTGGACAACATCTTCAGCTTAAGCTTTAGCGTAAAATGAACTCATTTAAATTATCCATGTTAATATATGTGTAAAGCTTGGGCACTGTGGTATTAAGTAATTCCATATTAGTTTGTTTATTAGATGTATCACATAGTTAGTGAAACAGCATTATTTACTGGATGACGTTTTGAACACAATTCATTGTTCATAATCATATCAATTATGATCACACGACTTCGAAACTTGAGTTTTGTAGTTTTCTTTGTTCTCACCTATTTGTCGTCATTGGGGCAGTAGAATTTCCCAGATGTCTGGGTGGACGGGTATTGAGTCATTTCTACTACACGTATTTCCAGTTTTATTCGATAAACAAAGCTTCCGTTATCAATCTCTCCCTCCACCCTGTTATTACATTAGATTTGAAAACTGTCATCTTATCCCATCCTATTGTATGTTTGTGTGATTGCATGCAGTGAGTGCTATGGCTGAACTATTCTCTAGATTTCTTATCTTATTCGGGTCAACTAATCTAGGTTTTGCTAGGTTTTTGTGCTCCACTGGTCTGATTAACCCCGTTCTGCTTCTCTGACCTATGCATTTCACCTGACAATCATTCCAACAGGGTATTAGATAAACTTTTTTATCCTTCGGTTTGCACAATATCGAATGAATGAACTAACAAACATGTCAACATAGACCGAATCTACCAACTAATAAGAAGTAAATCATATGATGAGAAAGTCCAAAATCCAAGTCAATAAAAAAAATGATCAATACACAAGTAAATCGACTACCAGTCACGAAGATGGTTACCGGGAGACGCAATACAATCATTCATGGAGTATTTAAATCAGTTCATTTTATGCTAAAACTTGCTCTGAAGATGTTGTCCAGAAGAACGACGAAAGCTCTGCAATTAAACCAACCAACTCAAAGAGCACAACTAATTCCAAATCATCCATCTGAGCTACAAATCTTCTCTATTATTTCAAAATTTTTAGGAGTACGTCTACTGGGAATCGAACCCGACCATCTCATGTGGTTGGCGAGCATGTCACCATTGCATCACTGACACACAGTTACAAATACTTTAAAGTACATTCTCACAGCCAATATAATTTTCTCATTTTGAGTACATTCTTCTTAATGTTACTATCTTTGAATGTCTATTTTGAGCTAAGAGGAGTCAAATTGCAAGACATTTAAACGTCAGGAAATAATAAACATTTACTGTAATTATTCTATGTTTTTTACTTTCATTGGAGTTTTCTTATATTCACTCAGTTCATATATTTGCATTTTTCAGAAGTTTTATGAATCTATCAATCGTAAAGATATGATTCTACGCTATTTATACCGATTGGATCGATTACACGCTGCATATTCAAATAAAACAGAACGTGGATATACTCTGGAGTTAATTAGTGAGAATTACTCGGTAAATATTTTTTGTTTGTTTTTGTATGTCCATGTGTATGTTTATTCTTTTTTTAAGTATCAGATTTAGTTCATTGTTTATTATTGTATTTGTGTATACACTACTCGTAAATGTCACTTCTCTAAGTTAGTTAAAAGTTAAGTGTGTTCTAAAAACGACAATATCCTTTAATTTTACAATAATTTCAATTTACAATATCATTTAATAAGGTATTTCAGTGTTCGAAGTCATGTAGAAATGGGTTTTATCGACTGGAGCATTCAATTTCTGAATCTCTCTGTCAACCTTGATCTGGTAACATATTAGCCTTGTAAGACCTCTGATATTAAATACAGTTTGTAGCTCAACTAGCTGTGTAACTAAGACAGTTTGTACTATAATATCGTTAAAAATAGAGCTTCGGATTTATTCACACTGTTGATTTTTAATTGGTAATAAAAAATTTTGTCAGTTGATTGACTCTTCAACGCCAAATTAATTATCTCACTACCAGCCTACTTATTGACAGCTTCAGTAAACAGGTAATACTTCTGTGAATATAACTTTGTAAATCTTCAGCAACGTTCATCAGTCAGTCGGATTAAAAACTGAAGCAAAAGCAAGAGGTAAATTATCCGTCTCAGAAGTCCAGCTTACAAGACGATAAGATCGAAGCATACAAAGATCAATCTATCATAAGCCAAATTGGAATAGAGAGGCGACAAACTATCAAAGTTTTAACCCAATGAGCAGGAAAAGAAATCTCATTGCCTCTTTTGCGACGACAGTCTACCGTATATGCAATGAAAAATGCACTGAACAAGCAACCGGAATCCTTCAGAAAAACTGTAATCAAAGTTGATATCCAACCTCCTTCTTTAATAAACACCTAAAGATAAAGACCAATAATCCTTGAAACCTGGATGTGCCGAAAGAACAACTAATTGTAAATTTGATATTTAAGGGAGGTACGATCAGTGACGTACTCCTAAGCCAACTGCCGAGAGCGATTCGAAGAACGTTCTTTACTACATCTCTACGCCCCACCTTTACACATGCTCTTGTTCACGAAAACGTGAAAGACGAGATTCCGCTCTTGCCAACTTCAGTTACGAAACGAGATCTCCATGCTGACTGGTGTATCTTAATTACATAAAATGAGAATTCTCATACTCCTGATGTCAAGATGTTTATGTTCAAATTAATTACCATTATGAAGCTATATAGGTTATTGGTTTAGGCGCTCTTTTTCTAACCACACCTCAGGGGTTCAATTCCCGTTCTCCCTGTCGAGATTTGAGATTCACGCAACAGATGTGGCTCATTGCCCATTGCATGCAATTGCAAATAGTTATATTTCATTCTAACCATTGTAATTCTATTATTTCATGGTATTTATTTCTATTCCCAATGCGCTCAATACAATTAAGGGAGTACTTCAATCTCTTCTGGTGCTTTTCTGGCTATTCATTTCTTCTGTACTCTGTCCCAACGCTAATACATGAACTGGACTGAAGGTATCCACTGTATATTTCAAGATCATTCAGATTCGTAGTAACGGGTTTGAGATAAAGCGTCATCCAACTATATTTCAATACCTCATCAAAAATGACGCTTAACTTTAATCTACACCAGTGTTAACTTAAAATGAAGGACTATATATGGGGAAGTGTTCATAGCCTAGAACGAGTACTTAGATGGTCTTGTTAATTATTAAATGAAATAAAGGCTTACCATACTCACGAGTCATTCATTGCATTTTCAACAACTTCTGTTGATTATCTTTGTCTATGAATATCGTTTTCTAAAAAAAAACATTTGAAAATATTTTCCCTTTCTTTTTTCATGTATCAGTGGGATGAAAATAGTGTTGATGTAAATGATGTTTCACCGCATTATGTACAATATGGACAGAATTCTTCACGTGAATTACGTGAACATTTATTATTAGATAGTTTTGAATATTTAAAACAAGGTACAGATTGGGAGCATGCAATTGAAATATCAAATAAACTAGTTCATCTATATCGTGACGTTATGCCAAATTATGAACGTCTTAGTGAAATATTGGTAAGTTATGTTGATATATATAATAAATGTTCTCCTGACAGTATTTGTTCACAATACAAAATTCCCAACACGTTTTGTTGTAAAATATATGACTCCTCCTACAGAATTTTCCAACAGAACAATTTTTGTAGGACAAGGTTGACAAAGAGTGTCAGATGAATTGAATTCATTTCATTTTATGTGCTCTAAATCACTTGTGCACACACGCATCAAGTTGAAAATGTGTGTGAACGGTTTCATAGGTTAGGTTAGTTTGGCAAAGTTCAGCAGTAAAAACAACATCATGAGTATATAAATATAGGGACAAAAATGATGTAGTTAATTTTCTATAGTTTGGTTTGTAAGGGTTAGTTTTGTTTTTACGAGTTGATCATGGATTGATATCAGTTAGAGAACCATTGAAAACCGGAGAGTACTGGACAGCTGTTTTATTTTAGTTTGGGAATCATCGGCAGTACGCACCCACTGGTGTTCGAACCCAGGACTTTCTGGTTACAAGGCAAGCTCGTATACCATTCAGCCACTGGGACCCGATTCAATAGCTCATGAATTATATCTTCTACGAGTTCGTGATTTAGCACGACCCTAACCGTTGTCGTAGGTGGGACATCCATCCTCACACGTGACATCTGGATGGACCTTACTGATCACGACTTCTCCCTATCTGTCTGTCTGTTTTCGACATAGAACTTTGCACAAATGTGCGGAAGTTCAAGTCGCCACATTCCGTGTAGCACGCGAAGCAAGAGAAGAAAGTACAAGAAAAGCATAATAGAAACAGTGAGCAGAGGTGTGAGACAAAGGAGTAATAAAGAAGAACAAAACAGTTTCATTGGAAATCATAAGTCACAGGAGTGGATGCATCTGCGCCACTGAGAACGATTTTGAGCCATGTCACCAATTGTTTCCAACCATAGATTTTTACCGTCCCGAGGACCCCAGCCTGGAAGTCTACACCTTCCTACGTGGCTTAGACCAACTGTTGTGGATTTCATTGACTGATGCCAAGTTTTTGTTTGACCGCCGCTAGCTTTTTTCCAGCCTGACCCTATATCCGCTAACATTGCTCGTCGAGGGAGGCGATGAGGCTTGGCATACGTAACACATGTCCTAACCATCTCAGTCTTTGTAGCTTCACGACTTCGTCGATTGATTTCCCCTGTTTACCTAGAACTCTACGCCTAACCTCATGTTGCTCACCTTATTATGCCACTTTACACGGGAAATAGAACGCAGGCACCTATGATCAAAGACAGCTAGTCTTTTCATGTCTTCCACTCTCAGTGGCCAGGTCTCACAACCATAAAGGAGGACGGAGCGGACTGATGAGCAGTACACCCGCCCTTTGGTCGATAGTCGAACATCTCGTCTACGCCAGAGTCGGCGTAAACTAACAAATGCGAAACGAGCCCCTTGTATTCGTGCTGAGATTTCGTCAGAGATCAGCCCGTTGGGGCTGATGGTACTTCCCAAATAAGTGAAGCGGTCAACGTGCTCTACCACTTCACTTCCTATTTTTAAACTAGGCGTCGATGTAGTCCAGTCCTGTAACATCATCTTGCATTTGGCGGGAGCGAATCGCATGCCAAACATTCGTAGATTGCGGCTCAAGGTGTTTAGAAGACTCTGCATTTCGTCAGCGTCTTCGCCTAGAAGGACTATATCGTCTGCATATTCCAAGTCAACGAGATTATTCCCCGGTAGCAAGTCAATCCCTGAGTCGCTGAAGTCACCTAGGGTTAAGTCCATTAACACATCTATGATGAAGTTGAATAGAAAAGGAGATAATGGGCATCCTTGACGGACACCACTGGTCGTCATCAGTTCAGATGACAGCTCGCCGTAAGCCCTCACCTGGCTGTATGAGTACGAGTAGAGTGCCTTAATCAGTGCAATATATTTTCTTGGAATTCCCTTTACAGCCAAGCATCTCCAGAGAACTTCCCGATCGACAGAGTCGAATGCTGCCTTTAGGTCAAGAAATATAATGACTGTTGGACGCCGGTAGGAATGCCTATGTTCTAGAATCTGTCGGAGGGTGAAGATATGATCAATACACCCTCTTCCTGGTCTAAAGCCTGCCTGGCTCTCTCGTGTTTGTGCTTCCCGAGCACCACTCAGTCTACGCATGATTATTGAGCCTAAGACTTTAGATACTATATTAGTCAAGCTAATCCCTCTGTGATTATCACAGGAAGACTTGTCTCCCTTCTTGTATATGGGGATAATCAGTGACTTACACCAACCCGATGGGACTTCTTCTGATTCCCAGACGCTGCCTAGTACCTCAGTTAATCCGGACAGTAAGCTGTCTCCACCGTACTTAAATACCTCTGGAGTCATTCCATCAGGTCCCGCTGCTTTGCCTAGTTTCAGATTGGTGACAGCTTTAGTAACCTCAGTTAGTGACGGAGGACCTGTGTCTATATCCCATTCAGGGAGGTGTTGGATGCTCGGAAGGTTGAGCGTGGCTGTGGGCAAATTAAACTGCTCCTCATAATGCTCTTTCCAACGATCCAGTCGTCTATCCTGGGAGCTAATTATAGTGCCATTTTTTTCCGAGATTGTCTCACTAATGATTTGTCTTCTCCCACCCGTTTCCCTGATGAGTCCAAAGAGTTGCCTGGTGTTGCCTATCCTCGAAGCTTTCTCCATCTCTTTGGCTTTTGTCGCCCACCACTGTTCACGGTCCTTGCGGAGACTTTTCGTAAGTTTCCTCTTGTGCAGCTTTCGCTCCTCATTGAATTCGGAGCTCGCCGGAATAAGTCTTCTAGCATCTATCAGTTCGGATGAGGCGGTGGAGATCCAGTGGTTTTTACTCACCTTTGGGTTTACCTTATTCACAGCTTTTACAGCTGTATCTATGGCTGCCTGGATATTTTTCCAAGCTTCTTCAGGGTGAGCACAGCTGTCGAACACAGATATGTGTTTAGCTAGTTCTTCCTGAAATACGGATTTAGTTTCCTGATCGAGCTGGGGACGTGATGGTTTTACCGCCAGCTGTTTCCTACGTCCGTTCAGTCGTAAGCACACCCGAGCGCGGACCAGTGCATGGTCGGTATCTACGCACGTGTTCCAGAAGGAGCGACAATCTCCTACCGACCCACGCCAACGATAGCTTATTGCTATGTGGTCTATTTGTGTCCAGCGTTGGTTTGATGAAGGGGGTCTCCAAGTCAAACAGTGTCTCTCCTTGTGTTTGAAGTTAGTGCTTACAAGAAACAAATGATTATCAGAGCAGAACTGTAGGAGACGGTCACCGTTGTCGGTTCGCTGGCACGGAACTCCATAGGTGCCACCGACATCCTTCTCAGATTGACACAATTTCCCTACTTGAGCGTTAAAGTCACCAGCTAGAACGACTATGTCTGAGCGTTTAGCCTTTCGCACCAAACTAGACAGCTTTTGGTAGAACTCATCCTTCGTTTCATCTGAACTGCAGTCAGTGGGGGCGTAGGCGGAGATTACGAAAAGGCATCGGCGAGTAGTGCAGTCCTTCCTCCTTCTTACTGATCCGTTCAGGCGGACAGCACACATTCGGCTATCTACCGGGATCCAGTCAAGCAATGTCTTTTCTGCCCTAGTACTCAAAGCTATCCCTACGCCAGCTAATCCTCGTGAACTAGCTGTGGCATCTCCTGACACCCTCAAGGTGAATTTTGCAGATTCAACCTGTTGGCCAGGTGGGGTTAGGTGAATAACCACACTTGGGTCTTGTATGCGTGTTTCTGAAACACAACATACATCAATGGCTCGTGATGCCAGGGTCTTGGCTAGTGATGCTTGTTGTCCCTATAGTTAATGACCTGATTGTTCATCAGAGACCAAAGTATCAATCGTTACTAAGATGACAAACCATACTATAAATTTGACCCAGACAATAAAAAATGATAGTGAATTTTATGAATTCACTGTATTTTTAAGAGTTAGTTTGTGGGGATTTGATTTGTTTTTCACGTTTGACCACGTATTGATAGCATTTAGAGGACCACTGATAACCAGATAGTATTGGAAAGCCGGTCTCGCCTGAGTTTAGATTTTATTGACAGTACGCACTCACCAGGTTTCGAACTGAGTGTTCTGTGGTTAACTGTTAAGCTTGTACATCATTCAGCCACTAGAACCCGACTGAATGGTCCACAAATTCCAGATTCTAACTCGTGATTTTAGCGCTACCACTAGCCAGTTCCATCGGTGAGTATTTGTCTTCGCTCCCGACTGCATCCACTGGGGTGCGTACTGCAGATTAGTCACAGACTGTGACGAAATAGCTGTCCAGTACTCTCTGGTTTTCAATGGTTCACTAACTGATATCAATCACTGGGTAAACTTGAAAAATAAATTGTTAAATTCTGGGTTTTTTCATAATTATTGCTTATTTTAAATTTACTACGGAAAAGAAATCTTTTCAATATAATACTGATAAAGTGTGACTAGGATTCAAAGTGACAGAGATTTTGTTATGCAACAGGGCAGCTAAGTTGTGACAGATGTGCTATGGTGATAAGGTGAAATATTGATAGAGCAGTAAATGTGTGAGTGTATTCAAAAACAAGATTACAACATAAGAAATACGATGGATAGCGGAAAATATTATTCAGATGGAGAGTGTTTAAAGTTGACTAGAGGAGAGAAAACAAAGTAGTAGAGTGGTAAAATAAGGAAACAACAAATTAACGAGTCAATGCTAGGTGAACTACAAAATCAATCTTTCTACATGCATAAGTTAGGTTCCAAAAGCACCGTAAGGTATTCTTGTGCCTGCTAAAAATAATCATCTCTTAGGGGTGGCGTAAGACTTCCTAGCAGAAGTACTAGCAATCCGATGACTGGAACTTTAACTTATACCTGAAAAATTATATATATACGCACTAAACTTCCATGAACAGCTAAATGGCTAATAATGCCTGTTGGTGAAAAAGAGAGGCTAATAAAATGTAGAGGCTATGCCGTGCACTTTCTATCTCTAACGCGTAAATGTCTTTGTGCCGTTTTATTATCCCGCTTTACATATAAGCTTTGATTTGGTCTTCTTGGCATTTTCTAGGAAGAACAAGCTCATCTCTACAAGCATATTGTGTCAAGTGAACAGTCACGTCTACCATTTCGTTATTATTTAATTGAATTCTATGGTCCAGCTTCGTCATTAATTACAACTAATCGGAAATTAATCTATCGTACAATATCAGATTTAGGCGATGTGTTAAATATGCTAACAGAACAATTTCCTGATGCTATCATACTGAATCAACCATTATCAACTACCAGCCAATCATCAGTAGCAGCTGATAAATTTTGTATATTTGCCAGTGGAAATTTAGAACCTGAATCAGAGATACCTGAACACTTAGATTCACGTGTTGTTGATAATAAAATAAAAAGGTAATGAATTTGGTGTTGTCGTCTTAGCATATTTTAACTGTATGATTGTTTGTCATTTTAAATTCTGATAGAAAGTAAGTATTTAATCACATCATGGTTTTTAGATTATAGCTTGATTCCACACCGTATTTTTGGAATTCTCAGTGATGTCGATAGCCCAAATTTTTCAGGCCGACCATGGATATCAGGTGTGCGTCGGCAGGGGATCGAACCATGGACTATGTGCATCGTTGGCGAGAGTCCTAACCGCTGTGCTGCCGACGTACATAAATAAACTCTGTCCGAAGACAGTTGAAAAAATTGAGATAAGACTCATTGTATTGTGCCTCCCCACGGAAATCTTTAGTAAAAGGCGAAAGATTTATCCACAAATGAGGAGACACCAGAGTGCTCTATTCGTTGTAGGTATTTTATTCATATTCTCAAGTATAAACACGTGCAAAGTTAAGTTCTCTGTTACGTTATTTTTTTTAACAGTTTGGAATATCATATTGTTATGTAGCTGTCCCCTAATTGTTATGATTGCGTTGACAGCTGATATGACCGAATGGACTGTTGCTTGGGTATAATAATACTGACGTAATGAACAGCACAGCTAATATGCTAGATACGCCCATTCGTTAGTGCTACCCGTTGAGCCGTGTAAATATCAAAAGACAAAACTGGTATGCGACATTTTTAGGATAATGTTTCTTTTTAGAAATAAACACGTCATATTTGTATCTTTTTTTTCCATATTGAAATCGGCCCAGGACAGTGGAAATGGACTATTCTGATTGGTTGGCGATTAGACCAAAACCAAGTTGAGAAAATGATGAAATTTTATAGTCATCCGATCACATGATGGTTCATAAGATGATTATTATTTTAAACTGATTCTTATCATATCTTCTTTTAGGATTAAACCATCATATCATCAGGTTTTGCAATCGATATGTCATAATTGAATGATAAGATTGAGGTGATTCCTTAGATATTTTGGCTGTTCCATTAAACGTGCAACAGCTCACTATCTGAATGCCTGTTTCTTGATGCCACATATTTCACTATTTAATACAAACTGTCTATCATACAAGGATGTAGCCCTGTACACTATGATTCAAAGTTCGAAGACCAGACAGTTCACTTGATGTGAGTTGTTGGGTGGAAATGTAGGCAGTCATTTTATTGAATAGGGATCACAGCCTACTCTACATAAAAGCGCTGACCTTGGTAACTGAGTGGTATAATCCTAAATGTATGGTTTTATTTCTTGTGTACATCATGTTTCTTTTTTGCATGTCCAGCTCTAGTTTGTTTTTACAGTTATACTTTTTCACAAATGATTTCAGTTTTTCATTTTTGTTGACAGCTACTACTCCAAAAATCGTGTCAAATACTTTTTACGTCATCGACCATTACAACCGACAGAGGTTAGTTGCAAATATCTTTGTTTGATTAGGTATCATGTACACGCAAATACACATAATTCCATTCATATTTACTGAAAAGACTAGTATGCCATATATATTGTTTAAATTTCTTGACTGTTCTGTAGTATTATTATCTTGTCTAACTAAGGCATTTGTGTTCAAATGATTGGAAAACCATGATGAGTCATTCTGAATATATTGGTAGCTCTTACTGGTAACAGAAAAGATTTTTTTACCCCTTTTATTTTTCACTATCAGTTCAATTATTTAGTATTAAAAACACAAACTTGGGCACCAAGAGATACATCACATAAAATATCATAGTTTGTGTGAGTGTTGGGATACTACCGCCTGGATGCTCAAACCGAAGCAAGTGGTTGTCTTAAGAGGCCAACCCGAGCCTTTAACTTGATGAAGTCTGATCCATAAGGCGATACAGCTTACGTTCCCATGGTTTCTGGTGACCATAACAAGTTCATACACCATTCAATCCGTTCAGATCCTGTAGCCTGTGTACACCATTGATTTTGAATCAGGATTTTCCATCTCGCCTAGGTGAATCAGCAGCATGTCTATCAGTCCAGTTGTATACCTCCAAACGTTTTCATTTGTGCTTTCAGTTTTGTGAGGAACATCCCTGCCGTGTGAAGGCAGTGAATAGTCAGAGGCCATTATCACGTCGCTACATTAGGGCACTCGGAGAGGGAAATCGAAGTTTACTCACTGTTGACCGTAAGAGGTCGTCTGATAGATGATTAACTATGCATCACTCAGTATTTGTGATCAGTATTTAAAGTAAATTAATTGTATTCAGTGTGGTAGTGAAGTTTGTGCAAATGAATTTTAACACGAATAGGGAAAGAGGAGATTGGGCTATAGTGTTTGTGTTCATACTGGGTTGTAAGTAAATGTCCGACTACATAACGAAGTTAATTTATTTGTATAATTACAAGTATTATAAAGATGAGTGAATTAGATGGTTTGTAGGATCGGGAAACAGAGCTGGACAGTAGTAGTATTAGTAGTAGCAGTTCGAGTAGCCCCACATTCCATGTAGCACGCAAAGAGAAGAGAGTAAAAGAAGTTTCAAAAGACAGATAATGAACAGAAGTGTGAGGGAAAAAGAAGTGTAATATGGAAGAACAATAGAATTTCAGTGGATAGGATAAATCACAGAGAGTGAATGCATCTGCACCACTGTGAAATATTTCGATCCATATTTCCAGCCGTTTGTTCTTACCGTGCCAACGACCCTAACCAGGAAGTCTGCATCGCCCTACGTGACTAGCTCAAACTAATTGTTATGGGTTTCATTGACTGATTCTATGTTTTGGTTTGACCACCACTAGGTCTTTCTCAACCTGACCCTTCCTCTCCCAGCTAACATTGCTCATCAAGGAAGGCGATGGTGCAGCTCTCGCTTCTACTGTCTCTCAACACTTGGTTCACGAGTACTCAGTGGCGTTTACAAGTTGTAAAGATACAGGGGGTTATGGTGAATCATTCACCAGTACTTTTTCGTGGTATGCAGCACTGATTGATATTACTTGTTGTAAACTATTCACGTCACAACCAGTAGTGCTTGTCAGTCTTATCAATTGGCCATTTAAACACCGGAGGGTCGTTTCGGTCTTTTGAGTCAAATCTCATCGGCAATGTAATCAGAACTTGTGCGTTACCTAAATAACCCACTTCATACACAAATCTACTAGAAATTCTGTATAGAAAATCTACCCCCAATTCATGTGTTCTTATTTTTAAAGTTAAACACGAGAAGTGTTAGTACTATATCTGATTGTCTTGTTTATCTTTTCTGTTTTTCCTTAGAAAAAAGATGGTCGTCTTGTAACCAATACTGAAGAGACGCGGTATTGTATAACTGAGACTATGCCAAATATTATTCCTATTATGCCAGTGGATAGAGTAGAGATTGTAAGTTACCTTATTTGCCTACAAACTAATCAATATGTTGTCACCAGTTTTTTAATGAGTGTTTTCAATCTACTCATTAGTAGCACATGTGTAATGTCTAAATTTTAGTCGATACTGTTTGATTGAATTCGTGGTTTTCTGTTTTTATATAAATGCAGTTATACTAATTGCCAGAAAAACAGGAAAGAGATGATCGTGTAATGACTTCATTGTTAAGTGATCTTGTCCAGTGAACGCAATGTTGTCATGAATTTTACTACTCTGGTTGCATCAAAACTTGATATTCCCTTTATAACTGGATTCTGTCTCATTCTATCTCACAATTACAAAGTTACTATTTTAGCAAAAAATCTCTTGTTCACCTGATTACAACTTTATATAGCTACGTAATGGTCAGTGCATAATTTTCATTATGTAGATGACCATCCCGATAGAGAATTTCACTTCACTCCAGAAAAATCTGCCGATTCAACTTCTGTAATCATTGGTTTCCATGTATCTGAATTTGTTTGAGATGTTTTGAATGCAATTATTTTCTTTCTCTCTTTTTCAGCGTATGTTAAGTCAAACAGAATGGGCCAATAAACAGATTCAAGGCATTATAAAAGCATTGCATGCTGATTTGATATCAGCTAAATCACAAGAGTCTAACATCTCTCAATATATTGGTAAACTTGTCTCCTCTATTCAATCGCCTGTCAGTGGTGGAGTACCGAAATTAGTGGTGAGTTCTATGATCTGTGATGTGGTTTTCCTCTACTTTAAGACAGAATTTCCTATGATCATACAATCTATGAGAATATCCAGAGAAATTGTTAATAGTAATGCTGAAAAACATGGTTTCAATACATATTCTATATTACTGGAAATCGTTCCTACTTGTACAATAAGAGGAAATCATAAAGAATTAGAATCCTTAAAATTAGTCTTTTTAAGTTAGTCACCTACTTTTTGAGGTAGAGTTTTGTCCTCTGGGCTGGATGGTTTACTTCCGAAGCTTTCATTGCCCTACTAGGCAGCATCTTCAGCGCACATTTGAGCTACAAATTTCCATTATATTTAGTGACTTACGTTTAACATACCTATTGAGTTTGCTTCCATACTCAAAGGGAATTCCTTCTTCTCTCATTTACACCTGTATCCAATGTCCCCGAACTATTTACTACGTCGTTATCTACTTAGTTTATTCACATAACTAGCTGAATGACTAAGTATTCGCACACGGGATAATGGGAGCTGTTTGGGTACCATTTTATCGACTTCTTCTTCCATCGTAAATCATGTTAGTTAGTACCACAGTCATATGTATTCCTTTCACGATTTCTGTCTCATTGTGGTCAATTTTGATAAATGTACCTTTATTTCATAGTAGAGTACTGAACTCAGTCTTACTGTTAACTACCATATATATATATATATATATATATATATATTGAGCCCATGAATCTCATCTCAGCCTTCCACATGACGTATTACCTCTCGTTTGCTATCAAAATCCCCTAAATAAAAACAGAGATATTAACATACGACCTACTAGTACTGTGTTGTGCTCCAGGCTACCATAAATTACATGTGTACGTCAAATACAAAGTCGAAGAAATTTGAGACAAACGATTAATGCTACACCTTAAAATCGTGCGGTGAAACACAAAAATAATGTCTTTCTATAGTTTTGGTTTGTAAGGATTAGTTATGTTTTACGAGTTGATCACGGATTGATATCAGTTAGAGAACCATTGAAAACCAGGGAGTACTGGACAGCTGCTGTTTCATCCTAGTTTGGGAATCATCGGCAGTACGCACCCACTGGTATACGAGCTTGCCTTGTAACCGGAAGGTCCTGGGTTCGAAACCCAGTGGGTGCGTACTGCCGATGATTCTCAAACTAGGATGAAACAGCAGCTGTCCAGTACTCCCTGGTTTTCAATGGTTCTCTAACTGATATCAATCCGTGATCAACTCGTAAAAAATAATGTCTTTTCCAGACATTTGTTTCAGTCACTTGAGATAAAACAAAGAAGAGTACTTTTTTGCCCCACTCCGATGCCTTCTCATTGTGTTTTTTTTTCACGATTTCAAATGTTATTTACAGAAAGATGTTGAATTATCCGATGATCCTCGACAGGAGAAGTGTTTCTCTCAACTAGCTGACAGTGTTTTGGAACTCTTGGAGTTACAGTTAACCTTTTTAAAATTTTGGTATACAACTGATCCGCCTCCACCTCCAGCATCTCATCGTCTAATTGCAATGCGTAATCTTGACATCGTTGAAAATACTAGTGGATCTAATGTTTCTTCTAATGTCAGTGGTGCTGCAGGTACCGGTAACTATCTCCTCTATGAAATGATTGGTTACTATGAAATCCTAGTACGTGATATGAGTCGGAAATTCGGCTTCTCTGTTGATCATTTGAATGCTGACAGTCTTCGTTATGGTCCAATATCTACCGATCGACAAGGCACTGTTAGTGGGATTAGTACTAGTAATACGAATATACTGTCTCCACTTCGTCGTAATTCGCGTTCATCACAAAAGTAAGTTTATTAAAAAGAAAAAAACCTTATATATCTTTATTTCTTCATATATCCATATATTATTCACAGTACTGTCTCATTGATAATATTATTTTATTTATTTTATTCCTTTGCGTACCCGCTGGAACACATAGGGCTTCAAGTCTGAGCTTTGAAGTTTCGGCAGTAGTGGGTTATTTTACGGGGTGAAGTTGCTAGTCTCACACCCAACCTTCTTCCTGTACCTGGCTTACTACCGGCTAAGCGAGGTTTAGGAGTACGTTGGTTGAGGGTCGGACCCTCGACTATAAATGTGTTGTTTGCCAGTACTCTACTGCTGAACCATTGATGCCCATAATTCATATAATGATGCACCTATTGACTGGGTATTTATATACATTGGTTTTCAGGAGAACCGAACACACACTTATCCCTGCCTCTTGCGAGACGAAACCAAAATGCTGTTTCATCCTGTGGCACAACTACTTGATAGCCCTCTCCCTCAGTGCACCAACCTTAATAATAACAGAAGCTTTACTCTGAGAAAATGCATTTATCTGCAGTACAGAATTCTCATGGTCTTATATTGTGAAGTATGTTATTCGGGTGGAATCTTCAACAAAAAAAGGATAAAATGTCCTAGGAAGAAATGTTGGTCTATCTGAGGTAATCTGTTATACACCGCAATATTATTCCTCCATTTCCTTCGAAAAATTCATACCATTAGGTTAAAGTCTACCTGAAAATGGGCATGATTACAAACTGCTATTGAAGGAAGTAATTGGATGAATAAAACAACATATATGGGAAATAAAATATAGATCAGAAGACAAGATCCAGGCAACAGATCGTTTATTGAGAAAATCAAAAGGTATTTATAGGTTTTTATGCACATTATTGTTAGCGGAGAAGCAACCTCTTCTGATTGGTTGTTTTCTTGCTGAAGGTTATTCTGTTATCTCTTTCTGGCCGTTTCTCAGAAAATCAAGCCATATATCTGCGATCCCTATTTCCACACATTAACTCGTCTGTGATTGACTGATGATTTTGGCAGGGTTAAGCTTTGTGGCCAAGTTAAACTTAAAGCACCACCAACACTAACTAACAATGGGGTGCGACCGCACCGATGACCTTGAAACACTCACTGACCAAGTTGGTGAAACCTGGGAAATAACTCTGTCAACATCAATGCTAATCAAAGCATTATGATAGTAAATAGGATATCTGGCAACTTTCAGCCTAGGTTTGGGAAAGATTTAGTGGCAACAGTAAAGAATAGACACCAAGGTCGAATGGCCCTGAGTCAACCAATAAGATCGCCCAACATTACACATGGATGTTGTTCATAATTTTCGTTGCAAGTGTCACCCAGATGTTTTCATACCAATAATACAAGGACTAGGAACTGCTATTCATACACTCGAGTGGAAAGGTTATTCTCAACCATCATCATTAGACTATGTTCATCATAAAGTCAACTATACTTATGAATTGGTAAATCCTATAATTGGAACTTATACAAATTCTATTGAAGGATTCCTGGTCCATCTAAATAAACGTTTTATGATAGTAAACGGCTCCCGATATATGATATACAGCCACTTAGATTTTTTGTTTCGATATTGGTTTGATATGTCTACAGACACGCCCGTGAGAGACTGGGAGCAGTTTTTACAGCACCTTAGAGATATATACACTATATAATTCAGTTTCACTACACATATATGTTCTCTAAATACACTTTTCTAAAAAGTAAATGCCGCTTTTCACCTGGAAGAATATAATTGGTAGATTAAATGTAATTTGGCTTTGGTCTCTATTCTTTACTGTTGCTGATTAAGTTACGGTTGAAGCCAAGAAAAAGTTAACCTAATAAAGGCGATATTAGGGTTGATTCGAGTTAGATTACAGTTAGTTTAGGGATATTTTCACGTTAGGGTTTGGTTTAGGAAATATTAGGGTCATTGTTAGGGTTAGAAGACCTAAATAATTACATGCATACAATGTAGCTAAATTACTCTGTTGATATAAGAATAGAACCTGTGCATCGTGGCAGAGTATAATTACATTGCGGGTAAAATTTATTTTGATAAAGTCCCACAGTTGTATACAGTAATATTTATTGCTGACGTTTTGAACACAATTTATTGCCCTGTAAATATTACTGTATAACACTGGAATTCCAACAGTATGAGACTTTATAGGTTTCCAGAACGTAGGTGTTACGAATTTCCTGGAATAATTTAAGCGCCGAGTCAGATTGATTCATTATAAATTATTTAAATTAATCCCAGCGTGTTAAGAAAATTCGGATAATCCGAATAAATCTGCTGAAGAAGCTGTGGCTTACACGGCGAAACGTTCATAAAAATCTTGTTTTGATTTTCTTAACACGCTGGGATTAATTTAAATAATTTATAATGAAGTATGAGACTTTATCAAAATAAATTTTAACCACAGTTGAATTACACTCTGTTGATACTCCAGCCTGAAACTGAGATCTATTTTTATCATACGTGAGAAGAAAGTACCTTCTGTAACACTTTTATACAGTTTTTATGCATTTGTTTCCATAAATATGTTTATTCCATACACAAAAATGCCTCCTTCATGTGAATGGCGCGTTCAAGGTCATCCGTTGATTGCTAGTTGACGGTGCTTAAAGTTTAACTTCTCCAGCTTTGTTGTTGTTTTTCTCATGCCCCTGACGCGAGACGTGAACATTGACGTCAATTGTTGTCTAAGATTTTCGCTTGCAGCCAGCTCTCACCACAACAGGATAAAACAGCAAGCAGGTTTAGTAAACTATGAATGATAAGTTGAAAAATAAGAATTGTATACAAGTAAATAAAAAGTAACATTTGGTATCCAAATAAATTTAACTCACTTGTGTATAGGATACAGTTATCTGCATATCCCTTCTATGTTTTTTGCTTTTTCTTATGGATGAAATTGTTTGCAATGCATTAGCAAGACCATTTTAAAGGGTAAAAGAGTTTAACGACTGAAACCCACATTTTTGGTAATCTGAACACAAAAAATCAATCTATCCGTCCTACTACTGTATACCTAGCCTGAATTTCCTTGAGTTGTGTTCAGTCATAAAAATGCCCCAACGACAGCAAAAAGACTGTTATTCGTGATAAAATCTACACGGTACTGTTTAACAATAATGACATCAAAAAACTCAAAATTACCTTAACATTGTCGTCAGGCAGCTATACGGATTAGATAAGTTTCTAGTACAAAACAAGTTCTATAGAACAAAATTAGATGACCAAAAATCAGCTGTAAAAAAGTATCTGAGAATCTAGAAGATTATTTCCAATAAGGTGAGGTCAAAACTCTGTCAGCAATAATCAGGCACCAACAATCCTGGTAGATAGTCCAAGGTCAAGATGATCTCGACTCCTGCAAGCAAAAGCAATAAATTAGTATCATCATACAACCACAAAGAGAAGCATTCGAATCAGAGATTCACAACAGGGAAAAGGCAAATGGGTAAGGGTCAAATCAACGCGTGATATGCAAACGTCAGAACAGTGACATTACAGTCTAAGAGAAAAGGCGAAAATAATTACTAAGTTAGATAAAATATCCGAATAAGTATAAGGATTGTGATTGGATCATTCGGGAGGGATTTCCCAAACAGTTATTCCGTTACATAGATGTCAATACTAGGAGATGTCCTCTCTGTTCAAGCTCAAGAGATTCATTCTATTAGGTTGTTTCTGTTGTTAGTGGGACATCTGCCTACCTCTCAATGTTTTCTGAGTTAAGATACTCAAAACTACTAAGGCGTTTGTGATTAAAGTAGGAAAATTCGCATTCTGAATCAACAACTTCTCATGTTGATTGATAAAATGATGCTTTTTTCCCACCGTGCAATCACTTTTCAACATTCTTTCACTCCATTTGTACAACACTAAAGTACAGTCTGGTTAGTAAGCTTATTATGTTGTATAAAAAGGCTGGTGAAACTTTAATGATCACATATTTTCTTATCCTGAGTGAAACACATAGGTATTCAGGCTTTGAGTGCTGAAGTTTCAGTAGCTATGGCGTTAATTTTTTTTACAAGGTGGGGTTGCTAACCTCATGTCCAACCTTTGCTTTTTACCGGGGCCAGTACTGGCTATATGACGTTTTGGAACTCTTCGGCCGAGAATGAAACCCCTCGCAGGGTGTCTATCTACTCTTGAAAAATACATCTATTAGTTATGATCCTCAAAACTCATTTACTATCACCACTGTTTGATCTTCATATTCTCTTGGATGTGTATTTTTTGACATTTGAATTAGTTTGATTGTGCATATAAATTGTGGAATTAGTTATAATAATTCTCAAGTATTGGTTTTGTAGCGGTTTGTTTGATTGCATGGAATTCAAGGAGTTAGAATTCAAAGACCATTGGATCGGGTCCCAGTGGCTCAATGGTCTACGAGCTCGCCTTGTAACCAGGAGGCCCTGGGTTCGAATCCTGGCGGGTGCGTACTGCTAAAGGATCCCAAACTAGGACGAAAAAACTGTCAATTACTCTCAGGTTTTCCAGTGGTTCTCTAACTGATGTCAGCTCATGATTAAATCCTGCATGCAATAATAATTCTATAAATAACAATGATGAAAAAATGGAGCGATTAATGATGACATGAATAATGAAAAGTCTGCATGATTATATAAACAAATTTTCAAATAGACGTAGTAGGTAAAGCATAAGGAAGCAGACAGTCACGTGACGTCATGCTAGATTGTAAGGGAAGTAATCATACTAAGATGCAACAAGACTAAGGAAAAGTTCGTGTAGTCAAGTTGGTTAGGACGTAACTGCTGAAGGCAGGGTATAATACCTGTACGAATTTCTTCTGAATGCATAATTTAGGCCTAGCAGTTCGGATGGCGGTTGTCCCACCTAGGTGCAGTAGACAAACACCGAAGCTACGGGAGACCGTTTACACTTTGAATTAATTCATTGTCTTTACATTTTTAAAGTAATGTAATTGACTTATCCTTTTAATTATGATGATGATAATAATAATAATAACCACAAGCGTATTATTTTTCTTTTAATAAAACCTTTATATCTAGCGCCATGAATACCAGTGTTGGTACAATCACTCAATCAACTGTGCCAAGAGTTTTCTTTAGGCCCGATTATTCTGGTTTTGAACATTCAACTATTCGTTCTTTACAAAGATCATTTCAAACGGTAAATTAATTTGTAATTAGCTTCTAGTATATTCTTGATGTCTTTTTTCTAATATCCTTTCATTAATAGTAACAGTAACTTGGACACACTTCCTTCCTACTCTATCTATGAACTGTTGATTCAATAGCTAACCATTTTACTCTTTCCCTGAATGTGTACCAGTGTTTGGATTGGTTACTGGAGAACAATTCTGATCATAATATATAAATCCTTGACTATATTCCATAGTTATATTTTATCCCATATTGTGAAAAAATATGGAAGTTTGCCATTGTGATGTGCTTTTTTTAGTGCTGCATCAATGGCTGTCTGTCTGGATTCAACATAGAACTTGGCACCGAAGTGCAGCAGTTCGAGTTGCCACCTTCCAAATAGCACACAGAGGTAGACAAGAAGATAAGTGAAGAGAATCAATAGAGTTTGACAAGTATAAGAGTGAAACAGAATGGGTAATGGTAGAAAGGAATATAAAAGATTACAGAGACTGAATACATCTGCGCCGGCCATTGACAACGATCACTTTGAGCCATGTCACCTATTGTCTCCAGCCATTGATTCCTAGAGTCCCGAGGGCCCCAACCCGGGAGTCTGCATCTCCCTACCTGACTCAGTTTAACTGTCAATGGCACAGAGGCAGATTAGCTTGCCAATCACGCCACAGGTGGTTCGGGGTTTGATCCCTGGTCGGTGCATTCTTTTGCCTAGTTAAGCCAGTAATAAGGCTGGTAAAGAGGGAAGATTGGGCATATGAGGCTTGCAACCCCATCCCGTAAAACAAAAACAAACACCACTGCTACCGAAACTTCAGACCTCTAGCTTAAAGCCCTATGTTCCACTGGGAACATAAAGGAATAAAATAAATGCAAATAATTATAGCGTTGTCTCATTTATGTCTCGTCATAGTGGACATTCTTCATCAGGAATAGCTTGCAGTCTTAAAATTGCTAACCTAGTGTTTTCTGATTATATTCGTCTATCCACATTAATTACTTTAACTGCTATAAGTAAATAACTCACTAACTGTTGTTTGTTATAAGATAGGTTTAAGTAACTGGTTGACAAAATTCGATTATTAGTAGCTCAAAATGTTTAATGTTTCATTTGCCGAAGACATGTGATTAATCTTGTAAATATTTCTAGAAACTGATTGTTTTTCTTGTTTTAATAAAAGAAATCCTCAGAAACGTTATGATACATGGGTCTTTTTTTGTGTTATACTGAATGGATTGCTTTCTGAATTGATGCCAACCAACAGAGGAATTAAAACTATGGGACACTATTCAGCTGTCTTATCTTAATTTTGATATTTTCAAAGCAAGACTGCATGTCGTATGGAGCTGAAGACTGTTTGCCCCGCCTCCCTTTGATAGACACGTTATTGGGTCAAGATCAAATAATCATCGAATGAGATTTTTGTTCAGAAGCACTGATGTCGTCATTAATTATGTTTTGATGGTTTCAGATGATTAACCACATGCGTATACATTTATCAAGCAATTCATTGCACAAGAACATGATTTCATTAGTAACATGTTATGTATATGCTTTTTGGGTTTTACTGTCCATCTAGATTATGTTGTTTTCCTTCCAAACACCTAAATCTTAATCTTAAACCTTTAAAGCCTTAAATCATAATCCCCTCAGTTTTAATCCCCAAACTATAAACTCTTGAGCTGGTATTAGTATACGCATTAAGTGTAACTGCGTGACATGGCATATTTTAGTTTTGTCTGTTTATTTCGTATTGCATTTAAACCCTACAAACTTATTAATGGGAGAAGTGACATATCAAATAGCCTAAAGGGATTGTAGAATCAGGTGCATGGGTCAAGTGAGGCGATCTAAGGTCATGGGCGTTAAAACAAAGCAAAATGCGATTGGTTAAGTTCCTAGTCTGTATACATTAGTCATAAGTAGTAGTTGTCCACTATATACGAATTCTCACAATTAGGTGGGCTTATTATCCGGGTTGGGATGGTGTAGTGATTTTTTTAAATTATGAGTATAATTGTTATCATTAGTGTGATGTAAGTGTTGGCTGTGTGTGCGTGTGTGTGTGTGTGTAGGAAAAAGACACTGGTTTAGCCTATATGAAAACTTTTTACCTAGATAAAGGGGTAGGTCATTCCATACTTAAAAAGCTTTAATCGCTGAATAGAAATTAGTGTGTTTTTGTGATGAATAACATACGTCTTATGTTGTGATTATTGTATTGCCTGAAATAAGATTAAGTTGAAGAGTTAGTGTGATCACACAGAACTATGGCATCAATCCATGAAGTTTTCAGTTGTTGGATTAAATTGCATAAGAAGGCATAGACTGCCTAACTGGAGTCCTCAGAAAACTATGAACCATTGGTTGTGGTAACTGTCGGTGACATAGAATAAAGTCATTCTCAATGTCTCAGATACATTCATTACTGTTCATCATCAAGATTCTGAATATCCTTACCAATCTTCACCCGACTAATCGCTCTTCGGTACATCCTTGCTCATCACCGTAGAAATAAACCCTGTCGCTACATTTGCTTCAAGGTCCAAACCTGGATCCGTGTGTTCCACTCAGAACGTGACAGGAAACTATTCGGTCAGCATACTGACTGGCTTGAACTGATGGTAGTCTTTTCACCAGTGCTTCTTCGCCTTGTCTATCCTCTACTCTCAGTCATGCTATTTCACTGGAGGTAGGTTGAAATTAGTGCTTTTAGCAGTCATGGAACCAGTTTAGAATGATGTCAGAAAGTAGAATGAAATGGAGATATTCTGCTGAATAGTTTTGCTTCGTTTAGAATCCACTGTATGACTAGCATCGTTCTGATAATACTAAAGAAATAACCTGTTGCTTGTTACCATCTTCCTTCTTATGCAAACAAAAATTTTCTTCAAGTATTGGTTTTTGTAGGGATTTGTTTTATTGGATGGGGGATTTCATCATGGGCTGACATCAGTTAGAGAACCAGTGGAGCCCCAGTGGCTGTGCACTGCCTGGAGTTCCAAACTCAGACGAAACAGCTGTTCAGTACTCCTAGGTTTTCCAATGGCTCTCTGACCAATGTCAGATCATGATGAATTCCTTTAACCAATCTAATCCCCACAAACCAACACTTGAATGTCTTATCATTCATTTAATGAGTTGAAATTTAATGATTCATTAATCCATAATGCCGTAAAACATTTCACTTTTCACGCTGAAAGTTGAACACCAGCTGTCTGCATGTTTTGAAAATGACTGTGATATACACATTGGGTAAATGACCTTACGGAAATTGTAAATTCACCTGTCCATATGGTGTTTACCGACTTGAAATTAATATATTACATTTATTTATGTTAGAGGAGCAGATGAAAGTAACGTTGTATAATAAATATTGTTTTTATAGACGCATAGACGTCATTCAATAGTCATATTTACGTCAATATGTATCATGAATGCTATTTGTTTACATAGACATTTTTAGTTGACAGTGTCTATCACGCTATGCTAAATTAATTTAAATGTACAATACTGAAAACGAATTAATCTGTCTGGATAGTAAATATCGGCAACTTTGTTGAATAGCTTAGCACCATATGCTGGATAATTTTGGTCACAATTTTTGTGTATATTTTAATGCATACTAATGTTTAAATTGTCTTGATCTCAGTTTAATCAAGTTTACAAACGATTTGTGTGTGTGTGTGTGTGTATGTGTATGCGCGCGCGCGAGAGAGAGAGAGACAGAACAGATATAAATGAATTCCTACAATTACTTTTCTAATTTTCATGTGAAAATGTTTCATTTTTTCTCTTAATTCAATGTGAATTAATAAATTCTACAGTTTTATGTTGTTCTGTTTAAAAAACAACCGTATTTCTAGTTTAGCCAGTGATGATTAAAATGCATTTTTGATATAGATCAATTTTTTAAGAGTTAGTTTGGTAAAAGTTAGAATTTATAGGCTGGCCATTGAGTCGGGTCTCAGTGCCTGGACTGTCTAATAGCTTGACCTGTGTAACCGGAAGGTCCTGGGTTCTGACATCTGTGGTGGATGCATGCTGTCGATGAGCCCCAAACTAGGACGAAACAGCTATTCATTACTCCCTGGTTCGTAGTTGATATCAATCCGGGGTTACAGTTGAATTTATCAGTTTGTTTGTAAAAAGAGAGAATGAACGTTAATTGATGGATGGTGACTAGCAGTGGAATCCAGGATGTGCATTTCATCCTATTTGGGACTCGTCAGTTGGATGTGACTGCATTCCTTAGTGAGTGATGATGTTTCCAAAGGATAAGAAAAACTCGATTTTTATTTAACGGCTTTTCATCAGCCTGAAAAGAATCATGCAAGTTATTATAAATACAGAACATGTTTCCAAAAGGCATAGTTGTGGAATAAGTGATAAGAATACAAAACAGTTCAGTGTCTAACAGTCAGCACTTATTTATACATAAATCGTGGACTGTTCGAGAGAAGAGAGTGGGAGATGGAAGAAATAGCAAGTAAAATTAAAATTATTATCTAAACAAACAATTAAGTAAATTGGATGAATAATAATGAGTTCAACTCAATCAGCTGTAATAAAATAAATTCTGATGCAACAAAAACCAACACACTATCTTTCTATACACAGAGATTAGATTGAAATCGATGGATAGAAATGGTCTCTGCAAGGCGAAGTAAGCAGTAAAGATATTTTCAGGAAATCTTGTCCCTTTTTTTTCCTCTCAGTCCCTCATATGTGGAGGAGAACACCTAGTAGATTTCCTGAGTATATCCCCAACGTTCTTCTTGTGTTCTTAAGTAATTGTTAGGTGGTGACATTGAAGGTGCTAATGAGAAAACGAATAGTTTCTGTAGTAATTTAACAGTAGTCAGTGTGAAATATTTAAGAATTTTGGCATAACTTACCTCATATGTTGTCATCCCATACTGTTTTTTATTGAAATTTTACATATATTCCATATAGGCATTATGTCATTTCAATTGGACGTGTCAGGTGTTAATTCGATGAAGAAGGACTCGGTGTTTAATCTCTCTCTCTCTCCACCTAGTTATATTACTTCCTAATAATTTCACTTTTTCCCATAGTATTTATTTGACCTTACTTAGTTGTATAATCTTGAAAAATGTTCGACTATTGCAATGCATACATTATTAAGAAGACAATTGCATCGAAGAAAATTTTCTTTTCGACGAAGTCATCATCTAGGCTGTACATTCGTTTATTTATAGCAAATGGATGGGAAAATTCAAGAATAATTTCCGTTTAAGGTTCAAATTAATTAAAATTAAAATTAGGAATTAGAATGCCATAATAAACAGGAGGGCGGATAAAACAAACAAAGTAGCATCATAATAACTACGAAGATTGACATTGTGCAATTAGGGGTTAGAAATGTAGAAATAACCAAATAGGACAAAATGTTTGGATAAAAAAACTAATGTGATTAATAATTGTTTATGCAATCAGGGATTAAATATGTAGAAATAGTAGAATGACAAAATAAACACGAAGTTCGGGTATGAAAATATGGTAGTGTAAACAGGGATTAAGAAAAACTTAAAATAACATGAATAAACAGGAAGTTTAGATAAGCAAGACGATGGGATGGTCATTACTAAAAAGTTACTTGTTTATGATGGCCATGGCAGGGACAGGGATTGGACGTATTTTTTTGGATACAAAGCGTTGGTTTGAGATGTCTTGATTTCACTCCCTGTGATAGGTTTGATTGAATCTTGTATATTACTTTGAAGGATTTTTCGAAAGGCACTGAATGTCCTGAATTGACCAGATGTTCTGTCACTGAACTGTATACATTATTATCTAATCACACTACAGGATGGGGTAGGGTTGGAATAATTAAGAGTATGGAGGTGTGAAACAGATGTGTGCCAACGAAATATTATTCTCAGATATTCCCACAGTTCAATTTAGCATTAGCAACAGAATTATCATGTATATTGGAACATTTTATTTCTTATCGTTTAATGTAAACTAAAATCACACTCTCAGTGCATTGGTTAACAAATATCCACTGTAGATATATAAACAGCAGTTTGATCAATGAAAAATATACTTTGGCTTCCGTGTCTTGTCTACTGTTGTTACGCGAGTAATGTGGTTAGGTGAAGACACATTTATCACTAAATCCTTGTTCATCGAACTAGCACCGAACACATGCATTCGAAATGATACAATACCTATACTGATTATATGGGAAATTGCAATAAAAAAAAAGGCAAAGATAGTGCAGGAACTAAGGCTGTACTCAACAAGTTGTGGAATTGTCTGAATACTTGGATATGATTATGAGCGATGAATAGTGCTCGAATATTATATTATTGTGTATGATAATATAAATTAAACGTATCTAGTGTGGAATTATACTCTTTTCAATAATAGCGTTGATTTATCTGGCAATCATTATAACATGTATACATAATATATAATAACTTTATTTTGAAAAGTAAATACACATTACACAATTCTCAACATTTTCTATTGCAAGTTATGCACTCTGGGTGTAGAATGTTGCAGAAAATTAATAATCGGTATTATATCATTTGAAGTAATATTGTTCTCTATCCAAAGCACACTTTTATTATAACCTCCTATAGTTTTACTCCCTTTTCTTCGAAAAATCCATAGCAGTAGGCGCCGAATCCTATTTGAGAATAGACGTGAGTACAAACTGCTACTCTTTTTTTATTCGTTTACGTTCCCAGTGGAACATAGGGCTTCAAGCTAACAGACTTGAACTTTCGGTAGCAGTGGTATTTATTTTTTACAAAATGGGGTTGCTGCTAACCTCATGCCTAACTTTCCCTCTATGCCAGTCTTATTTCTGGCTTAGCGAAGGGAAGGAGTGCGTCGGCCGGGGATCGAACCTTAACCCACCTCTGGCGTGGCTGGCAAGCATTCTACCGCTGTGCCACTGATACACAACTCAATGATTAGTAATTAGACAATTAAAACAACACGAAATAGATACATTTTATGCGATAGGAAATTGGGTAGCTTAATGACTTAAACAGGCGCCCCCAAAAAGGAATATGGTTACTGCTAACGTTATTCCACACTAGATTCAAATGTTTTACTTACTGTGACAACTGATAATCTCTTTAACTGTTTAATTTCATTAATTTTCGGTAAGCTCATAGTCAGTTTCATTTATTTATTTATTTATTTATTGTTTGTTTTTTTCTATTAGTCGGGTAGTGGACGTACTCCTTTAGAATCGATAACATTTCCCACATCGACAAATAGTAAGAGTACACTTTTTATTCGATTAATTGTTCTTATTATGTGTAAACTGACAACTAATTAATAATGCTAAAAAATCTGTTTATATTCTCTCACTCTTTTACACGTAATACTTTAAACTTTAGAGGATATATCATTTGACAAAATTTCAAATGAAATGCAAAACGAAAATACCCGCTAAATCATGAAGAAAAATAAAAGGCGATTCAGCGAAGAAAATTTTTCTTTATTGACGAAATCATCTTCACAGGCTGTACAGTCGTATTTATATTTACCGAAAATGTATAGTACTCTATTGTTGAGTAATACCGGGGGCGGGGGAGATGACATAATTGATATAATTACTCAGAAGTGGCTTTAGAAGTAAAAACAAAAGTTTCAAATTACGTAATGCTCAGTGACACAAAGAAAGAAAGCGTTAGAAATCTGATAAGATGAAAATTGTTATTGAGTGAGAGAAAAAAAGGTAGTTAAGTGTCAATTTAACAAGTGTGAAAAGGATGAGAAAATGTACAAAAGAAACATATAAGAGTAATGATAGCGAATTAATTATTAAAGTGAAAGCAAACTAAAAGTAAAACTAAAAATTTAAAAATATAACAGGGAACGGCTAGTGAAGAGGTTAAGACCATGGGATATCTAAGATGACAGTTGATTAAAGGAAACAACGCCTTGATCAAACTCGTCGTTTTGGTATACCCATAATCTTCTTTAAATTTTGATGATATGTTCCAGTTTAAAAAGTAGAGGAACAGTTAGTTCAGTGAAGAGTGTCTCTCATTTCAGCGAGTTTATTCATCATATAGCTGAACAATTTCATTTATATATACATTTCTTACAAACACATGTATAATAAATTGTCTCAAGTGTAGTTAAATTCAGTAATAACAAAAAATGATCATTATCATCAGAATTTTGATTCAAATCAATAGGATAGTTGGGAATAGTGAAGGTTAATCATTGTGTAATTGTAAAATTAGTATGTTTACATCAATAATTGCACAATTAATACTAGATTATTTTTAAAATGACATGTACCCAGTGAAATTGTAGAAAGAAAGATAACTAGTTGATCACGTAAGTGGTCAATAATGCCAAGTGAACACTAGAAAGGAAAAAAAGGGAACCTCTGAAGTCCAGACGAAAAAGCAAAACGGTTGAAACAGTTTCTCTTGAATGCTATGAATGAGATTCTCTACCTAGATAGCTAGTTCTTCTGAATTCCAAAGAATATAGACGCCTGTCATCTTTGGGAAACTTTTACTTACTTTGTAAATGAGTTTGAATTGATTGTGTCTTAGTGACTTTAATGGTCAGTCTTGACAGCATCTTCAGTTATAGCATTTGTAATTGAACTATTGATACCCTTTTGCAATCAGGCAGAATAGTACTCCTTACTTAACCTTTTCTAATGTGATTTGCATCGAACGTCTTATATACCTTGCTCTGCAGGAATGGGACAATAGGTAAGTGTACATGTGAACTGATCAAATGTAAGGGTTTATACTTCTTGGTGTTACAATGTTAATTGCTGAAGGTGACGACATCATGTGTTGAACAACTGAAAGACTTTGGTCAACTACAAACACATTTTCTATGTTTCACCCGTTCTCCGAACCTCACACATATCTTTTCTCTCCCTGTATGCATAAATGACCAAAGCATCTGTAGAATGATTCTGCTTCTCTACATGTACAAGCTCATTTGTAATCGCAGAAAAATAATACAATTCCTCAAATGTTAAATGGATATTACATCACATAGAGAAACTATATGCACCTTATTTGAATGATAATTCAGCCTTATCCAATTGAAAACATTTATCCATGGTCACAGGACCAATAATAATGGTGATTGTTCACTTATTATTTTTGGTATAATTCCCAGTCAAGATTATTAAAAGTCATAGATGCAGTTGGGATTAATTACATACTTTCCAAGCTATCTGTACAGAAAATAATGGATCTCAACTTCTACCGAATCTGGGGAGTACTTTGATCTACTATTCAGTTTCCCTTCAAAATCACCAAACATCTTATTGTCTCCAACTGCCTCGATTGTGAGACAACTGTAGAGGAACTATGAGATAATGTCATCTTGCACTATTTAAGTTGAATACAGTTTCACGAACACGTTCTATGTGTTGCAGTAAATTTCTGCATATTATTTCATTTCGTTTTTGCCCTACTACTGAGATTGAATAGCCGGTTTCAGCATAGAACTTTGCACAAATGTCCAGCAGTTCGAGTTGTCACACTCCCTCCTTGTAGCACATAAAACAAGTGAAGAGAGTTAAAGGGAGATTCAAAAGACAGATAATAAACAGAAATGTGAGGAAAAAAGAATAAGTAATATGGAAGAACAACATAGCTTTATTGGATATGATAAATCTGCACCAACCATTGAGCCCGATTTTTAGCCATATCAACAATTATCTTCAGCCATTGGTTTTCACCATCCTGAGAACCCCAACCAGTCAAGAAGTCTACACTTCCCCAAGTGGCTGTCTTAACCTGATTGTTATGGATTTCATTGACTGATTTCGTGTTTTGATTTGACCACCACTAGCTCTTTTCCAACTTGGGCCATCCTATGTCAGCTAACACTGCACATTGTCGAGGAAGGCAGGCGATGGCTAGGCTAGGAATGCGTAACACATGTCCTAACTATTTCAATCGATGTAACTTCACAACCTCATCTGTTGATTTCCCCCTTACTCAATGTTGCACACCTTGTTATACCACTTAACACAGGAGATAGAATGCAGACACCTATGGCCAAAGACAGCTAGCCTTTTCATATTTTCCACTTCCAATGACTATGTCTCATTCTTAGCCATAAAGGAGAACAGAGCGGACTGATGAGCAGTAAACACGCTCTTTAGTTGACAGCCAGCCGGATATCACGTCTATGCCAGAGATGGCGTAAGTTGGCGTATACCAAGTGAGCCTCCTGTATCCGTGCTGAGATTTCGTCAGGGATCAACCCGATTATGTTGGCCGATGAAACTTCCCGAATAAGTGTAGTGGTCAACACGCTCCACCAGCCACTTCACTCTGTATCTTCAGTCTAGAAGTCGATGTAGTCCAGTGCTGTAGCACCATCCTACATTTGACAGGAGCGAATCGCATGACAAACATTCGAAGATTACTGTTCAAGGTGTTCAGAATACTCTGCTGTATTTTGTCAGCGTCTTCGCCTAGGAGAAAGGACTATATCATGTGCATATTCTAAGTCAACGAGATTATTCCCCGGTGGTAAGAAGTCACTTCATGAGTCCATGAAGTCAGTTAGGGTTAAATCCATTAGTACAATATCTATGATGAAATTATGAAGAAGTGGGGACAGTGAGCATTCCTGACGGACATCACTGATTGTGACCACTTCTTTAGATGACAACTTTCTGTAGGCTCTTAGCTGGTTGTATGAGTTCGAGTTGAGTGCCTTGATCAGTGCGCTGTATTTTTTCGGCACTCCTTTCACATCCAAACATCGCCGTAGCACCTTTCAGTCGACGGAATCGAATGTCACTTTCAGGTCAAGAAATATAACGATAGTTGGACGCCGGTGAACTTGCCACCTATTTGTTCAGAATCTACTAGCGATATCTTTTATCTATTTTATAACTGGAGTTATCAGGACAGCTGGACAACATACACATAGTGATTTAAGAGTGATACAGAAAAGTAGCATTTGTGCATTTATATTAATCTCTCTACGATTTAATAATGATTCTTAACGCATTTATCTTTATTTCTTGTCTATCGTTACAGAATCCAACTCCTTTTTCAATATTTTGTCAGCAGAGCCTCCACCACTGCCTGATCGTCCACTGTTAACAAAACCAGTTATTCAAACAAAAATTCCTAGCAGTGCTAGTGATACTACCACTGGCAGTAGTGGTAACGGCAATCGTCCAACATCTTTAACTACGAACAATAACAGTATTAGTAATATTTCTGGCAGTTACGGTGATAGTAGTAGTGGTTCTAACACTGGTAAGAGTAATACTGGTGCTAGTAGTCACGAGTATCCTAGTACTCCACGTGGTAGAACCATTACACCAGATGAAGATTCTCCCAATCACTACACTAGTAATAATACAGATAATGGAAAGAAACAATTGACTAGTCCTAGTATAATCTCACGAATTGAATCCAGTCCTAATGTGATACGGGGTAGATCGCGTCCACTGCCTCCTCTACCGCCTACACCCGTTCGATCGTCTTCTATTGCACGAACAGAGAATGTAAATAATCGATCAAAACAAAAGTTCCTAACAAGTAGTGGTAATTTGACCAATAATGAGTCAGCACCTCCTTTACCTGAGAGAAAAGTGAGTTCAGTTCTTGATGATAATTATTTTATTGTTTATAAACGGAGGTTGTTATTATCATTATGATTTCAAAACTTGCACGTATACTTGACCTTCGGAGTTGAATGGTGTGCTGACACTAGTTACCACTCGTGATACATATTTGAATCTCTTGAAAAACACTTTTCTATTAAATGTTCACAAGCACGATACCTAGTTCCAAGGCCTCTTGCTGATTGTCTCACTAACTTAATGAGCAACTCCATATATATATATATATATATATATATATATATATATATATATATATTCAGCTGATGAGTGCTAAACAGGACATAATGTACGCATTAGGTTGATTCCATACAGTTTCAGATTTAAATTACAGACCACGACTACAATCCTATATTGTGATAACCTTGTCGCACTTAGTCTTTGAGAGACGAATTTTTAATGTAGTTTTCCCCACAAACTGAAACTGTTTTGAAAGGACCGATAAAAAATGTGGAAAGCATTTCACAGCTTTCATCCTACCTTTGATCTCTTCAACAGTGTATGCCCTTAGTCTTGGAATAGTCGAAAGCATTACCATCAGGTCACACGGTGAACACGTCACTATTTACGCAATTTGTTTTTTTTTAACGATTGCTAGTTCGGTTCTTTCTTATTTTTGAATGCTTGGATTATTCACGCTTAAACAAACTTTTCATCTTTTATGTTGTTGTTCTTTTTCAACCAATTGTTTTAGAGTAAAGTCTCTTGTCCTTCAATGACGCCAATTGTGCAATCACCAGGACGTCGAAATCATGATGATCCATCATTCGACTTTACTTGATCTTATCTACTGTCAGTGCCAGTATCATTGTACACATCAAAATGGTTTATTGTAGTTCTCCCATCTCCTCGAGGCAAATCAATGATTTTTATATACATACTTACTTATATGCTTTCCAAAAAACTGGATAACTTCTGATAAAGCGCCTTTTTATTTATTTCCACTGTGACTTTTCAGCATTATGTGAGACACAGTCAGTCGTTCGCACATGCTGATTCACTTTCACTCTGTATGTAGATGACCTGTTTATACACGTATATGATGATAATAATATGCTTTGCACAATTCCCATACCTACGGGTTTATCTTACGTGCTTTATTTGAATTTTACACCCTAATTTTACTTACTGTTCATTATACACATCTTGGTGTTAAGGTGTATTTTTTTACTGGCATTTTTTTATCGACTCAAATGTTATTATCATTACAATGACGACGGGAGATAGTGATTGTTGGGGGGTGGGGTGGGGTGGGGTACGATGGGATTATCTTGCTCAACCCTGATTTCTGTTACCAATCAATATTAGTAGTAAATACTGCTATACTTTTGTTTTTGATTTATTTTATTCATATTTTCATACGCATAGATAATATAAATCTTTTTTTTGTATGATGCGGAGGAAGAAGTTTTGTAGACAATCGTCGTAATGTGATTTTTTTCTTTAATACGCTACTACTGCTTGTTTGCTTTGCTTTTACTTGCCTTTGCATTTGTTGGTTCTCTGTTTCTTTCTCCCTTCCTCTGGCTATTTCAGTATTCCTTTCTTTTTTGAAGCCTTCCTTTTGTTTTCGCTCTTCTTTTTTTACAGTCGTAGTATTGTGTGTGCGTGTGTGTGTTCTGTTCATATTTGACGCACCATACTACTACTTACTGCTGATACTAATGCTTGTTTATTTCCTCTGTTGATTGATTTACTTGTCGTCGTCTTTTCTAATTTCTGAGATGAAAACAAGGGATCTTCTCTTTTCAGAATCCATATTATTACTGATATTAATATTATTATGAATACTGCTCTCTGTAGCTTATATTATTCGTTTTAGTAGATTGGTTTTTCGATCTCATTGATTGATTAAATAATAGTTTGATTATTATAATAATTATTACTATTATTATCATGCTAATTACCAATTGTATTATATACACTTAAACTGTCTTGTTTATTTCGCTTTCCTAGATTATATGCTGACTAATTGGATAGTTCACTGTTGTCATTATACCGTGAGATTGAGTCGTTCTTTTTTCAAAGAAGAAAAAAACGATGTCGATGCCTTAGAGTACTGTGAAAACTCAATATCACTGTCTAGTATACATTGGATTGAGGTTATGAAGATGTAGTGTGACGTGTTCTACTGATAAGATTTACCAGTAGTATATATATATATATATATAAAGAGATGTTCATCGGCATGAAAGCATTGAATAGCAGGCAGATAGATTTCATGTAAGAGAAATCAAATGATACAGTGTTGCGGAGATACATGAAAGACACGTGAAGGAAACACAAAGACATATAAATATATGCAACAGCAGTATTAGACAAATCAAACTATTTGGACAAGGTAAATACTCACATACAAACAGGACCATATGAGAAAATTAATAAATCAATAGACACAGTTATAAATAAAGTTAAGAAATCCACAGCGGACCTTATACGCCGAATGAAGCCATCCCTAGGTGAGTCTAAGCGGTTTAATTTAATGCCCAAAACTAATAACCCCAGTAGGATGTATGGTGTTGTTAAAGTTCATAAGTCAGGATACCCTATTAGATAGATCTATAGTTGATTTAAGAAATTCACCTACCTATAAATTATCTAAATATTTAGCCATAGTATTAAATCCTCTTAAAAGTCCCTCGAAATCTAGACTAACGAATTCTTATGAACTAAAACACAGATTAGATAATTTAAAATTAGATAATGAAGAGAAAATGGTTAGTTTTGACATTGTCAGTTTATATACACGTATACCAATAGATATGGCCATACAAGCAGTCAGAAACGAACTCATTTCTGACCAAGAACTCGAACTTAGGACAAAAGTGCCACTTGAGAACATAATGCTGGAAGTGCAGCTATACCTGACTTCCACAGTATTTAAATTCCAAGGGGAAAAATATACAAACAAAAATGAGGGAGTTGTCATGGGATCACCAATATCCCCGATTGTAGCAGATATATTCATGGATAGGTGGGAAAAAATAGCGATTGGAACGTTCACCCCCATCCCAAAAGTATGGTGGAGGTATGTAGATGACACATTCACTGTATTTAGAACACAAGATATAGCTAGATTTTTCGAACACATCAACTTGAAGGTAGAGGCAATTCAATTCACTTATGAATTGGAAAGTCAGGAAGGAGAGCTTCCAATGTTAGATTGCAACGTAAAAAAGGAAAGAAGATGGAAAGTTAAACAGTAGTGTTTACAGGAAATCCACACATTCAGACAGATACTTGGACTTCCGATCATCCCATCCTATGTCAGTAAAAATAGGATTGGTGGAATGTTTAAGTGAGAGAGCACAAAAACTAAGTAATACCGAGGAAAATCTAAGACCGGAAGTGATACACATAAAAGAAGCCTTGAAACTTGATCATTACCCTGATAATTTAGTCAGGAAATATGTAAGGAAATGTAAAAATAAGATAAATAATGATAGTAGCAATAGTGATAATAATAATAATATTAACGACGACACCAACAATAAGGAATCTAAATCATCAGTAATAATTCCATACAAGGAAGGAACCTCGGAAACTACCTTACGCAGAATTCTTAATAAGGCAGGAATAAAAGTGGCTGACATTCAAACCCACAAACTCAATTAGAAACAAGCTTTGTCGGTTAAAGGATCAATCCTGTGGAGCCTTTAAAACAAAACAATTTAGTTTATCTACTACCCTGCTGGGATGATTGTTATGTCAAACTAGTAGAACGGGGACAGTCAGACCAGCCGAACATAACAACCTAGCAAAATCTAGATTGGTTGACCCAAGTAAGATAAGAAATCTAGAGAATAGTTCAGCTATCGAACTACATGCAGTTACACACAACCATACAATAGGATGACAGTTTTAAAATCTAATGTCACAGGGTGGAGAGAGAGATTGATAACAGAAGCTTTGTTTATCGAATCAACTGCAAACACGTGTAATAGGAATGATTCAACACCTATCCACCGAGATATCTGGAAAATTCTATTACCCCTACGACAAATAGGTGAAGACAAAGAAAACTACAAAAAATTCAAGTTTCAAAGTCATGTGATTACAATTGATATGATTATGAACGATAAATTTTGTTCGAAACGTTATCCAGTAAATAATACTGTTTTACTCACTGTGTGATACATCTAATAAACAAACTAATAGGGAACACAAAGAAACAAAATATAAAGGCCAGAAGTAGAAGGCACAACACAGAAGATCTGTGCAAATGATGCATTGAAGATAAGATGTATGTAATTTGGCTATACAGAGATACCAAATTGCAAATAAACATTCCTTTACAAAGTCTCTTGCCTTCTTCCAATGCAATAGTGTTGTAAGGCTTCATATAGTAGGCGTTAGATGCAGATCAATATAACTATTCATACTTTGTTTTCGATGTTTGTTAAATAAAAAGATTTTATGTAGCAGGAAAAAGTTGTGGTAAAGCGTCACTTTCATCAGTAATATGCTCTACTTTGGATATGATTGATCTTTCTCTGATTAAAATAATACTTTGGTTACATGCATCTATTGCATGCTGGCGTATCACTTATATAATAGCTGTGATTTGTATTACTCTTAAAAAGTAGCATTGTGTAGGGCAAAGTTAAACTATCAGGTCCCATGGGATGCGAACGCACTAGTGACCTTGAGGCGACCAATCATAGAAAAAAAGCAATTTTTAAACAAAAAATGACATTTATTTACAAGAAAATTCATAAAAATAAATTAAACCGGGTATTTTTCTGTGACATGGCTTAAAAAGACGTCTCAGTTATATTGGGGAGTGTCAGTTTTTAATTTGAATCAATTTCTATGCATATATTCATCGAGGTGACTGAAAATAAGTTGGTTTCGTGAGTCATTTATTGATCTTATCCTATTTTTTAATCTACCCTAGAAGCCCTCTATTGAATTCGAATGAGTGCCAGTAATAGGGTCGACGAAATCATGGGAATGGTTAACTCTTATAAGTGGCTATATTCCGCACATTCACTGGTGTAGATAGTGGTTGGTACCAGGGATAAACAGCCTTTGAATAATAGGTAGAAGAGTGTCGGCAATGCTGTCTGGAATCACCTCCATTATCGTCTTCTGAGATTGGTTGTCATAAATAAACAGTATCCAAAAGTTGTTAGCTCTAGCGTGACTGTATTTCTTCTTTATGAGCCCTGTTTATACGATGTGAACAATCACACCAACACTTGTGTAACATTATCTAACTTACAGGAGGCTATATCTCGGCAATACTGAAACCACTGCACAGCTGACATCAAGCTGTTTTCTGTCCACGTGGCTGTTGATCTCACTCCGGACTTCAGTATCCAGCAATGGTACATATACATTATATATGTTAAAGGAAGTTTCGATTTAGCAAAGAAAGTTCCTAGAAAACAATGAATTCAGTGTAAAACTTACCAGTATGAACACTCATTCGTTTCGTACACTGTGTGCGCTTGAATACATATCCATCAGTAGCTTGTGAATACGATTGCAGGTACATGAAAGCACCACGAGTACATCTGCGACTACGTTCTATGAAAACAGGCAGTATTTAAAAACATGATCCGAATGAAATTTGCCCCTTAGTTAATGAATAGTGTTCATATTAGTACTATAATAATAACAGGTCTTGTTAACCAACGACTAGCATGCGTCCAAGGTCATTGGAGAGTTCGCCTCTCTGGGACCTGACAGTTTAACTTCGCCTAATGTAGAAATAAAACTTTGATATTCACTTAGTAAGAGATTCTTTAGAAAGAAATGAGGAATACATTAAGCATTCAAAGAAGATAAGTGACACGGAGTGAAGCACAAAATATCCCGAAAGTAAAATGCTGATATAATTTACATGAAGTGGACGGAATGCAACGACCTAATATTCTGCAAATATCCATTATTAGAAATTAATTTAATTTTTCCTCTCTAGTATTATTTTCCAAAGTATACTAGCGTAGTCACCCTTCAAATTAAGTTAGAAATCTGTAGATTATTTCAGTCCATTGAAAATTAGTTTATATTGTTATGTGGATGATTTGTAGCTCAGGGGGATGGAATTGGTGTAGTTGTGTTCTCTCTCAAATGGATAGTTTAGTTGTGAAGCTTTCAATGTCTTTCTAGATGATAAATTCAGCACAGATTTCAATTTGGAAGCGCAACTAAACCATTCAGCTCTGAAAGCACAACTGCAAGTTAGAAGTTCTCCATTTGGATTTCATGTTTGTTTGTGCTTTTTAACATGACTGTGTCTTCTCAGCCTTACTGATGCATCTTCCTAAAGCAGGACAACAGAAGTAAAGCTGAGCTTCTTATGGATTGACCGCTAAGGTCTGGTATCAGATTTGCATGTTATTATCATTTAGATGGATAATCACATGGTTAAATAAATTTATAAATTATCTTTGTGATCAATTTGTGTGTATTACAAAAGTTTTACTTAGTTATTTGAAGTCAAATGTCACGATGCGTTGTATGTGAGTTTTTTCTCATAAGTTATGCATCATGAAAGCATCATCAATACCTTATATCCCTTCAGGTATCTCCAGTTTAATCACTTAATTGTTTGAGAAGCGTCTGTGTGGTGATTGACAATTTCTATCACTGTATTGTTTACATAATTACTGTTGTTTGTTAATATTTATTATTATTAATACAAATTCCTAAATTCATCCATCTCTGTGTTGTTGGTTGATGTCCTGTAATTCGGTCATTGCGAAATACTACTATTACAAATAATTATTACATTTTGGTGTCACGAGTAGGATTAAATAATCTTGGAAAGTTTCCTATGAACGGTTCGCCACGGGAAATCTCCGATTATCTTGAATGCGTTGACTCATGGTGCATGTCAAAGAATGTTCGTGATGACAAAATTCCAGCTCATTTTATTACTGCGATTGGGCTAGATGCGTAGAGTCTAGTGAAAACTCTGTCAGGCCTTATACACTAGTTTGTATCGAGAATTCCACCTACTTTTCTCCTCAGAGCAGAATATGATGATGAATCTTAACAGCACTTTAAATATATTTTAGTTGCTGTGATTATTTTGTGGAATTGAGTGTCCTGTCGACTTCCTTCAGCTCTGTTCAGAACATCATGTAAGTGCATGGTTTGTGTGTATTTAATTTAATTCGGAGATTAGATTTCTTTACCCACCGGAATCATATGGACAACTGCTGTAAGCCAAATTAAAAGTAGTCAGCTGTGTCATCCTACTCTGGCGCCATTCAGCAGTGCACACTCATTATCCTACTGGATACCCAGTTAGAAACCTCCAGATTATGAGCTTAGCATGTTATTATGACGTCAACTGGCCTGAATCCAATGTCGATAACTTCGAGCTGCTTATAGTTCACCATATATTTCTACTGCCATTCCATGATATCAATGATCATTTTTCTTCTATAATAAGCAGAATTTTCGAGAATATCTTTCTACCTTAATTACTAATTAGCATTTGACTGACAGTGAGATATTAATGGATTCGATTACGGTGGTCAGGCTATGTTTCACCTGGGTAGTTGAATACTTTTCGACAGAATAAGTCAATTAAACACAGTAGTACATTCTTCTTACATGGATTCATTTTTTCCGATTAACTTTATTAATGTACAAGTTTACTTGTATGTGTAGAGATCTACTAGTCCATTGAAGTAAAAATGAGTGAGAAATTAGAGGCTTCTCTGAACAACTCGATATCAGATAAGTTTATTTCATATAATACCGTGATATAATATAACTGAATGACACTTTTAGTCGAATTCACTTCTCATTATCATATCTAGATGTTCACATGAATTCCTGACTTGCTTTATTTAAACAAAGCAACAAGAATAAATTGTGCAGGATTGCATGACGTCGTTATATTTCATTGGGTCTTATCAACTGCATACAACCTAAAACAGTTACGAAATCAATATACAAAATTTATGCATACTTTAACTAAATTGGCAGTAGCCATTAATATTACGTAATTCGAGATAGATGGAGCTGAGAGGAAGCAACCGCAAGTGTCAGTAAGCCTACTTGTAAATGGAGAAAATTACAAGAACGGAAGTCGGGCGAAAATTAGAATAAGTAGCACATTTAACATAACACTTACAAGTTTCGAAGTATTTGAAGTGACCGGAATAATAATAAGTTGAGTGCAGGTCAGAATATTCAGGTCAAGAGTATCGGTGAGAATACAAAAGTCAGTTAATGGGTATGAAATGACATTGTCAAAATTAACGCAATTGAGAAAATGAAGAAAAGAAAGAATGTCTTCGCCATGGTATGAAGAGATTAGCAACCATTTCTTCATGAATGCACAAGTCAGGGTTTGAAAGTTTAATCGCTACACCTTGGGTGACACGTAGTAGGCTGGTCCTGACCTGTACTTTATATGATTTAAAAAAGTCGATCTTGTGGCCACTACCTATGAGGTGAAGAATGATTTCACTAATGACTTTTCACCTTTCAGTCTCAAGTTCCTTGAAATATGCTTCAATATTCGATCACAAATTGTACTATCCAATACGAATAGTGACGAATCCCCTAGAATTGACTCGACTTCATGTACGTAATAATTCCTGTCCATTGTAACCACCCTGGAACCCTTTTCTGCTAGCACTGTGATTTCCTTAGTGTTCTCAAATCTCTTAGACGTTCTCTAGTTAGGATTTCGGATTATTTGACTGATGACTTTATGTACTGGTTAATAATATGAAAAAATTTGAATTTTAACCAGTCTTGTGTTTCTTCACTTACTGGTTTTAACTCTGTCTGTCTAAATAAAAGTGTGACACTGCTTCTAATTCAAGTCTACTTAGATGTAGGTCCAATAGATTATACACAAATCTCTCTACATTCCCGGTGACACATTTCGGGAGAAACCAGTCTTCCTAAAGCTTAGATTCAAAGGCGATGACGCATTTGGAAGAATTAAATACAAAATGAATGTCACTCTAAAAAAACCTCATCTTATTGCCAGGTGAATCGCAACCTACCGAATTTATTCCTCATTGAGATAATCTAAGGTTAGCAAGTAGTCCTTTAAATCTTATCTCCAAATCCATAAATCAACTTGCATATACTCGCCAAGACAGATGCATCGGACGAACTGAGAGAAGGATTTGTGCTTGCAAGTCAGTGTATACTCCAAGGAACTTACGACTGAAAAGGGGGAAAGTCTTAAGTAGAGCAAACGCTCGTCATCCGGTAGATAGTGACCACAAATCCGACCTTTTAAACTAAAATGTCTTCAAGCTTTGACTTTTCATTAACCATTGGACCATGGCGAACTGGACAGCTCTTTCGTCCTAGTTTCTTCATCTGCATACACCTGCCAGGAAACGAACCTGATCTAACGCTCACTAGTGACTGAATAAAGTTACCTAGAGTTCTGGTAACAAGTCATGACCAGAGGAGTGAATCAATTTGCGTGTTAAATTATTTGTTACTTGCACTATATTCTGCAAATCGGCACCATTTGGAATATATGGGCTTGGCTCAAAACCTGAGAGCCATGAATTTATTTCTCACAAGATCACGAGTACTTACTGCTACAGTGTCGCATACTAAGAAGAAACAGCTATCCAACACTCCCAGGTTTCCTACAAGTTTCTACAAGCTACCAGTTCGTAATCCAAAATGAAACTGTACCATGATTGGTCATCTATTATCTAACCTAGGTGTCTGTTAACTGTAACTAAGTTTTTTTTCCTAGCTTAATTTCAAGTTAGACCATGTGGTGACATTAGTTAGAAGATGACTGAAAACTACGAGATCCTGGACAGGTGTTTCGATAATTAATTGGTTCCAATTTTCAAGAATATGATTGGCCACTTATTCTGATTCGTCACTGTTATGGAATTAAAGTCAACTGCTCAACAGAAAGCTGTAAACGTATTCACAAACAAGTCACCCTCAGAAATAATGCCCCACAGTATCATAACACCTGCATTCCCAGTGTCCTCTTTGACCGATTCTTCATACGATGCCGTTCTCCTAGTAAATGACGATGCAGAACATCTACCAGAACCGTTAAAACTCGCTTTGAATGCCTTGAAAAAATTCAGTGAGGTGAGTATTATTGTCAGTGTATCACATATTTAGATTATTCATTATTGTTGTATGGAAATACTATGGATATAGGCATAAAGTGTGAAGTTTGAGACTGAATTTGAAGTAGAAAACATCCCTGTTTCTAATTCACTTAATGTAGGAAGGGAAATCATGAAAAGTGAAACTTCTAGATGTACTTTCCGAAAGTTATTACTGCAGGCTGTGAAAACTTCTATAACTTGGTCGCACCCATGCAGTTTCCGTACACTTTTTATCTATAGTCGTTGTTATTTTATCTATTCTCTTATTTCCCAAGTTATTATTCATGTGTACTTGTTCACTCAATCCTTTGAGAATGTATTCAACCACTTTAGTCTGATTAGAGCATGAGTCGTGAATTTCCACCTTGATATACGCAATATTCAGATGAACAAGATTATTTTATGCCTTACCAATTTTAGCTGAAGTAGATATTCATAAATAAAGTAGTTTGAACTGATGCATTGCTGCTATGACCAGGTGAAACAGTCAGCAGTTGTTTGTCTAATCTAACCTGGTCCCATCAGACATATGGAATAAGCATTCCGTGTATTTTGATACATCTAGTATGATTAAAGTATCCTACAATAAGCTGATTACTGTGTGAGTGAGTCAGTGATTGGTCATTTTGGAACTTTGCACACACGTGAACCAGGTTGAATTACCAAAGTATGGTAAAGCACATAGAAGAAGGCAACATAAATGAAATGAATCTGCTGCGGTCGAAGATGTGTGGGAGAGTTAGTAATTAGATGGAGCTTAGTCACAATTCTCGGAAATTTGCACATGTCGGTTATCCAGTATGTCTGCACCATTATAAGTAATTTTGAGCATAATGACCGACACTCCTTGACCTTGATTCATATCTTCTCGAAGACTCCAGTCGGATAGTCATGTGTTTCAGTTTAGTTCTGTAATCAGTGGGTATAATTTATTATGCAATTTATTTATACTTCATTGTGTTCCACTAACTTAGAGTTTTTGTGGTTTTATTATTGTTGTTGTTGTTGTTTTCAATTTTATGTATTTGTATATTTATGAATGGAACTAAATTGTTACAGTATGTGTAAAAACAGTGAGAACTTCATTGTGTATGATAATTATTGTTTGACATAAAGTGATTATTATTATTATTATTGTTAGTAGCCGGAGGAACGTTAGTAAGACTCATATCTGCTTTTTGAATCTATGTGTAGTCAATTGGTGAATGATATGTTGGACGCACGACGTTTCACACGATCAACAAGCTTATTGTGAATGACATAGGATAAGAATGTGTATTGAGAAAATAGTGTAGGAAGTAGTGTTCAGTCCTGGTTAATGGACGGGTAGAGCACCATTTTACAAATTTCAGCTATCTACCTGATATAAACAATTATCATGGCGACTAACAAGACAAGAATGGCAGGTGAAACGAAGTTTGAATGTGCATCACTGTGACAACAAATATGTTTACCATACTAGTGAGAGATGATTGTAAATTGATAGAGTACTGTTGAACTGATGCAAAACTATGTCGACATTAAGTGAATGATTCTACGAAAATGTTAGTTTGCCTTCCGTGACATACGAGGTGAGACACAAAAAATTGAAGTAGATACTTTTAAGTGATAATAAGGACGTGAACCATTGCATAGATATGAAAACAATTCACACAACTCAATATTGTTGAATATGATGAGAAGAATTGTCTCCACAAAGCTGTGAAAATCAGATTGTGACATTGTAGATATCTCAATACATTCAGTAAATGAATAACATCTTTGCTTTCCTTTGATGATTGGTTGAAGGTGAATCCGAAGTTTTCTGATGAAATCAGTGTGATTCCATTTCCGGAACATCCATCGAAGAGATTGGTGAGTGAATGTTCTGATTTACTTTGTTTTTGTTGTTTTCTATCTGAATGTAATTTATTCTTTTCTGATGTAGTTCATCATATGACGAGTCTCAGTATGTTTCAGTTAAGGTGTTTGTTGACCAATAGAAACGACAACAATGAATGGATTTCTGTGAGTACTGATGAGCTTCACGTAATGTGTGTTACAGTGATTCCAGCGAATTTCTGAAGATTATGTATTATTTGCTTGATGACACGTTTACAGTTTTCGAAGTGATCTATTCATCCTGCATGTTGATGGCAGTGTAGTACTTAATACTTGGTTCTTCAGTCGTCTATTGAAGGGATGTTATTGTTGGAGGGTTAATTTAAGTTACAGAGTTATTTACTCATTGATGCGAAAGGATTTCAAACTTAATATTTAACGATTTCCAGGTTGTGTTAATCGGTGTCTGATGTAATGTAGTCTTTTCCCCACCAGAATACTTGTATGTGAATAAAACGTAGGTGAGTCAGAACGAAGTCTCATACGGAATATTCATTGCTGCCATCTGTAATATCTTCAAGAAGAGAAGTTTTGCACCACAGAACGCAGAGATTTCACTCACTGGCTCCAATGTGTCTAGGCCATTCAGTGAATTATGAATTCAAAAGTTTTCCATCTGTCTTCAGTAGCTCGCCATTTGTTATGCTATTCACATACTATAAGCTGAAATAAGCTCTACATGAGTTAGGGGATTTCTTCAAAAGATAGATCTGTTTTCAGCTGGGTGGGTAGAGAAGATGAAATTCGTTGCACAAGGAAAGAAGAAACATAGGCGCAGAATAATCTGGATGCATTTGTCTCATTGGTTCTCATCAGCTGAGTACAACCTGAATTCCTTAATAAAATAAAAATAAAAAGTGTACAGTTTTAACAAACTTCTGTCGATTAGCAAGCATATTGTCAGAGCGTCATAGTAAAATAAGGCGTCTCGATTTACAAGGTGTCTAAAGTGTTACGACATATATAAGGGAGAAGTTTCCTGAGAAAAATCAATTAACAGTTGTGTTGTTGGGATGGTAACCAAAGAAAATTAGTAAGAGTTACGTAATTAGATAAGAGAAGATCAAATTTTAAAATTTCGGTGCACATGAGGTCAGATGAGAAGTTGATGATGTAATACAGTGAGCAGGACTCAGAAGATCAAGAAAAAATTATCTCTTAAGAGAGTCAGGTTTGCTAAAGCCATAGCAATAAAACGATTGAAGCCTGACTTAGTGTCCAAAAAGAATCCGTTGTTGGACTTCAATTACCCTGGTGACTCAACACGTCTTAGTAACTCTTCGTTTTCTAATTTTGTTAACTTATCTTTTCACTCCCTCCCCCCGTTTATTTTTCGCTTGACTCTCTTAAGAGATAATTTTTTCTTGATCTTCTGAGTCCTGCTCACTGTATTACATCATCAACTTCTCATCTGACCTCATGTGCACCGAAATTTTAAAATTTGATCTTCTCTTATCTAATTACGTAACTCTTACTAATTTTCTTTGGTTACCATCCCAACAACACAACTGTTAATTGATTTTTCTCAAGAAACTTCTTCCTTATATATGTCGTAACACTTTAGACACCTTGTAAATCGAAACGCCTTATTTTACTATGACGCTCTGACAATATGCTTGCTAGTCGACAGAAGTTTGTTAAAACTGTACACTTTTTATTTTTATTTTATTAGAGAATTCGGGTTGTACTCAGCTGATGAGAACCAATGAGACAAATGGATCCAGATTATTCTACGCCTATGTTTCTTCTTTCTTTATTCATCTTTATAGAAAGGGAATCATCGTATGAAATTCGTTGCGTTTATGTACAAAGATTTCAGTCATATCTAAGGCAGTGCTTAGTCTGAAGATCTGTTCCTGAACAATCTATCGTTTTATTTCTGGTATAATACGGCCAGTAATTATTTCGAGGGATTGTAATTATCTGACTTTTGTTCGTGTCTTTCTCAAAAATAAATTGATGCAATTGAGGTTATGAAATATGGATTTTACATATTTGAGAAAAAAAAGACAACAGCATCTTAATTGAAAAGTCCATGTTTATCAATCTTATTGTAGATGGGATGGATGGTGTTTCGTATTTTAATCCAGGTGACAATTATGTGAATTGTAAGTATTGAGCGTTGTGTGGAATGATTGCACACAGAGATATCAAAGAATTAGTGCGGTGATTTCATATTCGAGGTATTTAATCCATTTAAACACTTTGAATAATCTTCGATATCAGCTGACACTCATCATTGACTAATTAGCGATCGTTCTGTTTTGTTGTTCAGTTTACATAACCCTTTCTCTTGGTCTAGTGAAAGGTGTAACTTGTGTTTGTGGAATTGTTTTAGATATTTAGTCCAACGGGTCAGTTGAATACAGACGAAGCGGATATACGGAATGTGTATGATGCTGCTGTAGATGGAATGAAAAAGTGAGTCCTGTGAAGATTGTATGATATGGTTTGAACATTTGTGTGATTTGTGAATTTAAGTTGTTGAGTGGATTGAGTCGTTGACGCTGTCTTGAATTTTGATGTCTCCTGAGTCATATTGTTCATATACTTAGTTAGTTTGTATATAGTTGTCAAATAAATTGACACATTCTTCTAACCAGGTTGAAAACGATGCAATAATATGTGAAGTGATGAAGCATTATGCATTGGGGTTTTTGTTTTGAAGAGGACTGGTAGAACGATGTGAGACTTTTGGTGTAGCTGTCACATTGTTACCTACTTGTCTTTCTTCTATTTCATTCCAAATGACTTCATTTGGATTTAGTTGTTTCAGTGTGTTAGGTATTGGTTAAATCTTGGGATCCACGTGTTTTTGTCATTTATTATTATTTTACTCCTTTTGATTCCTAGTGGACATTAACGTGGTGTGGTCGCTATGGCCGCACCAAGCTTACTACTGGCTAAGCTTCAGCTCTATATGTAGAAGACCATAAGCATCAATTCCACCTAGTTCATAATATGAAAACGATTTATATGAAAACATGAAGTTCTACGAGCTATGAATTGTTTTACCATTATGTAATTGCCTTAGAGATGTCATTGCAAAGTCGTCTCCGTCTACGAAGACATACTAAAACATTTAAAAGGCGTTCAGTATTTGAAAACATACAGTCTGGCTTACCGTAAAGACTGAATTTATTTCTTGCTGGATTTCACTGGTGGCATTGTGACTTTCTTTGACATTAGTTTCAGTGGAGTAAAAGTAAACTAATAAGTAAGTACAACTACCAGTGTCAGTTAGTGTGCTTCGGTGGTAAAGCGGTAAGACGCTTGTCAACCACATATGTAGACAGAAGACAACCACATATGTGCTCCGAGGTTCGATTCCCAGCCGACATGCTTCTGAATCTCGCCAGACCGGAAGTAACGTCGGTAGATAGTAAAGGTCGGGAGAAAAACTATCAACCGTGTCCGAAAGAAAATAAAACCACTGCTTGCAGCTTGAAGCCCTGTTTTCCACTCGGAACATTATGGAATAAAATAAAGTGTCAGTCATTCAGTCAGTCAGTAATACTAAGCCAACTTGAATCTTTGGATGTCTGTGGTTACGTATATGCTTGTAACGACACCTTATTTGGACTTTAATTTAAACACACTAGTTGTATTCTCTCTCGTGTAGATTGTTAAAGATTGGTTGCAAATCGCCGTTATTATGTTGTGGATCATTAGTCTCAGCTCCAAAAGAATTTCAGTGGACAGATCGTAGTTGTCTATTGTTGAACGCTGTTCTGGGAGCATATCACGCATTGTATACGGTAAGTATTTGTATGAATAATTTGACCTGTATCGGTTTATGATATCTATGAAATGAGCAATGAATCCAACTGACAAGGGTCTGACGATTAGGTTAAAAACTTGAGGAGAGTAAACTAATGCGAATGTATCAGCATTATGAAGAAGTAGACAATAGTAGTTTGTAGTGGATTCATTAGTGGAGCGTGATAGATGGTGATTACAGAGAGTAGCAGCCTCTTAGTTCAGCTTTGTTTGATGTGCAATTTCATTTCTCTTCCTCCCAAGTACTTCTGGGTCGTCAATTCTCTTGTGAATTCGTGACATCCCTGTCATCCGTGGGCGCTGATATCTGGAGAGTTTGTAACTGGACTGATCATGTGTCCAGTAGCTTTTAATATTCACAATGATTCTCTCAGATCATGGCTGTTTGTCAATAAACTCGTCTTAGTTCACCAATTTAACCTAATATTTCAGCGTAAAGTTTTGTCACTAATTCGTGAGGTTGAAGAATGTTTTTGAATTGATGCATTTTATTTCTGATATCTGTAACACAGCCTCTTGAAGTCCGTGAAATGGTTCCTGAAAAGTTTCCCAAAGCATTACGATTTGGTGTGATGGAGGCGGACGAGCGTTTACTAAACACCGCTATGGCTATTGAAGAAGGTCGAATAGTCGCACGCGATATCGGTGGGTCAGATCCAGAACGAATGGCGGCTCCGAAGATTGTAGAGTATTTGGAGAATGCTTTGAGTGGTCTTACTGGTATTAAAATGACAGTGGAGAAGGTTGATGTGAAGAAGTATCCGTTGATGGCAGCTGTCAATCGAGCTGCATCAGGTAATCGACTTACTTTGTTGGTGTGTTTTTTATATCAGATTTTATGAGTGATGTTGTGGAGTTGTGTGCAGTCAAATCGCCTTGTGTTTTTGTGTCAATGAGAATTTCTATTTTGAATATTTAGTATTTATTTGATTGATATTTGATATTGTAATTTTATAAACTGGATAAGCTGTCAGTTTTATTTGGTTGATGTTATTTTGGCTTATCCTCTGAGTAAGGTAAAATCTATTTGAGGTATTTCTGTGGTCGTGAGAAGCTCTTGTGTAGGTGTGTTTGAATGTAATCACGTAGTTGATGTTAAATGGATGGCTGATTGTTGTAGGCGGTGAACTGTCAGAACTGGTGTTGTGAACACAGAATGCATTCCATGTGTTTCGTTTATCGTTCTGTCAATGTCACCTAGATAGTTTTAGAGTCTTCTCTCAGACAGTTTGTTGTGAGTTTCAGGACTACTCAATTGACTTCTGTGTGAGATCATTCATGTATTATGATCAGGTTTGAAAAGTTGAATACAGCTTGTGACTGAATAAATCGGCATGTATTGAATTTCCGTTTAATCTGCCTGACGTGTCATGTCAATTTTTAGTTAACTGTTATGACTGTTAACGTTATATTGTCATCTTCATACTCCATACGCTTTCTTGAAACGGCTTTTGTGATATATTTGTGGTAAGAAGGCCTTCTGAAACGTGTGAATGAACTTCTCACATTACTCGTATCATGAGCATGTGACTTTACTTTATTGAGGTTTACAGAATAAATTCAATTCGGGCGTGTACTGTCAGAATAATTTGCATATAGTTTCACTAAATTAACAATTCATTTTAGCTAATTTCTTGTAGAATGATCAGAGCGATCGAAAAGACGTGTTTGACATTTATATTTGGATGGGTATCCCTATCGCCGTGTAGATTTCTAGCCCTGACTCATAATTGTAACCTTACAATTGTTTGAAATGTTGTATAATATCCTGTTTTGAATTTCATTACTTCATGGTCCAAAGCGTGGGTGAACATTTCAATTCTCTATAGTGGTCATTCAGTGGAGATCACCATCCTTTATAGTAGCACTTCATAAACTTTGTGTTAATTAATTTTTTATCTTTCCGGACTGCTGAATATTTGACATAATATTTGAAGGTTCACAGTTGCTGTCATCTTTCACATGCACTTTCTCATTTGTCAGTTGTTCCTCGTCATGATGGAAGGGTCGTTCACCTAGACTATACACCTCCTAATGCAAAGGAGATCGACACATCGTTGTTCCTTGTCGGTAAAGGTATCACATATGACACTGGTGGTGCTGATGTGAAACCAAGTGGGAATATGGCTGGAATGCATAGAGACAAGTGTGGTGCAGCAGCGATAGCTGGTTTATTCAAAACTGTTGGTTTGTTGCAGCCTGGTGGGTTGAGTATATCAGCTGGATTGGCCTTCGTACGAAATAGTGTTGGAGCTGAATCTTACGTGGCTGATGAGATTATAGTTGCACGTTCTGGACAGCGTGTCCGTATCGCTCACTCAGATGCTGAAGGTCGAACGGTTATGGCTGATTTATTGTGTGAAGCCAAAGAAAAGGTATGTGGTCATTTTTATTTCGGAAAGAATTTATTCAGTGAAAATGTAAATTCTCAGTATCTGCATTTAATGGCGCCACTTGTAATACGATTAACTTGGGTTGTTGAATATACGTTTAAAACCAAGGATGACATAATATTTCAGATAACATTTACATCATATGATCCTCTACAGAAAACATAGAAAGTAGAAGTGAATAAGAAGGTGGTCGAGGAGGTACATAAATGTGTATGTGGTGCTGAAAGTTGAAAGTCCTTAGGAAATGAAGTGTAGTGTGTTAGAAGAATAAGAAACGAATGGCGCCACCATGTTTTTGTTGTTCAGCTAATGAGTGTAGCTCACAGGCTGATGCATGAAATGGTGTTCTGGCAGCTGAATTGTAACAAATAATGTTTGATGTAATATCAAAGAAGGGAAATACTTACTTTGTGCGTAAAATCAGACATCTTCCCATCAATACATTGAGTTTCTACTATCTTGTCAAAGTAGCCTATTAGGTAAACAGGTGCGTATTCGAACAGTTAACAGGGTTTTTTTCTGTTCATCCAGAGTGATTAGTTTCTTTTTGTAAGCTTTGAGTTGGAGTCTTGTGAGTTGACTCAATTCAGTAAGTAAGTAATTTGTTGTTTTTGAGTAGACTGTCATAATTTCGTCTATAGTGTAACTGGTATAAATCTGGTGCTGAGAAAACTTGTTTGTCATAGAGAATTTATTGGTGTAAATATATTGAATAGGATAGTACAAGTATAGATGATATTTCACTTTTTGTTGCTGGGTCGCTATTTTATATGAGCTCTTGGTGCTGCCTTCTAAAAAAGTAAATTTTTAAATGAATCTTATGTATTAAATTAAGTTCTTCTCACTCTGGGTCAAATTACTCCATCTTTTTAATTCTTTTACTTTCAGGCTCTCAAGGCTAAAAATCCATTTTTGTTTACAGTGGCTACACTGACTGGACATGTAATTCGAGCATATAAACACTATACGGTTAGTCTTTCTTCTATTTCTTTGTTGATTATGTTAATCTGGCTTGTTTCTATAAATTAAGATATGGCTAACGAATACACACTTTTGTCTGAACATGTTGTGAATGTGGTGGTCTTTTATTGCCACAAACTGATAGTTGTGCTACTATTTCAAACCTCAACGAAAATTGAACTTTACAGATGATATTTGAATGCCCTGCACCCTACATTATTATCATCATGTTAGCCTTATTACTAGCACTCTAACTTTTGAATCATCCTGATAAATTGTATTGAAAAAGATTAGAAACATATTTTTCAAAAATAAAAAGGAAGAAGACTGTGGAATAGAAGATTTTCTTCGTAACTATCATCTGAAAAGATGACATTTTCTCTCTGTTTGGAAATTCCTGTCCCAAGTGACTTTACTTTCTATATGAACGTTGGACTGCATAAAATAATGTGAGATATGTGAGAACATAAAGACACTGATTGTAAAAAATTATTTGATGAAATAATGGATAAAATATATGTAGAAATAAGGTCGAAAATGAAATCTAAAACGCAATACACATATTTTCAAGAACCTGTAGATTGCAAAACTAATGTGCTGTTGTCTTTTTTGACACGGTCCTTACTGTTTGACAACGAATTTCTAAAGCTCCTGTTATTAGGTACACAAATGATGATGACAATTGATTGGTTAATGATTGATTTGTGATCTGTCCGAACAATTTCTGTTACATATTTGTTTGATGTTGTATAAGTCATAAGGTGGCTGCCATGCACTAATTACTGAAATAGTCTAAACTTGTAACTTTTGGAGGAGAAGAAGCTCTTCAGGGTAATAATGTTTGTTCTAGTGATCAGTGATTTGCGAACTTTTCTATTTCGATAAAACTGAACAAGGTAGAAAGAACAAATTTGTTTGAGGATCATACCATTGTAAATAATGCGACTCAGTGTATAGAATTATTTTATTATTAAACATATTATCAAATGTAAGCGATTAAAGGTCGAGAAAAATACACGATTTATAAAAAATACTAATTCAGTTGAATAACGCTATGATTTTCACAATGTTTTTTGTAAAATATAAGTAAAAATCAAATAAAACTTGTTGTAACATTTTTGAACAAAGATTATTTCACATGTGACAAGACGACTAAGAGAGAATGAACTTTGTAATTGTAATTTTTAACTACATTTTTATATAATATGGTATATAGATCGGCTGATATTTTGTTTACCTCGCAATATCTGCTGAGGTAACTAAGAAATACACAGCAATCGACCATCTATCTCAGTATGCTATTATTTAAGTAGTATAAAACTCAGGTTGTAATAAAACAGCAAAGCGTGGTCTAAACAAGACATGCAACCAGTCCGTGATGCTAGTGACTTATTATCATAGTTATGCAGAAAGGTGTAGGTCTCTTAACTGAGATTAATGTGACAGTCTTAATAGGTGGTTCATGACTGCAGGTGATTCGGCTCTAAACCAGTTGTAATTAACGAACACTTTTTAAAACCGTATCTTCATGTAGATATGGTATGAAGTTATGCTTGTTTAGTTGTCTTGCCCTTCCCCCTTTCTTCTTATAATCACCTAGGACGATTGACTATTTTGTGTTGCATGCTTTAGTCTTATCGTGTTCTATTCTCTACCAGATGAGGGAATCCAAGATGTGGTAAATTCAACTCCCACAGAATCCTGTGTTCATAACATCTATCTATGAAGGTGATAAGCTGGAGTGCTGAAAAAAGAGGTGATACATAATATATACATACAATACTATGATTTAGACTAGTTACCTACTTCAGAGTCTCAGACATGTAGCACTCGTCACTGACATCCTGTGAAGTTGGTGAAGTGTTCAATATAAATTCTGTGAAACACGATACAAAATATTCTCCCTCTTCTTCTTCTTGAAAGTGTTCTGAGAAACGAATGGCTGCTCCTCTGTGTGTAAATTTCGTGTCAGGTTTGCCAAACTAATTTTGAATAATTCAAGAATTTCTAGTATCATGTCATACATAGTTTAATGCTACAGTCGTACTAAATTAGGGATCATCCATCCGTGCATTATTTATTACTCACAGTTATGCCTTGAAACTATTCTCTCATTGAACTCACTTCGTGTTTTTATTTTTTTAATGATTTGTGTGTGTGTCTAACAAACAGGCTGTAATGGACAATGGACCAGCACGAGTGAAGAAAGTCTCTCAGGAACTACAGAGTGCTGGTGATTTAATCTCAGATGTTGTAGAAGTGAGTGTGTTTTATTGATGAATTGTTGTGAAAGTTGATTTGAGTGTTGATAGTGGTGGTTGTGTGTGTGTGTGTTCAGGTGAATGAGTTAATAATTTATCAAGAATGAAGTAGGACATGTGAAATAAGTAGACGTAGTCAATTTTTGAAGCTACATAATCCCGTGTATATAAATAGATAGACAACATGTGAGATTGTATTTCTGGTGACCGTGAACACGTTTTAGGTTTTGTGTGAGGAATATAGTGTTGAAGAATGTGATGAAAATGTGGATGTTAAAAGAGGAAAGTAACGAAAGTGATGTAATAATTATTAAATTTGGAAAGGTGATATTTGTTACTGTACGGTTAGTTGCTTCAATCGAACAAAGATGTCAGCCTTCCTACCTTTAATCATTACCTTGTAACATGAAGACTGTTGCGTGTAGTATGTTCCACGTCCAAGGAATTCCTTTTCATAATGAGTGTCTTATAATGAATTAGTACGATTAAGTTATGATTTTGAACTACTAAATGACTGCACATTTCGTCTGTGACAAGTTTTTAGGCGTGTTCAATCTTCTAAGATAATTTTCGTAGAAGAAAATGCTGAAGTATGTTGTGACACTTTTGTGTATACGTACCAAGTTAGCTAACAGTTATTTAAACACTATGATTGGCATTAATTCTACAAAGCACTGATGAATAGCTCCCCATGTACAGAATTCTCTTCTCGTATTGTTATTCAAGATTTCAACTCTTCGTAAAGAAGACTATGCTATGAACAAGGCTAAAAGTGAATATGAAGATTTGATACAGTCTAATAACTTACCAAGCAGCGCCACACCTCGTGGTCATCAGATGCCAGCTGCATTTCTTGTTTCAGTCAGTGGTTTGAATAAGGTGAGCGTTGTGTGTTATTATGTTACCTATTCTAGCACTAGTTTAAAGTGTTAAACAATGACACACGTATTAACGAAAAATTATCCTACAGAATTTTATTTTGTTCATCTTTTAATGCGTTGAACACTGACACACGTGGACTAAGATAAGGGCGAATTGTAATGACGCTTTTATTACTTACCACAACTCATTTTAACTGACCTCCAGCGAATAAGCTATCGTTATTCCAGACTATCACGTTCCTTTATGTTTTTCTATTTGGAAAATTATCAATCGTTACATTATTATATTTATTTCTCCCTTGTGTTCCGAGTGGAACACATGGCTCTAACAACGCATCTCCACTTTGTTCTATTTTCTACCGTCCTCTTCATCTGGGTTCACGATTGACCATAGCCTCTTATCTCTTCCTCACACGATCTCTTCCATGTCAACCTCGCACAGACGACCGACTCATCGCTTCCCATTTGGATTCCATTCGAGCGACAGCGTGGCGCGATATGTCATTCGATGATTTCCTCAGTGTGTGCCCCATCCATCTCCATTTTCTCCTGCATATCTGTTGGGCAATAGGCTCTTGATTGGTTTGTTGCTACAGTTGCTTGTCACTAATTCTTTCTGACTTGTCATTCGATCTTCTGTATGGAGCCAGGGAAGCCAGCTGTTGATGAACATCTGCAACCTGTTGCAACTCCTTTACGTTACACGCTAACCAAGTTTCTGATATGTATAGAAGTGCCATCTTGACATTGGTGTTGAAAATTGGAATACTGTTCCATATGCTGAGTGCAGAAGATTTCCAAAGTAATTTCAGGTTGGTGAGAATATAAGGCATCTACACTTCTACCATACAAAGAGGGGACATTTGAGACCCTACGCAGGATTCTTGATAAAGCAGAAATTAGAGTGGCATTTAAACCTACAAACTCACCCAAATAGGACAAGCTCTGTAGGTTAGAGGACCCAGTTGACCCAGTTGAACAAAATAATATAATTTACAAAATACTTTGCAATGACTATGAGTTAGGTCAACTACATTGATCAAACTAGTAGGTAACGGGTAGTCAGATTGTCGGAACATAATAATTTAGCTAAGGTAAGAATAGTTGACCCCGAGAAGATAAGTAATTTAGAAAAAAGCTCAGCATGCATTAACACACAACCACAAAATAAGGTGGGAGGGCGTTAAAATTCTACGAAGTAATGTAGGTAGACGGAGAGAGATGTTGATTACTGAATCTTTGCTCATCAAATGTACACCCAACACATGCAATAGGAATGACTCATCACCGATACCAGAGATATGAAAATTACTGCTGCCAAATTATGGAGTTGTATAAACGAAATTATAAAGTTGTGTGTATGTGTGTAACCTGAAATGATTATGAGAAATAAATTGTGCTCGAGTCGTCATCAGTTAACATCACTGTGAAACTTCATCAAAATAAATTTTACCCATAATGAAATTATACTCTACTACAGTGCGCAATTTCTATTCTTATATCATATTCTGCACAAACCGTCGCTCTTGTCTTACTTAGATTGATAAATGCGAATATGCGTATAAAGTTTAAATTATTGCAGAGTTATAGAAATATCTGAAGATTATTCATAATCCACGTCGATCGTTGACCGTTTAAATAATTTGGCATCGAAGTTGCACGCACATCATCTCTTCGACATCCAGAATAACCGAATATATCAGAAACTATTACCTTATTTTGATTTGTTCACACTACAAGTAGTTACTTTCACTTCGTGAAACTTAGCATACATTGAAGGCTGACAACATATGGATCACTTTACAAAACCATCAGCCACTCTTATAATCTACTGACAGTGTAAAGATTGAGGGGCGAATAATAGTTGTTTATAGTTAAGCAGACAAGGGTGTATCCAAATGTATCATTTGATTTTCGGGAATTGATCTGAAACCCAACTTCACATTGAAAACTAGTGGTAACCAGTCAGTTATGCAGATGGTAGAAGTATTCTACAATCCGGAAGATTATTTGTCAGTCATTAATGCTGGTGTTTGATTTATCTATATAGCATATCTCACCAACACTGATTTGATGATAACTGTGTTTTGTTTCACGTTTTAGCATGGTTTGGATTCCAAAACTCAACTACCATATACCCACGTGGATGTGGCTGGTAGTGCTGGTGAGATTTATGTGACACCGACGGCTGCTCCATTGATGATGTTTGCCAGGAGGTATGTATTGCCTCGATTAGGTTTCAAGTGATGTTTTCACGATAACAGTGATAATAACAATAATAAGAAGATTGAATGAAATTTTATTTCCGGACAATTCGGATTTAATTCCCAGATATTCTGTTCGCCTTTCTATTTGCTATATTGATTGATACATTTGTGATTATATTGTTTACATATTACTCAATGTTTAAATATAAATAAATGATTTTTAAACAAACACAAAAGTGATACCCTTCTCTAGAATCCCAGTTCAAAATCGATCTGATTTACCTGATTGTGACTGTCAGATAGCGTCTGAAAAATGCAGACTTCACTGAGACAACAAGAAACTCAAAGTTTTGCGGAAATAGGTTACAAGATGAAAACTGCGGTTACACAATCCAACACATATGAATGAAGACACATTCATTGTCGGATATCACAGTGAGCGGTGAGTGTAATGATGTCAGGTGAAGAGACATGATCACGTGTGATGTGTAGTGTTGTGAGAGAGTGTGGATCAGTGCAGAGCACACGCGAGATGGAATGTTAACCGATGACGACTATGGTATGATTTTGGGAATTGGAGTTGAGTGAAGATATTGTGGATGCAGGTGGTGTGAATTCACTGTGTGTGTGTGTGTGTGTTGGCGAAGATTGATGGATTTCTAGATTACCTGACTGTTTTGTGGATGCAATTATGCCGATGTTGTGTATTTTGTATTATTGTTGTAGTCACTGTGTGTGAAATTGGGTGTTCGGGAAGATGCAGCTGTCAGTCTTCCTTTGGCCTGGTAACTTAACTTTTTAACTCTTCTTTTCATTTGTTTACGTAATCCTTTTTCTAACTTCTCCCCTTTTAGAATATTGTTGTTTTGTTTTTCTTTCCGCTTCTACTATTTTGGTTGAATTCTACATTATTACTCAACTCACTAGTTACTTAACACCAGCTTATCTTCCATTTGCCGACCATGCATATGGTCCGGGGTTCGACCCCCGGCCGGCGCACTCCTTTACCTCACTGAGCCAGAAATAATGCTGGTAAAGAGGAACGGTTGGGCATGAGGTTAGCAACCCCATCCAGTAAAAATTGAACACTGCTACAGAAACTTCAAGCCACTAGCTTGGAGCCCTATGTTCCACTGGGAACGTGAAGGAAAAATTATTATTTTATTATTTATCTTCCATTAGTCATTATTACGCTACTGTCTTTTCAATATATCCAAACATATTTTGTTTAAACTTGAACCCTCTGTGTATAAGTCATATAAATGTAACTTCTGAGAAGTGTTTATTATTTCTGAAGTCTCTTGTTAATTGATAGTATGTCATATTTGCAAGTACGTTAAGCAGTTCCTCTCTACACAGACTAAATAATTTCTTTAGGTTGTCTGTAGCTAAAGAGAGACCAGTGAAATACAATAATGTTATTATTAATAATGGTTTTATTCCAAACAGTCATTTGACACTGCATGAAATCCTCAGAATTCAATACAATACTACATTTAATTTCTTGTTTGCATTACGTAGTATCTGCTATCACAGATTGCTAACACCTCTTTTCTTCTGTTATCTGATAAGCCATGCCAGCCACAAATATTGTACGGATATTCCATGTCTTAACGCTTAATTCATCTTTCATAGACAGGAAACAAATTTGTCTGTCAGGCTTTGCAAGTTACCACTATCGTCAAAAAATCTCCGACGCGTTGCGAAATCCCAAATCGAGTACACCAAACAACTCATTCCTAGATTAAAGGAAGAAGCTAGTATCTTAAACGGAATGAACCTAGTCTGTAGAACCAAGTTCATCAATTTTATTCGAGAGGTTCAGAATAAAACAAGCGTAAAATTCAAGAAAATTTTATCGAAGACGCTGGTTAAAGAAACACTATGTGAAGGAATTCCAGAGAATCCTGATAAATTCGTATTCAACTTGTCAAGTTATAAACTGAGTCAGAGAGAAACAGAAGCACTTTCACTAGGATTCAGATTCCACATCCCAACGAAATTTACCAACAGAATTGATGTCGAAACCCAGTTCGAAGGTTTATACCATCAACTGTCCGAATTAAAACCAGTAGACGACAGAAAACAAGGTTGGTATAAATCTCGACTTGTCGATATCGCTAATCAAAATATCATATCACTGAATCCGAAATCTGCATTTTTTCGAAAAATCACCAAATAGCATTAAGAATTTTAATGAAAAATTACTCTATTGTTATTCTCCGACCTGACAAAGGATCAGGTGTTGTGATAATGGATAAAGATAATTATGTAAAAAAGTGGAATCAGTTCTGAATGACTCACCAACATTTCGAACTGATCCATCGAAGAAAGATCAAACGGAATCGATGGAAAGTCGGATAACAAAGAAGCTAAGAGAACTTTTGAAGAAGAAGTTGACTGATAACAACATATACAACGAAATGAAGCCTAAGGGATCCAGATTGCCTTACATGTACGGCTTGCCAAAGATGCATAAGCCTGAAATCCGTATGAGATCAATATTATCTATGATTAATTCGCCGTATCACAAAGTAGCTAGGTGGCTAGCAGAAATGTTAGAATCAATCCGTGATAAATTAGCAGTCTACAGCCTGAAAGACAACTTCCAATTCGTTAAACATTTAGAGAATCTAAGCATCTCAAATACATTTATAGTGTCCTTCGACGTGTCTTCACTGTTTACAAAGATCCCATTGGAAGAAAAAATATAAATTATATGTCAGCATGCCGAACTCCTTCCTCTGCCTCAGAACGAACTCAGACAACTTTTACTTATATGCACCAAAGACGTACAGTTCTATTTCAACGACACTCTGTACCGCCAAACTGACGGGGTCGCCATGGGAAGCCCCTTGGGTCCGATTCTGGAAGATATTTTTATGGGTAGTTTAGAACAAACAAGGTTGAAATCCGCAATCAGTCTGACCAACTTCTATACAAGGTTTGTAGATGACACTTTCGTTATTTGTAATTCTTTTAATGATGCATCCCAAGTATTAAAAGTCTTTAACAGCGCTCATCCTAATATTAAGTTTACAACGGAGTATGAAAAAGAGGTGAAGTTCCATTTTCTTGACCTGGATATCCAACGAGATATAGACGGCTAAATCATAAGATATATACACAGAAAAGAGACCTGGAGGGTGGTTTACCTTAACTTCAAAAGCTTCTACCCTATAAGTTACAAAAAGGGATTGGTGAGAACATTATCTGATCGTGTGAGGAAACTGTGCTCAAAAGAAAAGATTGGGGAAGAGCTATCCGTTGTGGAGAAATGCCTACGCGACAACGGTTACCCACAAAAGTTCATCTACAAGTATGGGAGACGTCATGTTGAAAAAGTGAAAAGTAGCACAGTAGAGAAAAAGCCTATCTTTCTTCATCTTGCATTCAAAGGTGATGATACTGCTAGTAGAATAAGATGCAGGCTGAAAGCTGCCCTGAATAGAACATCCAGCTGCCAAGCTTGTATGTGTTTATCAAAGAACTAGTTGTCTGAGATAATCAAAAGTGGACAAATACCCACCTCATGTTACCTCCAACTGTGTCTACCAATTTACATGTACGTTCCAAAGCACATACATTGGAAGAACACAGAGAAGGGTTATTGTTCACATTTTTGAACACATACCAAAGAACCTGAGACTGAAAGGTCCGCAAGTATTAAACAGTGGGATTGCGCGTCATCTATTGGAGACACTGGTTATCTTGTAGACAACCTGAATTCTTTCAAAATAATCAACAAGCAAAAGAAACCTAGCTTGCTACGTTTTGCTGAAGCAGTTGCCATCAAACGACTTAAACCAAATCTATGTACGCAGAAAGAGACAATGGTGAATCTTGCACTGCCCTGGTGATAACAAAAATGTACAACTTTTATGATTCACCTTTTTTTTGTTTAGAAAACTCTACTCTCTCATCTAAACATGACACCCTACCTTGTTTCTTTTCTTTCCTTTTTTCTATTGGCTATTAGATAAAACATTTTCCTTAGTTACGTAATCTACTTTTTTGCCATGCTCTTTCTAGCAAAACCTTGTTTCTATACACACACATAAATATGCAGCTCTGTTTTTTTGTCTCCAAGCTTAATTATCTAATTATTCTATAAATAGTCAGTATTTGTAACTCTTAATTAGTCAAATCATTCTAGACTAATGTTACTTTTACTTCCTACCAATTACTCCTTACGATCGTGGAAAATTATGTTCAAATCTTTAATTTAATTCATATTTTATCGTTCAGGTTGTAACCCGTTGAGAAGAATCCTCGGAATAATAAAAGATGAACTCATATTATCCTGGTACAATTGTTGTTCTTGCTTTGTTCGAGGAAACTTATTTGCCGACTGGCTTGCCAAATGCTGTCGCTTGCCGAAATTCGTCCTCGAAATGAGGCATCTTCCAATTTCTGTAGGAGAATAACTTTATCTTTTCTGTGCTTTGGAGTTTCAGTAGCGATGGTATTGATTTCAACGGAATGGAGTTGATATCCACAAGCTTAACCTTCTCTCTCTTTTCAGACTTAGGACTGGTAAGAAAACTCAACTATATTCCAGATTGTGACAACATTTTATCGATTCCAGTATCTAAACGCCAGTCTTGTTTTCATTTTCCTTTATAGTCTAGTCTAGTAAAACTAATTAACTGTATTCCTTTTGTGACTAAAAAGTGAACTACGGTCCATCAATTACTTAATTTATGTGTGAAGAGATAACGGATTTATTCAGATATCAGCACAGTAGATATGGTTTCCGTATATCTCCAACGTACCCATGTAGTTGTATAAAACGCTTAATCCCGTGATTTTAAAAAGATGGCAAGTTATGAGCTGCATACTAATCTTACTTAGATTTGACTAACTTCTTATTAGATAAATAATATAATAAGAATGTTTTCCATCACAGCACCTTAGTGTTTAGTTGAAAATAAGGGTGAAATCAGATAGTCATTTACAATAAAGAAACCCTGTGTTAAACTGCAACGATTTTAAAACCAAATAATTCAACCATCTCATAGTATACTAAGTATGTTCATATCAAATGGACACATCCCATTCTATCCTTTTTCTTTTCTAGGGTGAGTT